CTCATGAAAACATTATTTTTGTTTCATGACTATACCAAATCTATGGCCATCCTTTTAGCCACATAATAATAATTATAATTAAATGAAAATGGTTATTACCAGTCAAATCCTTAGTAACCATGTGGTTTAGTAAAAGGAAATCTAATGATAACTATTTCTTTCTTATAACAAATATATAGACTTCTAAATCCCAACCCATGTGAGTGCGATATATTGTTTCCCTGATAAAAATCATATCAATTGTATTATAGTGTCCCTGACTATAGATTTCATAAAATATAAATAGCAAACTTTTGTGTGTGTGTAAATCTCAAGAAAAAAATAGAAAATTTGTTTATGAAGATCTTGTAATCCATAAAAAAAAAAAAAAAAAAAAAAACGACACTTCGGTCGCAGCAAGCATGTGAAGTGCGATTTATACTTGTCGGCACCGATAAGTAATTCATGCGTTTCCAATACACTTCTGAAAACAGCGTATTCAAAATTTTCACCTACCATATAGTATATCTTACTCTATCTCTCTATACACACACTGTCGCACAAAAGAAGTTCCAGTATACATATCAACTTTTTAAAATAATCGTCCAAGTAATTGGGTACTAAACCCATTAATATGTAGACCACACTTGCATTTTGATTTTAGCATGTGTTATATAATAACTCATTTGTTTTTTTTCACAGTGCTTAATTTACCGTTTAGCACGGTATGAGTTATGAATCTTATGATAAGAAAAGGAGCACCTCGATTGAGTTTTTCAAAACTCTGTGAGCTTCGGTTTTTGAGACACATGATTTACGCGTGGTTAGGTAACAGCTACTCCAAGATATATTTAAAAATCCTTAAGATATAATTGAAAATATTTAAAAAATCTACAGTCTTGACGGAGCCGAGTGATGGATAGTGGGGTTACTGGGGTAGATCATCCTAGTGAATTTCTATAATAAAATATTACACGTTTGCGTTTTAGGAAGAAAGATAAGGGAATTGTTCAATAATTCCGTTGTTAACCCTGGTAATCCTTGCGTCAAATTTGGCCCATGTTTATTTTTCAAAAACTACCACCAAATTGCTTATTTCAAAAATTCTACAAATTTTAGGCTTAGGAAAAGAAGCCAAATGATGTACTATAACCCTTCTTACTAAACTCTTCTTAGAGCATTAGCATCCATTGAAGAGATACTGAGAGGAGATTTTTAATATTTTTTTATTATAGAAAATTGATTTTATCTTAAAAATGGTTAAAAAAATTTGGCAAATCAAATTATGCTATATCACAGGAGAGACGGTCTTTCTGCTCGCGCAGAAAAACGATTCTACTCTTTTGCTTCAGCCACATCATTTTTTCTTTTTTTTTTCCTTTTTTTTTCTTTATAACTTTAAACGAAACGGTTCTTCTGCCCCAAATGTTCTTAGAGCATGAATAACAGAGAGTCCCACATAGGGTTTCTCCAAATATTTTATCAAAAAAAAAAATTAAAACGATTTAAAAAAAAACGAAAAACAAAATTGACCACTCATACTATGATATGTGTCAGAATTTTGGAAAGAGGCGATTCTTACAGCTCTATGCAGTTAAAAAACTCTTTGTATTGTTAATTTTTTTTTTTTAAATGTAAAAGTTTTAGTAAAGCTCTGCATGGCAGATCTTCTTAGGACATTTATAATAGAGAGATTCTTAGAGTTTCTAACTAAAAAGGAAAAGAAAAAAGAAAATAAAAAAATGAGGTGACAAAAGTAAAAGTTAAAATTGCCTCTATTATTGGAGTCTTTGAAATCGACTCTAACACTATTTATTATATTAATAATAAATTTAATATTAATATATACTTAAGAATCTTAATATTGTGTTCACCATTACAGGTGCTCTTAGACTTAAAATTTTATGCTCTTTTTAAAACTCTTTTTTTTTTTTTTTTTTTTTGCTCTTTTTAAAACTCTTAAGAACTCTTCTTGTTGACCAAAAATAAATAAATAAAGAACTCTTCTTAAATTATTGGCAGTGCATAAGTTAGTGCTATTACGGCCTTGTGCAGGCTTTCGGCCCATTATGGATACGGCCATGATAGTCTTCTGCTTTCGCGTGCAACGTAAATTAAAAAGCTACGTTGGCCCGTATTTAATGGGGTTCGTTATGTTCTTTTTGTTTGTAGCTCTCTGCATTCTCCAATATGAATGAGTTTACATATCATTCTATAATTGGCATTTTACGCGAGCTAATTTACTAATTTCAGATGTTGCCATATCTATTTATCATCTCACTTAACGTCAGTTTTTTTCTGCTATTTTTATGGGTTTCAGAAATCGTCTTCCTTCCTCTATTCTGTTTAATCGTTGAACTTTTCTTGTTTTTGAATTCAAATAACATAATTGATATGGAAAAATCAAATTTATTGATAGCTTTTCGGAATCGTTGGTTAGAAAACAAGTTAATTGTTGGATACGTAATCGAAAATGACGCTATCCTTCAAGACTTCTTCTCCTTCTTCGAACCGATCAACACCAAAGTCCTTCGCCGGAGACGATTCTCAGTTCTTCCATCACAAAAGTTACAGAGCACACACCACCACACTCTTCTTCATCCTCGTCTCTCTCTCCTTCTTCGGTTTCTTCTCTCTCTACTGTTCCCCAAACTCCATTTACCGTGCTGCATTGTTTGCCACCACCCGCCCGGTTAAATCCGGAATCGTCAGCTACGTGATCAACGCTCAGGATTCGAGCCACCATCAATCCATTCGCAGGATCAGAGCCGAGGGTGTTCTCTGGCCAGGATGGGAGATCATGGTGATCGTTTCGCCGGAGGAGAAAGTTATGCCGCCGCTTCCAGGGGAGGATTACACGTGTTTTTACCCCAACGGCGAGAAATCCACGGCGCGGTTCGCCGCTGTTCTCCCTTTCACGAACCGTACGGTTTTCAGATGCAGCCTTCCCGGAATTTACCGCCACCACCATCCGATTCCGACTCCGATCCTCGCCTCTTCGAAATCGTTCCAACTTTCGCCGGAATCACGGTGGCCTGATCTCCCTCTATGGAATTTCGTCGTTTTCGAGGCCATCTCCACGGAAAACGACGTCGTTCTCTTCGTCAAGGGACCGAATCGCGGATTGGGATCAAATAAACCGCCAGAGTCATTTCGATGCGTGTTCGGCGAGGAATCTGATTCATCCATTAGAACCGCCGTGACGAGCTCCGTGCAAGAGGTGTTCCGATGTCAGTTCCCAAATGAAACGTTCGATAATCCAGTCAAAATCTACCTCGAGACGGTGGCAACAGATAAGGAGGCGACGAAGACCGTTCCGTCGTTAGCGTATTTTAGCCCGAAGCGCATGTTAGCAGAGCCGCGTGAGAAATCGCTACTGTGCGCGACGACGATGGTGTACAATGTAGCAAAGTATCTAAGAGAGTGGGTGATGTATCACGCGACGATCGGCATACAGAGATTCATTATATACGACAACGGTAGCGACGACGAGTTAAACGACGTCGTTGATCAGCTCAATAAAGAAAGGTATGACGTCACAAAAGTATTATGGATCTGGCCCAAAACGCAGGAGGCTGGGTTCTCCCACGCGGCGGTGTACGGGAACGATTCGTGCACCTGGATGATGTACCTCGACGTAGACGAGTTTCTCTTCTCTCCGGCTTGGGATAAACAATCTAAGCCGTCGGATCAGTTGATTAAATCTCTTCTACCGTCGGATCAGAAGATGATCGGACAGGTGTCCTTTAAATCGCTCGAATTCGGACCGTCCAATCAGACGGAGCATCCACGTGGCGGAGTGATGCAAGGGTACACGTGTCGCCGAGAAGAAGAGCAGCGGCACAAGTCGATCGTGCGGTTGAGCGCGGTGGAGCATTCGCTGTACACGGCCATCCACCATTTCGGCCTGAGGGCAGAGTACGAGTGGCGCGTGGCTGACACGGAGGAAGGAGTGGTGAACCATTACAAGTACCAGGCGTGGCGGGAGTTCAAGGCCAAGTTCAAGCGGCGCGTGTCAGCGTACGTGGTGGATTGGACCAGAGTTTCTAATCCTAAGTCGAGAGATCGAACTCCTGGGCTGGGCTTTAGACCTATTGAACCGAAAGGATGGGCCCAAAAATTCTGTGAAGTCACGGATGTAAGATTGAAAAGGCTAACCCAAAAATGGTTTGGATATCGAGAGAAAAATGGGTATAGAATGGCATGGCAAACATGAACAATGGTTTTTGTGTTCATAATAGCACAGGATTTTGAAATTTTGGGTTTGGGTAAAAAATACTGAAACTGAACTACTTCACAATCAAATTAACTTTAATCTTAATCTGATAGTGCCATTTAAAATCGTCATTTCACAATTAACATTAATATGTCCTTTTCTAATCGATTTAATTTTGTAAGATGTAAATTCCTAAATAATGATCTAAAATGGAAATGTGATTAGCCTTCTTAGGAGTTCGATCTTGAAATTTGAAGGAAGGAATCTCTTTTTCAGATGAGACAATAAACTCCTAAGACAAAGAAATAAAGTAAGGATAATGTATGTGTGGCTAAATTTGTTTGAATTATTGCGACCATTGATTTGAATTATTCGATTTCTTCACGACTTGTTTGATGTTTAGCTCATTAAAGGATATGTACTACCACTTCCACTACCAATCTACCATACACCATCGACCACTTGTATGCGTGCTAGTGGATGCAGGTCGATATCAGAGTCCTTGTACATAGTACACGAGCTTTTTCAAAGTCGGCTCCGACAATAAGTGGTTTCACTTTAAAACAAGACTACTTTCACGTGTTTTTAGTTACAATGATATGGATTTTACTCGGGCGTATGTATATCAGTATATATGCACATATGTATTCATGATATCAATAAAGTGTGCTATAATATTACTTTCATTTACAAGTGTCTTCATTTTCTGTTCACAATTTCGATCTGCTTGGTTAATAATATATGAAGTGTAAGTCAGTATTAACAAAAATGGTCAAATATCCGAGGAAGACCAACCTTCTAATATATGAAGTGTAAGTTAGTTTATGATTCCACTATCTTTGAACCGGCCCCATTTGAACTCCATGCTTTTGTTCTAAAGCCCCAAACCCAAATACCTTTTTTTTATAAAACAGACCCTTATTAATATGATTAATGATTATAAATGACAGACCGTAATCAAACTTTATTAGATTAATGCAGACTCTCGAATCCATTAATGAGCTCAACCTCACAAAATCGTGCACGCAATTAGAAAGTAGTCCAAATCAACACATGACCTTTTCCCAATAATTAAATGGCTACTCGAAATGGTTATTAGAGTTCTTTGTTAGCCAGATATATATAACTAATTTGCATGGTTCGGATTTCTACGAGAAAGTTTAGAAATGGTTCTGAAACAGTATGAGATTAGCAATAAACAAGAAGAAGAAAACAAATTTTAAATTTTCGGTATAGCTTAATCATAACTTCAAAATGTAGAAGATCATTTGTTTCTACTAAAAATGAAACTTATTTTTTTTTTATAAATTCCATAGTACTATTCACTCCACTTATTAACGTTGGCACGGAATAGTTAAAGAGTCTTATGACATTGACAGCATAGAAAGGAACAAAGAGTAAATCAAAACAAAACAAAATTGTTTTGAGTAAAATTTCTCTATATATATAAAAGTTCTATAAACTAAACCAACCATAAGCACAAAAACAAAAATCACTTTGAACTCTCAAAATAGAAAGAAAATGTTATACTTCATCCTTCTCCCTCTCCTACTCCTTTTGGCTTACAAATTCCTCTACTCCGAAAGGCGCCATTTTAATCTCCCACCGGGACCACCGTCACGTCCCTTCGTCGGCCATCTCCACCTCATGCAACCACCGATTCACCGTCTCCTCCAACGCTACTCCGACAAATACGGCCCTATCTTCTCCCTCCGTTTCGGCTCACGCCGCGTCGTCGTCATATCTTCCTCTTCACTCGCACAAGAATCCTTCACCGGCCAAAACGACATCGTTCTCTCTAGCCGGCCACTCCAGCTCACTGCCAAATACGTCGCCTATAACCACACTACCGTCGGAACCGCTCCTTACGGCGACCACTGGCGTAACCTCCGCCGCATTTGCTCCAACGAAATCCTATCCACGAAACGTCTCACCAATTTCCTCCACATCCGTAAAGACGAGATCCGCCGTATGCTCACGAGAATCTCACGTGACACTCACTCCGACGACGGAAGCAGTTTCACTCACATCGAGCTCGAGCCACTTCTCTCCGATCTAACGTTCAACAACATCGTAAGAATGGTGACGGGGAAGAGGTATTACGGAGACGACGTCCATAACGAGGAAGAAGCAGAGCTGTTTAAGAAGCTCGTTTACGATATCGCCGTGTACAGTGGCGCGAACCATTCGGCAGATTACTTGCCTGTGCTGAAACTGTTCGGAAACAAGTTCGAAGAGGAAGTTAAGGCTATTGGCAAATCCATGGATGAGATTCTGCAGCGTTTGCTCGATGATTGTAGGAGAGACAAAGATGGTAACACAATGGTCACTCACTTGCTCTCTTTGCAACAACAAGAGCCAGAGTACTACAGTGACGTCACTATCAAAGGGCTAATGATGGTATAAATCTCCATAAACATTCCATCTAATCGAAACTATACGATGATTAAAAAATTAAAATCAATCTCTCAATGTGATTAAAATAGCAATAAATTTTGAGATTCTCACCTGATTGTTGCCGTTTGTTTTGAAATTCCACAGGCGATGATGCTCGCCGGGACCGAGACTTCCGCCGTAACTCTAGAATGGGCGATGACGAATTTGCTGAGATATCCAGAAGTGTTGGAGAAGGCGAGATCGGAGATCGATGAGAAGATCGGAAAAGACCGCCTGATCGACGAACCAGACATCGCCGTCCTTCCTTACCTCCAGAACGTCGTCTCCGAGACGTTCCGGCTATTCCCAGTGGCGCCTCTTCTAATCCCTCGCACGCCGACGGAGGACATGAAAATCGGCGGCTACGATGTACCGCGCGACACGATCGTGCTTGTCAACGCTTGGGCTATACACAGAGATACTGAGCTTTGGGATGAACCAGAGAGGTTTAATCCGGATCGGTATGACAACGGATGCGGAAGCGAGTACTACACTTATAAGCTGATGCCGTTTGGAAACGGCCGGAGAATTTGTCCCGGCGCCGGATTAGGGCGGAGGATCGTGACATTGGCGCTGGGATCGTTGATTCAGTGCTTCGATTGGGAAACTGTGAAAGGCGAAGAGATTGATATGAGTGAGAGTGCTGGGTTGGGTATGCGCAAGATGGACCCTTTACGGGCCATGTGCAGGCCTCGGCCCATTATGACTAAGCTTTTAATCTAGTTTAGAAGGGTATTAGTGAAAAAGAATAAAAAGTTAAATGACTTGTTTTCAATCATTTTGATGTTTGTGTTAACATCAAGTTTTAATGTAATATCAGTACCATCTTTGTGAAATCACCATGAAAAAATCGGTATATGCAGGGTTGACTACAATTTGTTGAACACTGAGGATAATTAGGTTCCAAGTTGTGAATTGACTCTTAAATTTGTATCGCTGCAATTTTTTTTTTTAAAACCATTGTCGTGTCGACTTGAAGTGATCTGAGAAAGAGCATTATTGTTTCCTTGGCTTCTGAATTTTGTTTTTTTTTTTTATAAAATCAAATCGAAATTTGTTTATCAATTTTTCAACACCTCGCGGCAGGTATGTCACTGGATTTATTAGTTGTTATTCTAAAAGTAGTAGTAATTGCTTGATGTATGAGTTGTTGTAATATTGTTTCCTTGACTTTTTGATTTGCTAAAATAAAATCGCACTTTTTTTATCGATTCACTAACCTCGCAGCAAGCATGTGAGTGCGATCTCTACATCAATTATTTAATAAAAAAAATTCGAAACTTCCTTCGTTTGGTACGTTAACCTTCGTCATTTAGTTCGTTTGGCACGTTATGACTTGGGACAAAAAAACAAAATCAAATCGCAATATTGCATGATTAATAAATAAAGAAACCCCAAATCTTCTTTGTACTGTAGTAGGAGTATATTTTTGGCTAGAAGTTTGTTTCCCAAGAAAGTGCCCTTTAATGAACTTTAAAGATTAAGTCCACTAATTAACGGTGTGGCACGTTGTACTTATGAGTTAAAAGTAAACACTGACACTGACAGCACTGAAACACAATAGTAATAAAGAAAGAAAAAGACAAATCGATTCTTTGATTTGCGTACACAATTTTTTCTCTATAAAAACCAAACGAAGCAGAGGCTATAATCCTCCACAAGCAGGATAACAAAAACACTCTGAGAACAAAATGTTCTATTTCGTCCTTTTCCCTCTCCTTCTCCTTTTGTCTTATAAGTTCCTCTTCTCCAAAAAGCACCGTTTTAACCTCCCGCCGGGACCACCGTCACGTCCCTTCGTCGGTCATCTCCACCTCATGAAACCACCGATCCACCGTCTCCTCCAACGCTACTCCAACAAACACGGTCCAATCTTCTCCCTCCGTTTCGGCTCCCGCCGCGTCGTGGTGATTACCTCGCCTTCGCTCGCACAAGAATCCTTCACCGGCGAAAACGACGTCATTCTCTCTAGCCGGCCGCTCCAACTCACCGCCAAATACGTCGCCTATAACCACACCACCGTAGGAACTGCTCCTTACGGCGACCACTGGCGTAATCTCCGCCGTATATGCTCCAACGAAATCCTCTCCTCCAACCGTATCACCAATTTCCTCCACATCCGTAAAGACGAGATCCGCCGTATGCTCACGAGACTCTCACTTAAGAGTGACTCCGACGACGGAAGCCGTTTCACTCACATCGAGCTCGAGCCGCTCTTATCCGATCTAACGTTCAACAACATCATAAGAATGGTTACAGGGAAGAGGTATTACGGAGACGACGTCAACAACAAGGAGGAAGCAGAACGGTTCAAGAAACTCGTTTATGATATCGCCATGTACAGTGGCGCGAACCATTCCGCAGATTACTTGCCGGTGCTGAAACTGTTCGGAAACAAGTTCGAGAAAGAGGTTAAGGCTCTTGGCAAGTCCATGGATGATATTTTGCAGCGTTTGCTCGATGAGTGTAGGAGAGAAGAGAATGGTAACACAATGGTCAATCATTTGCTCTCTCTCCAACAACAAGAGCCAGAGTACTACACTGATGTTATCATCAAAGGCCTAATGATGGTAAATTCTCTATATTGTATCATTCTCATCGAAATAATTGCGAGATTCTCACTTATGTGATGCTAAAAACTCAATATCTCGATCAAATTGAAATAGCAATCGACTGTGAGATTTTCACCTGATTGTGCCGTTGCTATTTGAAATTACGCAGTCGATGATGCTCGCCGGGACAGAAACCTCCGCCGTAACACTAGAATGGGCGATGACGAATTTGCTGAAACATCCAGAAGTACTGGAGAAGGCGAGATCGGAGATCGATGAGAAGATCGGCAAGGACCGTATGATCGACGAACCAGACGTCGCCATGCTTCCTTACCTCCAGAACATTGTGTCCGAGACATTCCGGCTATTCCCGGTGGCGCCGTTCCTGATTCCTCGCAAAACGACGGAGGACATGAAAATCGGCGGCTACGACGTGCCGCGTGACACGATTGTGTTGGTTAACGCTTGGGCTATACAAAGAGATCCAGAGTTCTGGGATGAACCAGAGAGGTTTAATCCGGATAGGTTTAGCAACGGATGCGGCAGCGAGTACTACGCTTATAAGCTTATGCCGTTCGGAAACGGCCGGAGAATTTGTCCCGGTGCCGCATTAGGGCGGAGGATCGTGACACTGGCGCTGGGATCGTTGATTCAATGCTTCGATTGGGAAACTGTGAAAGGCGAAGAGATTGATATGACGGAGAGTCCTGGGTTGGGTATGCGCAAGATGGATCCTTTACGGGCTATGTGTAGGCCTAGGCCCATTATGGGTAAGCTTCAAATCTAGCTCAAAGAAGTATAAAAGTGAAAAATAAATATTGTAATGACTGTTTTAAGGATTTGATCTCTTTTTCAGTCAAATATTGTGTATTGATCTTTTTCACTGTGTACTTTAGAAAAAGTTTTTAAGAATATTATCCTACAATGACTTTTAAGAAATTATTTGGTACTGTGTTACTGATCATAATGTTTGACACACATGAATAAAGCGATGAAAATCATATGTAATAACTTAATGATTATATAACTTAAGAAATTGTTTTTATCTAAAGTAATTCGAGTAACATAAGTTTAAACTATACTTTTAGAAATGGACAAAAGATGCCAGAAATCATGATAGTTGATACAACCGAAATCAACATTATTTTCGGATAAATATTAATATAACTTTGGCTTAATAAATCCACAATAAAATTTTACTCCATTGACGAAATCTCCAAGTTAGGCTGAAGAGGCCAATTAAGGACATCAAAGAGTTTACTTTCAACTTCCAAATTTTGCTGAAACGAAGAGAAAAAAAAAAGCAATAAGCAAATATCAATTAAAATATACATGGCGTATCGTATCAGTTTAATAGTACAAAATTTTGACATTAAAATAATATGGTACCTACTAAACTACATGACGATTGTTATGTAAGATATTAAGAAGCTAGAAATTAAATTTTAACACATTGATTAGTAACATATATCTGTCTTTTTTATAACAAATACCAAATCGTGTGAAAATGTAATTCTGTATGTGAATGATATGGCGTAATTGGCTTTAACGTGAACCCACATAAAGAATTAATTTCAAAAATAATAATTGGTAGCTATATAAATTTACCTTACGAGATCGAACTTGATCCAAAGTCCTCTGGAGTAATTTCTCTTGGTTATCAATTTCGTCCATAGATTCCCAGTGATTTGGATTTTTCAAAAAGCACCTAAAACTTGAAGAATTATCAGTAAAGGATATTCAAAAAACACAATATCCTTGTGTATTAAATAAATAATAAATAATATGTAACATATTTATTTACTCGAGTTGTTTTTCCACGTTGGCCAATTTGACATTGTAATCGTTGATTTCATCTTGGATGTCCTATTAGAGAAAATGGAATGGTGTTTTTTTAATACATAAAACATTTCAAATAATTATCTTTTATAGTTGAAAATTTGATTATCCACATGACCACATGCCTTTGATTGAGTTTGAGAACGAATCCCGGCGTCAAATTTTTCACTGCAGAGAATAAAATAAAATAAAATAAACTACATGCATGTCATAACACTACAACGTATAAAGCAAATAATGACTTAAACTTTAAGGTATGTATATTCAATAACCTCAAGTTCGATTCACTATACATTGATTCCAAACGCATGGCATCGACCCACCGTCGTATAAACTGGATTACACGTACCCATCAAGAAAGAATGATACTAAGTACACAATTAGATAATAAAAAGATCATCCGAAAATAATTATGGATAAATGGTTTGATTACTGTAAGGATATTTACCGGTTCATCTTTGAGGCTGTATACGGTTGGATGGACCGACATGTTACAGTAGGTCATGCATATGTGTAACATAAAAGAATATTAAAAACACATAACAATTAATCCTATTACTTAAAAAATTTAGATGCGTAATTTATCACAATGGGTATACCTTCCACGTCTATAACAAGGCAGCTCGAGATACTCGTGTATGGTCTCTTCGATTCTATAATCATAAATTTATACAAATATATAGATATTAGAGATTAAACAACATATTTTGATTGAATTGAAAAAAATTAAAAGAACAGCGATGATTGGATGTCAGATGCTTTAACAAAAACAATAAAGTTTAGATATCAGATGAATTCAATAATTAAAGTACAAGGATTAAAATAAATTAAATAAAACTTCAACAAAATCTTCTTAACAATCATACAACAAAAGAAATTATGCAAAAATTTGACAAGGAATACCTTTTTTTGGCATCAAAAAGGAAAAGTTTACCAGAAGGAGAGAAAAGAACGAGAGCAATTTGAATATCACAGAGAGTGTATAGCTCATAAGCTTTTTTCAAAAGCCCACTTTTTCTTTTGGCAAATGCAATATTTCTTTGTTGTCTATCCTCAATTTTCCTCATCTGTATTTTCACTCTCCCCATTTTTTTGTTTGTTTGTTTGGTCTCTCCTTACTTTCACAATGTTTTTTGCTTAGCTTTCAAACTCAACATAAAGATGTTCATTATCAAGTGCCTTTATAAGTTACTTGAATGGTTATGGGAAGAACTTTATCTAGATTTTCCATTAAATTATATTTAAAATATTAATTAATATTAATTAATTATGTGTTATTAAAAATTATTAAATATAATTAAATTCATTAAAATACTTATTTTTTTTCTTAATCCATCTTTTATTCACCACTTGTCATAAATGACATAGGGTGGTTGGTTCAAATGTAACTATATATTTTATCATTTCACAGTTGTAGAATTAAACTGTATATGTGTTAACTAACTGTACTCTATGGTTTGGATTCTGGATATCTTAAAATCAATGTATTAATAATGACTTTTAATTATCTGGTGTATATATAATTTTATATAAATATACAAATTATTTTATCATAAAATTTTATAATAGAAAGGAATCATATATAACTTTTGTTATGTATATACACATTAGATTATAAACATGCATAAGACATCATAATTCTCAATCATTCATTCATGACTCAGTGACCCAATTTATCCCATGTAGAAAGTGTGAAGTCAGAGATCCCTTTGTGGTAATGCCACTTGTCAATAGACTTATATATCACATATGATGAAATGGAGAAAAATTAATAATAGTATTTGGTATAATATACTATATACTGACATACACTCTCGTGGAACCGTGGAGCAAAAGAATTTTGAAAATACTAATGTCAACGATAATGTTAAGGTTGACATTATGCGCCTACAGAAGAAACGAGAAATAGGCAAAGTCGTCTGGCTAGAATATTAGACGGCTACCGGAGAAATGAGATCGGAGCCGGTTGCTGCAACCGCTCTTCCTCGAGGAGATGATTCCTCTAAGCCCTCGTTTTGGCGTGTAGGACCTTTGAATAACGAGGCAAAACACGATCTTTCTGAAGTTGAAACGCAAGTTAAAATATTCGTTGAGGATTTGAAAAGCGATTCAACGGATACTCAAAGAAACGCGACCGCGGAACTCAGGTTGCTAGCGAAACACAACATGGATAATCGCGTTGTGATAGCAAACTGCGGGGCGATCAGCTTGTTAGTGAACCTTTTATACTCGCACGATTCCGCGACGCAAGAAAACGCGGTTACCGCGCTTCTTAACTTGTCGATTAGCGACAACAACAAGAAAGCGATTGTCGATGCGGGTGCGATCGAACCGCTGATTCATGTCCTAGAAAACGGAGGATCGGAAGCTAAAGAGAATTCAGCTGCTGCCCTTTTCAGCCTCTCTGTGATAACAGAAAACAAGATCAAGATCGGTCGCTCAGGTGCGGTTGAACCGCTAGTTGATATGCTCGGTAACGGTACACTTCGCGGTAAGAAAGACGCGGTTACCGCGCTGTTTAATCTCTCGACGTATCATGAGAACAAGACGATGATCGTGCAATCTGGAGCGGTGAGACACCTTATAGAGCTAATGGATCCAGCGGTTGGTATGGTCGATAACGCGGTTGCGGTTTTAGCAAATCTAGCCACGGTTCCTGATGGAAGAAACGCGATAGGTCAAGAAGGTGGGATTTCTCTTCTCGTTGACGTTCTTGAATTAGGTTCTGTTAAAGGGAAAGAAAACGCGATAACCGCTCTTCTCCAACTTTCTAAAAATAGCGGTCGCTTTTGCAATATGGTTCTTCAAGAAGGAGTGATTCCTCCGCTCGTCGCTCTATCTCGATCCGGTAACTTCCGAAGCCGAGAAAAGGTATTTTTATATTTGAAAATATATAAACGTTGAGTTGCAAATGAGAATAAATGTTTTCGTATACATTGTAGTTTACAAAAAAATATTTTTAATTTGTGTGTAGGCACAAGCTTTGCTTAGCTACTTAAGGAATCTTATCGGGCCTGGCTAATAATGGGAACTGAGAGATTTCACAAATCTTTGATTCTGACTGTAAATTGTACCAATATTTCCATTAATAAAGGTCTTAGTTCATAAAGAGATGATTGGGATTGAGAGCATTTGATTTATAAATTGTAAGATTTTTACAACAAAAAAGATTCTCACATATCCATATTCTTTTTTTTGTAATATAAATAGAATGAGATTTATGATGTGAATGAAAATTAACAAGAGCTGATTTCTTTTTCTAAACGGAATATTCGGGCACATTTTTGATTTGTCCATATTTCTTGATTAGGAAAGATATTTTTTCGGGCAAATGTTGTAATAATGTACGTAAAACATAGTTTTTGAAAAAGAGAAGAATCCGAAGAAAAGGTCAAAGACGTACGAGTGGAGTGGACCCCACTGGTAATTTCAGAAGATAAAACAGCAAAAAAAAGAACAGTCTCTCTCGCCCATAAAAAACCTTCCACCACCGTTTTTACTTTATTTTTTTTTATAATGGTGGCTATGGGATCTCCGTCGTTTCTCCGTCGTGTTTCTCACCGCCGATTTTAATCACACTTTCCTCTCCGCCGAATTATTCGGTGAACCTGTCGGGAAACACCGACCTTAGTCCAATTAGGTAATTATCTCGTTTAATTTCCTCTACGTTTCTAGGGTTTACAGCTCTGTTGTTTTGCATCTGGAATTGTGGTCTCATCGACGATCAAGCTTCAAATTTTCGTTAGGGTTTCGTGTCAATTCGTGTTCTTCCTTCGAATTTGATGCGTATGTATGTATATATATTTTGGGCGTAGGCCGTATGTGATGAAAATTCTCCGTTCCGATCGAGAGAAGTTGTTCAATTCTCAGTCTCTTTCTTCATTAAAGCGATGATTTTTTTTCGTAGGGTTTATCTGAGAAGAAATAAAAAAAAAAGGACATTGGGTATGGAGTCGAAGGAATCGAAGGTAGAAGTGGATGAATCAGTCAATAAAGAGATGAGGGCATTTCCGAAAGATATCGAAGAGAAGGCTATGCCGTGTAGTAGTAACTTCGAGGACCAGAGTTTCTACAATGTAGAAGAAGATCTCACTGAGGATCATTGTGTTGGTGGTGCTGATGCTTCTTGTACCAAAGAGCCCGACGAGGATCAGTGTGTTGGTGGTGGTGATGCTTATGGTACCAAAGATGCCGAAGAGGAAGGCGACCAGGTTGATATACTGGAATGCACGGGTTTTGATGATAACAACGAGCTTCAGGACTCAGAATGCAATGATGGGACTGATGCGTATTCAAGCTCTTTTAGTGGAACGGTTTCTGAAAATGAGAATGAATCAGCTTTGAATGATCAAGAAGCTGATTCCATGATGATTCCTACTGATACTTCTCTACCGTTCTGGGTGAGGTAAGCTCCTCTCTCACACTCTTCAGAATGAGTTATTATTATCATGTTATGATAGGGTTCGGCATTTAATTGAACACCATCAATGTGTGCTTGATTCTGAAAGAGACTCAAATTTATGAAGTTACATTAGTATATCTCCTTTTAAGGAAGTGAAGATAAGATTTTTGAGTCTGTATTGTGAATGGTATGCAATTATTTGATCTTGTTCCTTTTTTATGGCAGAAAGAAGAAGCTGACTGATCATTGGAGGAGGTTTATACGGCCTATCATGTGGCGGTGCAAATGGGTTGAACTCAAAATCAAAGAGATTCAGAAGCAAGCACAGATGTACGACAAAGAACTCCAAGAAACTTGCCAAGCCAAGCAGCTGGAGTTAGAGAGTCTCAAACCAGAAGAACTTGGAGTGAAGGCATCGTCTCCTCTTCCATGTCATACTCAGAAAACCCCACTCAAGAAGAGGCAAAAGAGAATTCGAATCGAAGAAGCGTCGGATCTTCCATCCTATGCATCAAACCATAACATCTTCTCTTATAACGGTATGGAACAAGTTTTGGGGTTCTCTTCTTTATGGTCGTCTTCAGCAATGTTCATCTGCCATTACTAGTCTAACAATTCCTTTCATATCATTGTTTGTGATCTCTTTACAGAATGCCGGAAATCTTTCGCCGATGTTGCTCTCATCGATAACTCCCGCAACCTAGGTTTGTTCTGAACCTCAGCTTTTGGTGTGATCTTAATCCTTTTGGAAAGTTTGATCTCACGAATTATTTTCTTACCAGATAAAAAGAATAAGAACTCTAAGGAAGAGGCAGTTTTCTGTGAAGAGGCACCGCCTCTGGAGTTAAGAGAAGGCGATGCGTGCTTGGAGCAGATACTTTTGAAGATTGAAGCAGCAAAGCTGGAAGTCCGTAACTTGAAGAACCGAGTAGACAAGGTGGTGAATGAAAACCCAAACAGGTTCTCTTCGGCTAACACATTGAAGCTGCCTGGATCTGCTGCTGTATTGACCAGCTCGGAGCAACAAAAGCCCCAACTGGTTATCAAAAACGAAGATGAGGAACAGGTCACTCGTGAAGAAAAACCTGTTAAGGCTGCTTCAGTTTCATCTCATCACGACACACAACCTGAAGGCGGCGAGGGGACAGATATCTTATTGTCTGAAATTGTGGCTTCAAGGCGAAGAGAAGGAAAAGCTGTTGTTCCTGATAAGAAGCTTCAGGAGTCAGAGCAAGCTTCTGTTGAGGAAGGTCCATCAAGACCTGTAAGTTGAAAAGTGGGAACTGTACAAAACCTACTATGCCATTTGGTCTCTCTCATATGCCTTTTAAAAACAATGCAGGCAAGAAAACGAACACCACGTAATCTTGACGTGGTGGTAAAGGAAGAGACTAACCCAAAGAGACGTAAAGTTTCAAGAGAGAAGCCAAAGTCAAATGTGATGGCTTCTAGGTGTAAGGTTCCCAATAGGAAGAGGAAGCGAGGCAAAAGAAGGTCAGGCTCTGCTGGACTAAGAAGAAAATCCTAAAAAAGCTCTGGAAAGTTTCAAGAAACAAACAAGATCCTGGGTTATAAGATTAAAGTGTTGTTCATTCTAAAGCTTCATCCTTGAAGAAGTACAGAGAGATACATATATATAGAGTCGCAGCGTGTTGATTCTTCGTGTTAAAATCTCATCATTAACTCTATTCAAACTCATGATATGTTGTTAATGTATTTCTGATGTTGTTTATGGATTTCTAAATAAATGTAGAAAATCTTCTCTTAAAGTGGATTCGATCCAAAACTTCGTGTTTTACTGTTTTCTTTTCAAAGTGAATTAAAGTCTAAACCTAAATCTACTTTAACCAATCACGCCATACATAGTGCAAAAAAGATGTTATTTCCCCCCCATAATTGGCGTTATTCTACATAAATGCCGACTGAAAGATGATATAGTTTGTCTAATTCTACTAAATTAATCTCTTAAGTGGAATCAAAACTCAAACTTGATGTTGTTTTAGTCCCAAAATACATAAACTTTGTTTAGTTTGAGACTGTTCTCCATCTGTATAAAATGAACTCAGAATATTGCTAATTTTCAGTGATGCAGTCTCTTGTTCAAGAGAGAAAAAAAAGAAGGATAAATACGAGAATGAAGAATGGTTAGGTAAAACATTATTTCAAATACATTCTTCTTGAGAGTTTGGCAGAGACAATGGCCAAAATGGTGACCGTAGGGACGAATATAACATCAGGAATAAGTTTGATTAGTTTTAACTGAGGAACATTCTCTCCCGCTCTCTTAGCCGCCATAGCAGCCGGAGGAGATACTATTCCGGTGATCATAGTGACGTCATCTAGTTTACTTGGCTTCACTTTCTTTGTAATGAACTCTATGAACACTTTTTTCTTCCCTTCTTCGTCTCTCTCTCCTTTCCACCGCGTGAAACAAGCCTAATGAATAAACATTGTGTTAATTTTTTTTATAGAAATGTAACTACAATAAGTTTCTTTGTGTCGAGGAAAGGACTTACCTTAATTTCCTCCGGGGTCGGGAAATCGAAGTGTCGGCCTGGTAAAGCCGAGTTGAAGTTGCTACACTCAATTTATCAAACTTTGTTATGTAAAAAAATTGCGATGAAACCGTAACTTAGACTAGTTCCGGAGTTTATAATCATTATTCTTTTCTAAAAACTAACCTAACCCATTGTTTAGACTAACGATTTATGTGACTTTATATGAGAATTCTTACTTAAAGATGTCTAAAACAGCAACGTGGAAATCGTCGAAGTTGTTGATAGCTTTTTGGGTGAATTGTTTGTAGAGTGAACCCATTACCATATTCATCATCTGCGTCGGTGGTACACCTATACGTCCATATTGTTACAACGTTCGGATTTATTACTATAACGAAATCGTTACTATGTTAGAGAATTTCAAACCTTTTCCGAGAAAGCCCATTGATCCCCCCATATTGTCTAGAAGTTGGTCTTTAGAAACAAAATTGAATGTGAATACATATATGTATTGATGTTGGGGGAATCAGTGACTTGGCTTGGTGGGTTTTGTAAAGCCAAGAATCTTGAAAACGTATACACAAGACCTTGGTTTAAGTATAACTTGTGCTCTCTAAAGGTTAACAGTGTCTTTAAAATTTACCTTTGCTTAAATACTGCAAAGTCTGTGAATCTTTTTCATTTCTTGACAATAGGGTAATGTACTTTTAATTAAAGGCACGGGAAATGACTTGTATTCCTTCCCCTAAGTTTTATTTAGCTCTTAAAATTTGGGGAAAAAACCTTTTTTTTTTTTGAACTTTTTGTTTTCTATTACGATTTTTTATTAGAAAATGTACATGAAGATTAAATTTGGAATCCAATGTGAATTACTCCGGTTCTTTGAAATATATAGCCAGGGACGACTTCTCCCTTCTTTTTGCTTACCATATCATCAAATGTCAATGAATATTTATATTTTTTTCAAATATGTAGTTCTCTTATGAAGAAGACAAACATATGAATCTAGTTGCTTGGACAGATACAAACAAATAAACACTGTTATTGGATCCATACATGTCCAGTAATAAATTTCAGACAGTTCATTTATAGCGACTTGGCCACTTGAGTTAATTACTTGTACTAACTTTTAAAAAAAAACTATAAGATCCAACTAAGTAGCTGACACTATTCGCATAAAAAGTCATTTTCAATTGTAAAAATAATGTTTTTGTTCAATGAAAATACAATGAATACCACCAAGTCGAGTCTCAGTCTACCACTCTATCTATATAATACTCTTTTATAAAAGGTTACTACATGTTAAGCATCTGTCAAAAATATAACTTAATGATTCTACTACAGTCCAAATTTCATTTTCTAATAAGAAAAACATCCTTACAATGTCTATGGCACTGTTTTGCTTTTGTTCACAAATAACACATAATAAGACATCCATTAAATACTATTAAATTGTATGTGTCATTTTCAGTGAAGAACTCGGACCCATTAGTAAAGACTATTGTCTGCAAGAGAAAAGAACATCAATTTGTAGTAACAGTACATACCATCTCAATTTCTTTTTCGTATATAAAAGATTACTATTTCCATATAAATGAAATAAAAGAAAACAAACGGTCGAATCAATTAAATAACTTATACCAAATTCGTAAAGAAAGAGACAACGGTGGTAGGGTCAAAAAGATTAAAAACAAAAAATTAAATAATTAAAAAATAAATAATTTAGAAGGCCATAACGATAACGGCCCATGCGGTTGCAGCCGCTCCCACCGCTACATTCCGCAATACACTTGTGCTCTCTACTCCGCTCTGCATTAATAAATAAATTCCGTATATAAATACAAAATAAATGTAACGAGATTTAAAATGAATCTTTAAATGATTGAAATGTCTACAAAATTGATAAATTAAATCACAATATTAGTCTAATTGCTAGACTAAACTAGACAGGATGTCGAATTTAATTTCTTGTTGCCTTAATTGTCGAATGATAGTAATTTTAAGGGAATGTACCTGATCGTCGGCGGATGCGGCCGGACCGGGAGAATCTGCGTCGGAGTTAGGTCCGGGTGCTTCCGTCGGTGGTGCAGGTGGACTGTCAATCCCGGGAGCCGAAGCCGGTGCGTTGTGCTTCTTCGCGGTCTTTTTATGCTTGCTTGGAGCCGGAGCCGGTACATCGGCATCGGGAGCCGGGGGAGTAGCAGCTTCTGGGGCTGGAACCGGTGGAGAGCTCACCGGAGCAGAAGCCTTTGGTGAAGGAGCCGGAGGAGGGCTCTCGGGAACAGGAGCCGGCGGCGGTGAAGATATTTCAGGAGCCGGAGATTTCGGTGCCTCGACAGGTGACGAGACCGGAGTGTTCGCCGGAGCTTCAGTGGGAGTAGTGACGGCGGGGGAAGTAGTTGGAGCAGAAGGAGCGGCGGGAGATATTGACGGAGCGGGGATCGGAGATTGGCCACCGACACCGGCGACGACAATGCAGATCAATGTAACCGTGAAGAGGAAATTACGTTCCATAATTTTTTTATCAAAAGAAGAAAAGAATTTAGAAAGAGAGAGTATGAGTGAAGAATGTGTAAACCGTGTTGTTCTGGTGAACGAGAATTGTGCGTTTTTAATATATATAGACGATAAGAAGAAATCTGGATCGTTGATTAAGAAAGGACCACACACAGATGTAGCCGTTGAGAACAGAGCATAATATCCTGTATTTGTGGTGGTGGGCTCAATAAACTTTATATTTATATATTTTTCTTTTTTACAATATAGCTTCTTTTTTTTCTGGTCCAATTTTATTTACAGTATAGCTATTCTCTCCATTTTTGGTTGTTTTGCATTTGGAAAATGAGATTTTCTTGCCTTTCTATGTTTTATTAAATTCAATTCCGGAAATTAAGGCTATCTGTGATCGGGATACAAGTACAACATTCATTTATATTGGAAACAAAATTTTACGTCAAAATTATGTGATTATACATTTATACTAATTGGGATTTGAAATTAATAAAGCCGCTCACACATTTGTACTACAACACGGTTTAGAAACTTCCAACTACCAAATTTTTTTATCTTGTCAGGAACTTTATATAAATTAATAAAATAGCAAAAAAATAAAAATACATTGTAATTGGGGATTGGATTAGTACAGTATTATGTGCAGGGGAAAAATAATGTTAATAATAATAAAAAGTAATAAAGTCGAATGCAAAATAAGATAATGTAACCGAAAAAGACAATGAGAAAGAAAAAAGAGATGAAACAACCTAAACAAAAAGAGTCTTTGGTCGGAAGATATGGAAAGAGAGACAGCTGGTTGATTGAATTTAGACTGGTGCCCACACGGCTATATTTATAGTATTTTAGCTATAAATTAAGACCTCCTGCAATTATTGGGAACATTTTCAAAATTTTCGTTGTAATCTTCCTTTCACGATACTTGGCATTATTAATATATTTAAAAAATTACAGCTAATTTGTTGCCACTATCACCGCCTTCATCTCCATTGTGATTGTGCTAGTCTGCTATAACAACTACTACTTTCATTGTGATCGTCAATCAATAGATCGGAATAGAATCAAACCGTCGAACCAATGACGAAATGTATTGCTTAGGAGCTAAGATTTTTAGTCCTTTTTATCTTCTTCTCACTTTGTTGCATCCTTATTTCAATGGCTTTTTTTTTAGAATATGAAAAAAGTATTCACTACGTTTTCTCTAGTTTATTTTCCAGGAACTAAGAAAAAGTAGGACACGTTTCGGTCTTGCTATTCTTAATGTTAACGTTACATCGTTACCATTTGTTATTATTTAGCAAAGTAAAGACAATAATGACGACAAGTCGAAGCTTCGTGTCGGTGGAGAAAACACAAGCGAGTGGTATCGACTTGACGAGTGTTGCAACGATAACTGTTTCTCGAATCTGTAAAACAATGTTTTATGAACAAATATTTTAAATTAATTTCAGAACATACAACAACGGTCATATATTGATCACGCCATGGCCTATGAGTGGTGGTGCCAATCAGAGTCAGAAATTTGGCATTAACAAAAAAACATTCGGACGAAATTAGCAAACAACAAACAGCAGATCCAAGAATCCGACCTAAGTAACACCTTTTCTTTTGGGGGTATCAGAATCGAATTTTGGGTCCTAATTAACATCGTAAGACAGATCCATAGGATAATATGAAGAAACGCCTGAAAATGCAAGAAGCAAGAGAAAGAATTGAAAAAAGCTAATGTCATAATTTTAGACTAGTAATACAAGGCTTCGTAAATCATAAGCAACATAACTCCCAAGAGTTTCTCATGTTGACTTGTGACTGAAGCGAAAGAGATCATATCTAAATACATTATTAAAACTGTAAAATAAAACTAAACATGGGTGATGTCCAAAGAGACAAAAAAAAACAACTATAAGAGTTAAAAGATATTCTAGAAACCCTATCAAAGCTTTTTTTTTTTTAAGACAGAAACAGCATAAGCCGAAGGTTTATGACTGAAATATAAGTTTTTCTTACTGCTCACGGTTGGGTTAGCTTTCTTCACCTCTTATGTCAGACTGTAAGAGACAAAGAGACAAGACTTAAAACTCAATCGTTGTAAGAGCTAAGCGCCGCGACAACCGATCCGGTTGTTGAAAACGCCGAGGAAATTTCCGGGTGATCTCTCCACGACGTGCTGATTTTCAGGGATGGATATAACCAAGACTTAACCGAACCAGTAAAGGAACCCGGTTCAAGATTAAGAATAGCCTCCCAATCAATCTGTAACCCTTTCGGGATACTCTCAGTGAACTCCATATTAGCAGCTAGCAGAAGTCCCATTAACACTACAAATCCCGTTACGGCCGTCCCTCGAGCTAACGGCATAAAATTGTACCTGAGAAAGAAAAAAAATGCAGATGCTTTACAATCATATGTACCAAACATGTTCTGAGATGATCAATCATATAATATGTTGTCATTGTCATTTTACCAGTAATACGTCATGCGTAAGATAGCGTCTCTAACGGTTTCTAGAGCGTCGAGTTTAGTAGAACCGTAATTCTCTCCACAATACGCATTGCATACAGCCTGTGGATTCAGATGGACTTTTTTTTTGAGTTTGTTTTCTCAAAAGACAACAAAAACGAAATGTTTTGCGTATGGTTAGGTCTTATTACCTCCCAAGCTGAGGTCATTTCTTCATCGAAATCGCTCCACCTCGCAGGTGTACATGGGGTCCGAATTGCAAAATCATACCCAAGCCTTTCCCTGGATATATAAAAAAACATGAGAAATTTGTTTAAAACAGTGGTGATCAGGATTTTTCTGTGAAATCAACTGCGTAAAAAATAAAGTTTACGGTTTTTGAATGCAGGTGATCCTAGTTCCTTCAAGGCGTTTCCTGAAGATATTAACAAAGAAAGAATCATATTCAAGCCAATTTTTTTTTTTAAAAGAACACAACGTGAAGTGAAAACTTGTGGGATTATAGTAATAAACAGGAAATCTACCCTTCGAATGCAGTACTGTCGCACCAAGTAGCCACCCAGAAATCCTCACCAACAATTTTGTGTAGCTCTTCACACGTTGCAGCACGCATTATCTGCATCCCGTAAGGAATTACAGTAAGAGAACAATGACAAAAAAAAAAGAGAATCATTTACGCAAGAAGAAAGGAAAACTGACTTCTTCTATCTTCGCATCTTTAGATAGATCAATAACTTCATCTGCCTTGCTGCGTACAGAGAGTTTATCCTTGATGATGGTCTTTGCAAGACTCAGGGTTCTGAAGCAGCATATTAGAAACTGATCATTCCAACAATTGAAAAAAGTCATGATTGAATACAATGAAAAATCTCACGATCTATGCATACTTTACCTTTCATAATTTGGGAAGTAGCGTACTACTTTAGCTTGTCCGAGTAACATCGGCGTATGTGAACCAAACCCAGAATTAAACTCTTCACTGCAAATAGCATAAATAATCTCAACTCTCAAAGCAATCAAAGTTCCGAAGTTAAACAGAGACTCGCAGATGCTGAACCTGTTCAAAGAGTCAGTAGATATTCCACTAACATAGCATAGGAACATGTACCTTAGTTTGTTAACCCACACAACTGGGTCACAAGGCTCTGAAATTTGTCTCCATCTCACAGCAGAGGAATAAACTTCTTGCCAAGACAACATCGAGCGGCCAGATGATCGATCTTCGAGTGAGGCATACGCAGTTGAAGTTTCACTGGAGCTGCTAGTACTACACCCAGCACCACCTCTATTCTGGCTAAGCATGTTTATTCTTTCTCTCCTACGGTTTTTTTTCCCATTTTTTGCCGTGCCTTTGTTTAAACTCCTCCACTCTATGCGCCAAGCTTTTGAAACCTTTTGAGCAATTTCTATCACAGCCAATCCTGCCATACGATGCTGGAGAATCATAGAAACACAAAGGATCAATTGAATATAATTATGATAGTCTAGCCAGGAGAGGCTAGATTTCAGGCACATATATATAACATTATATGCATATTCAAGTATAGAGGGGATATATATATATATATATATACAGATGCAACAGGAACATTCTGGGACAAGAAAAAAAAGAGTTGCATTGAGGTTTAATGTTGAAAAGGTAGTTACTCAAAATTATTGCTTAAAGTCACCTGACGTCTGTTCGGTAAGAATCCAGGACAATCATATTGGATTTTCTTGCCAATTAAATCAGCGAAGCGAAGAAGATTCGCCTTCGGTTTGGTTATTGCAAGATCTTGCTTTTTCAGTTTACCCTTCTTAAGGGATTCACGCAGGGGAGGCTGTCTGTAAACCTTTTCACATACATCCTTTGGGTGTAATCTTTTGCACCAGTACTCCTGAAATCCCACATGAAAAAGAAAAGTCATATTCACCAGATATACAAAATTGGGAGAAAGGACAGTGAAAGCTCAAGGTAATCTGATATCTGCTTTCGCAAATCCACATACAGTACTTGAAATCACTCATAGTCATCTCGTGTCGCAAAATCCATTTTAAGTATCAATTCAGGCCTCAAATTAGTTGAACTTAACAGTGAAGTCAGACTTTAAAGACATTTATATTGTCCATTCCAGCACATTATATATGCAAGTTTGTTCCAATATTATACATATGTCAAACATCATCTTTGAGCCTATGTTAGTATAAACTAATCAGAACGAGAGAAGACAGGTAAACAAAAAAAAAAGTCGGACGTTGTGAAAACGTCAGAAACATCGAGAGAGAGAGATAATTACCTTGAACATCGGATCTATGTCACCATCAATATCAAAGCAGAAAAAGTCACTACTAACTTTGGAAGCCGTGTACAAGGCAATCTCTTTCTGCGGAATAAAAAAAGGATAACTTAAATATTTATCGTGAAGGAAAGTTTACCGCTGTTACAAATGAAGCATTCAATTAAGTACGGAGAGGTTTTCATTGTTCAGTACTAATTAAAAAAAAATAAACAACGAAGCAGTACTATCAGATAACTAGCGTAATGCTTTTAGAACACAGTAATGCAATATCCTATCATTATCGGTTGCTACAAACAACAGTGTACCAAGAAAGCAACCTTGCAAATAACATTTCAAACCAATTATTAAAGAAACCATCTTTTGGAACCTGATAAAATGCCAGGCATTGAAGAACAAATTTCTCCACTGCATCAAGGTCTGCATCCACTGTAGCATCGTAGTCCTTCACCTGCGAGGATATGCAAGCAATGATAACAGAGAGTCTCCTAACAAAAATGCAGCCATAAAGTTGACAAACAAATATTTACTAATTTACCGCATCTCTATACTCTCCTACAGCATGATAGCAGGAACCTCGTAGGTACAAGCACTCTATCGAGGTCTCAATGCTCAAGCCAATAGATAATTCCTTGATAGCCTTCCTGAAATATAAAATTAAGAAAAAAACTACAGGTGAATAATATCACTGCTTTCAAGACCAGCCTTGTACATAAATCCCAAGGTGATTATCAGCTTCCTTTTAAACATCATTTTGCTCAGAGGCAGGTCATTTACCACCAACGGTAAGGAGAAGAAAAGCGTATAGTTAGGACATCATATTTTATAGACATTGAGATATACTTGGATCACTAAAGACATTTTAGGTAACATGCATAATAACGAAGACATATTTTCTCCTTTAACCCGAATTTTTACTTTCCAGAAATCATAGTCTACGCTAACGGTACATACCTGTGTTCACCTAATCCATGGAACACTAATCCACGCAAGTGATAGGCCTTCCAAACCCTGGTCAACACAGGAAAATTCCCATGACTGTGGCAAAGCTAGAAATATTAAGCAACATGCGCTATTGCATCCAACTAAGAGCTACCTGTTGTCCACTTGTAGAACCTGCTCAATGCATTCCAAAGCCTTGCTATGGTCGGCCAACTCTTGATAGAACTGCCAAGAAAAGCCAGGAAACAACATCGTGTACAGTGAATAAGTGTGAAGTGTATAATAGTTAACTGATTCAAGCAAGAAACTACGGTGAACCAACTAATTAAGGAAAAATAACTTCATGTTCTATCAGGAAATGTATGTTTACTTCTGCCTCCAAAAGTCAAAATGTAAGTTTACTTCATTTTGAAGTCTCACTAGCTTTACAGAAAACTAACTTCGTTTAATCACCATCACATCACATCCATGCAAAACCAGATTAAAAAGAAAAAAGCAATGCCCATAATCCTATTTAACAGTTCAGCTTAATAGTTGAAAACTCAATAAAAAAACGCATAGTTGTATATATTTTAGTATTTGCGTGTTTTACCTGGGCGAGATGTAGCCATGCTTCAAGATAATTACTATCCAGCTGGATGGACTTCAAATGCGCTTCTTCAGCTTTTTTATATTCACCAAGAGAAGCAAAAGCTAGTCCCTGGAAAGATCAACAAATTTTTACTAAGAAACCATTTATGGTCATGATTACTTCAGAAACCAAGAATAACAACAGACGATAGTCTTACCAAATAAGTATATGCGGACTTGTTATCTTTCTCTTGCTTCAGACATATAGATAGGTCCTTTATAGCAGCAGTGAAGTCCTTAGATCTAAAATTAATAATACCTGAATTGATTGAGAATGTCAGTGGTACTTTATGGGTTTTCACGAAACAGAACAGGTATTAAGAAATCAAAACTGAAATTGACGGCAAGATGTAAAAGGAAACACATCACAAAGACACTTACCCCTTTCGTGCAATATATCAGGTGAGTTTTTCTCATAAACCAGTGCTTTTGTCAAATCTTCAACCGCCTATCACCAAAGGGTAGCTTAAGAGTATGTACAAGAAACGTTTCTGGATTTTTTACCGATAAAATGCAATCACTATACAGGCTTAAACACAGACATCAATCATAGACTTACCCAAATTATTGGATACCAATCAGGAAATAGTATTTATGAATCAATAAATGTGCAGGGCGAACAGTTTTAAGAAGCCTCATAAATTACATTGATTGTTTGTGCTTTTAGCTCTTATTAAAGAACAGAAGCAGATAAGACGAGGAACCACTAACCTCAGCAAATTCCCCAAGAGCAGCGCGAGCCTGTCCTCTCCGCTTCCAGGCCTCACCTGCTGCTGGGTTAGATTGAATAGCCTGACGATCATCATCACAGGAGCAGAATTGGTGAACTAAACCCACTGTAGTAACGACTCTTGTCAAATATACAAATACCTTAGTAAAATCAGCTATAGCATTTTCAAGCTCTCGTTTGAATGCATAAGCTGTCCCTCTTCCTATAAGCGCCTCAGGGTAATTCGGTTCTTCTTTCAGCACCTGCACACAGATAAACTATATGGTAAACAAAATGACCCATTCATTTCTGCGAAACAACCTCCAAGAAGGAGGTAAACAGAGAAAAGAAAAACAAAGGACACTCGCCAGAGATAAAAATCACCAAAAGAGGAGTACATGACAAATCACCTTATCAAAAATAGATATGGCTTTCGCGTAGTTTCCTTCGTTCACCTGTTGACAAAACAAGAGCCCAGTGATCAAGAATTTGGAAGCTATACCTCAACACCAGTATAATACAACATAAAAATTGCTCTTTACTCATCTTTTTTGCTGTATTTGCTATACCTGTGCAATGCCTCTAGAAAGTCGAAAATCCACAGTTATAGAATGAGTGTCTGACATTCTTGCTATGGTGTACTTCTTATTTGTCTTGGTTTCATCGGTGACTCCACATCGTGCCTTAGCTTTATGGCTCAATCTAATAGATCCGGACTTGATAGTTAACGTGTTTCCAACAAGCGACAGGTCCCCTAACCGATCAGAACTTTCAGATGAATCATCATGCGAATCAGAACCATTGCATGATTCATAAGAACCATTGGTTTGGCTGCCAGACTTTACATTCTCTTTCTCCTTGTATGCTGATCCATTACGTAACTCGGAACCACCACCAGGTTTCTTGCTCCCCTTAGATGCATCCTTTGAAAAACTACTCATCTTTGATTGCTCACCTAAATCCTCGTGGGTGTTTCCATTGCTGCATGCTCCTGATTCAGAAACTGCCATGCTCGATATTTTTTCATCAGACTTGTCACCAGCGCATGATCCTAGAGACGAAGCAGGGGTCTCTTGATGTTTCACAGCGCCATCGATTTCTTCTCTTGCAGCTTTCAGGAGTTCTTCTAACTCAAGTAGCTGCTTCACATCAGCTGTCTGCTGCAAAGCAATTTTATATCCTTGCTCCAAAACAAGAACAGCGTCCTGTTTTCTCCCCAGAGCCAAAAGAGCGCGTCCTACATGCAAAAAAAAAAAAAACTAATACACTTGAGTTCACGAGCAGAGCAGTACACTAATCTAATCTTTACAGAGACTACACCTCTTGTAAAATGTAATCCCACCAGATTCATAGTTTCCGAAGCTATCCCGAGAGTTAAAGCACTACTCGAAGATTCGAACTGAACTAACCTTTGAGTATGTAAGCTTGAATGGTGGAAGCTTCAAGCTGGAGTGCCTTGTCACAGTCTTTGATCACGTGCTTGTGAAGCTCCAATTGATTATAACAAAAAGCTCTATTGCTGAAAAAATGAAATTGAGATTAACGATTAGAAAGAGTCGGAATCAGTGATATCGATCGGGGGGAATTGAAGATCGCGGACGAACCAAATGTCCAAAATTGAGCACTGCTTCGCGAGTAGCGAATCGAGAACTCGGATCGCTTTGGACCAGTTCTGCGAACTGCAGTGCTTGGCCAATTCGACTCGCTCCGATGTCGCCGCCGCCATTTCTCCCGCACAGAAGCGAATTGGCGGGCGTGTCTCCCGAATTCGCCTGGTTTTATCTTCTCTTCGTTCGTGGCCGGCGTGTCTCAGGGACGATGGGTTGAGGGGTAAAACGGGAATTAGCAGTGGATAAAATGGCAAAGAGAGAAGACTTTGACGGAGAGCGAAGCGGGGAAGAAAATAAAGTAACGGGGAAGAGAGAGAGAGAGAGAGAAGACGATGATGGTGGTGGTGGAGGTGGTTCCTGGTGCGATAAGTGGTGCAAATCAAATTTTGGGGAAAAGAGTGACACACGTGTGAAGTTTCCGTCACGTGACTTTGTCCTAAACTTTTGTACATCTATGGGCCAGCCCACTTATCATTACAATTTTGAAATGGGCTATCTTAGAAAACTGTGTTAATCCGAAAACCGTATTAAATTGGACCAACTCTAGACCGATCGGTTTTGTATAATTTTGTTGTTGTTTTAATTAGAGATTAATATACCTCAGTTTTAAGTTTAGAATATATTAAATGGTAAAAAGAAAAAAAAATATATATATTACAAGAAACTACAATATAACAATATAAAATTTTAGAAATTATGTGTGTAAATGTATATATATTATACAAGTTTGTTTTACCGCTAAAAGCCAAGGCTATCCTTAGAGTGTGTGTGTATGTTCGCATCATCTATAGGACTTGAAACTTTGACATGAAATCGAAGAAGTAGTGATAAAAATCTTCGAAGATTCAATTACTGTTCACACAGCATTTGAAATCAATCACTATGGACCTTCAATTACGAACAACACTGTTACATGGACATGATATGACCACAGCAATAATGAGGTCGAGCAAAGTTGGACACAAAAGACAAAGACTAGAGATAAGAACAAGAACGATCAAATATCCAAGACAGACGAATCAGAACCAAACGACAGCGAAACGATATTCTCTATAGACAGACATATCACATCACAAATTTAATTTTTAATATTTTTCGTTAATATAATGTTTTTAAAAAAAACACTCTCTATCAGACAGCGATGTCATTGCGAATGTGACGGAGGAGGACGGGAATAACAGTATCCGGCGAGCTAAGCTGAGGGAGATGACCATCGGAAGGAATAACCTCGACGACGGATTCAGAACCGAGATTGGCGTGGAGATACTCGGAGACGGCGACGGGTACGGCTAAATCTCTAACGCTTTGGAGGATGTGACAAGGCACAGCAACAAAAGGTAAGATTTGTCTCATGTCACTTTGGAATATGGTCTGAGCCACGGTGAGCGCTATGTCCGGACGCATGTTGAAGAGAGTTCTGCTGAATTCTTGAACGGCGACCGAGTCTAAGTCGCCACCTACCGCGAGTGGAGCGAAACCTAAGCACCACGCTTTGTAATTGCTTCGCATCGCTTCGAAGAGCTGGTTTAGGTCGTCTTGCTCGAACCCACCTTGGTAATCAACATCGTTCACATATCTAAAACCCACCAAAAAAATCATTTTTAAAAAACGATTAAAGTATTAAAACTAACAAACTTGGGTTTTCCTGATCTATAAAGAAATACGGTATTCGGATTTAAGATAGAACACATGGGTACATCGTTCGTATTTTATTGATATTGTGAAATCGAAAGCCAGAGACTTTAGTATAAAATTATGTCAGAAGGAAATTAAAATAACATATAACCAAAAAATCCCAGCAAAAATCAAATAAACACATGGGTATTTCTAGCTCAGATCAAATGCTTTAGAAATGATAATTCAGACAAGAGGAAGAACAGAGAGGTCACTGGTCGAAATTCTGTCAGAAGAAGATTAAAATTAGCAAAAACCTCTAAGGTTCTTCACCAAAAAACAGAGAAGTAAAGATGGTTCTGTAATTAACGGAATTCGGGATTTTCATATATAAAAATCGTAACTTTCTAATTGACTTTGTGAAATCGGATGAATTAGACAATGGGAAGGAACAGAGAGGCCTTTTTGTCAGAGTGAGACATAGAAGCAAGCGATCTCGAAACAGAGTTGAAGAGATTTAGCAAAAAGAGAAAACAGAGTTGAAGAATATATACAGTATCTGAAAAAAAAAATTATACCTTGGGGAAGCAGAAACCATGACGATTTTGGAGAAGAGATCAGGTCGATTAAGAGAAGCCAAGACACCGACCATGCCGGAAACAGAGTGACCAACAAAGATACATGACTCAATTTGAAGATCTTCCAAGATTGCAATCAAATCGAAAGAGAAACCTTCGAGAGTCGAGTAACGATCGAAGTCGAAGTAGTCCGGGTTGGTCGTACCGGCTCCCATGTTGTCGTAGAGCACGACGCGATAATCATCGACCAGATGCGGGACCAGATGCTTCCACAGTGACTGGTCCGTGCCGAACCCGTGACCCAATACGATCGTACCTTGATTTCCTGAGCCAATCACCTTCACGTTGTGAGCTTCTTCCACTACACCCATCTCTATGACTCTCTCTCTTTCTCTGGACACTGAGAATCTTCTCTCGTTTGCTTCCTGCTAGCTCTCTTATCAGCTTGAATTACGAAAATTACGATATTCGTTTTGTTTTAAAGAGTTTTGGGTGGAAGAGGTTATAAATTCTGGGACTTCTTTCGGAAATATCGTGATTTTTTTTTGTAATCAAGCCCGAATTGTTTTGGAAATTGGAAAGGATTACACGAGGTGGAACGGTTTGGGTCAGGGTCGGTTTTATTATATTAGTTTATATAATTTATGCATAAAGGTGTGGTGATTTTCTTCTTTTCTGTAAAGAAAGATTCATACAGACTTATTATATATAAAAAAGAAAAGATTCATACAGACGGAGAACTTTTATCGAACGAGTTACAGTATACATATGTCAAAACATAGTTTCGGTCATCTAAAATGTCATTTTAAAAAATTAGTCAAAATCTTATAGTTATTATATTCAACTACATTTGATATATAGTCAAGGTTAAAAATTGGCATGTATAAAGACTGCAATAAATGTAACAACATCTTAGAACCACATATTTTTATTTTCGGCTCAACTAACTTGACATATAGTGAACGTATAGATATAAAGATCTTTGTTTTCTTTGTTTTGCCAAGTACCAAATGGCAAATCAATTGGTTAAAAGAAGTACAACTACAAGTAACTCAATTTCATAAACCATTTACCATTTTTTGTTTTGGTTTCAAGTCGTGATAGATTCATAACTATCTATCAGTCAATGATGCGAGTCTTTTCGACACACGTGAAAAAAAACAATGTATGATTGTATGTATTTATTTGTGCCATTGTGTATGTTGAATAATTGAGACGATGTTATGTGAAGAAGGGGCTTTTCTTTTACAGATTTAGACTCAGCTATAGACTATAGTATATAATCAGGAACCAAAAATGTATCTAAGATAAACATATTGGATTAGATACTAAATAATAATTAGGTTAAGAAATAAGAACCCAAAAAATGCATGGTTCCTGTTACGTGGAAGGGCGTGGTGCGTATGCGACCACGTATCACATCGACTTCCTCATCTTTGCAATTGTCGATATCTGTGAGATGATCCAGGCCCATTACTAATAATTTAAGGCCCATTTAGTTTAATTGCCTTATCGTAGACTTCTTCATCTCCTCTATTAGACCGTTTTTATTGTTGACCGATCAAGTGTGAGTTCACGATGACATGCCCAGTAACCGAGATGCCACGTGTCCTCGGCGTGCCACCTGAGTAGTGTTTGTTCGAAGGGAAGGAGATGACGATTTTCGCCGGACTGATACGACAGCGTTTCGGAAAATCAATTCCGGTTCAACTGAATTACGGATGCGAACCGTCGCGTTTTCTCTTCAACCTGAGTAAAGGAAGAGCTCGGTTGCTCAGCGGCGAGGCCGAGTCGGATCGGGCTGAGTTTCCGGTGGAAAACGCCTACGACATCTTGAGTGTCTCCGAAACCAGCTCAATCGCAGATATCAAGGCATCATTTCGCAGACTCGCCAAGGAGACTCATCCAGACCTTGTCGATTCGAAGAAGGACTCAGCTACTTCAATACGTTTCGTTCAGATTCTCGCTGCTTATGAGGTACAGTGTTTAATTGATTGCATTTTTATTGGATTTAAATTACTACTTAAGAAGATGAAGAGAAAGTTAAGTTTTCCACTGTTGTGATTAAAAAGCCTTATGCCAACCATGTGGTGGCTTTCATGTATATCGAAACTCAGATTATATGAACCTCTGGAACAAACAAAGACAGAATTTTTCAGGCTTTTGTGATAGTTACAGCTTTAGTGAAAGGGTCTGATGAGTGATATGATTTGTGGCGATGATGCAGATTCTTTCAGATTCTGAAAAGAGAGCACACTACGATAGATATCTGCTATCCCGGAGAATGGTAGTGACGAAACAGTCTAGACAAGGAGGGTATATGCTTAACAAGTATAAAACACGATTGACATTGAGTGAAGAGATGGAAGTTGTTGAGTGGCTTAAGTGGTATAGAGAAGCAATACATGATATAGTAATGGAGAAGAGAGTAGCAAATGGTACAGGGTACTTAGATGAACTGGAAGAAGATTTTTATTCAGCTATCCGGGCGGCGTATTTTGGTCCTGATGTAGACTCTGTGGAGCTTCTTCCCGATTGTTTTGAAGCTGAGGAAAGGTCTGTGTATGACACACGAGAGGTTTTGCATTTGGTATCAGGACGGGACCTTTTTGGCATGGTCTGCTTGGTAGATAACTTCCTTGAGCTGTCTTCTGCCTGCTCCAAGAAACTGGCTTTGTCGTCGTTTATGGATTCAGACGTGGGTCAAGCTGTCGATAAAGGCGACATTGGCATGGTATCTGATGAAATAGTTGGTCTTCGGATGTCTCATATACAATCCTCGAGAAAGAAAAACCATGTTTCGGATGCATATAAAGATATTCGGCTGCATGTATCTGGAAGAGTTGTTGCTACAGCCATTAGGGTTCCCCCAAAAGGGAAGAAACAAAACGAGGGTGATCACGATCACATACACGTTTTCCTCAATTCAGATGAAGGATCGAATCATGGCACTGAGTCTTCTCCGGGAGATGAAAATGGAGCGAGACTTCTTGTTGGAACTATAAGTGGTCTTGGGACAAGCCCAGATGAAGGTTCATGTTATGTCTATGATGGGAATGGTGCTAAGACTCACGTGATAATGAAACATAGAACATTTCTGGTTTGTGACTCTTATGATCTTAGCTTTTATTTACATTTCTCATGTTACAACATGTACATTTTTCTGAGGCATTGTTCTGTGATTGCATATAGAGACTAGCCCTGTTAATTAGTCATTCGATGGAATAAGCATGCATGTGCCTTAGAATTTGTTTTTTCACACTCTACAGGTGAGACATTTGCACTGGTACAGGATTGGGGAAAAGGTTTCTGTTTGCGAGTGTAGATGCAGTAGAGCCAAACTACCACCAAGCAAGTAAGTCAAATAGCTTATTTGCTTTATTTTCTGTTTTGGCTCACAGTTGATAACTTGATGGCATAAAGTAAAAGTATAGGACAGCCTTCTCATTGTTTTATCTTCAATAAAATGGAAGGGAATAGTTTGAGATTTGGAACATAAAAATCCGGAGAGAAAATCCTGTCTACTAAGAGTTTATGAACTGGTCCCATCTGAAGTTGCTTTTTGAAAATGTTATGATACTGATCTCTAACGTAAGCTTAGCATTATATCTTCACTGACATGAAACGAGAATTGTGTGAATATGGAAACAGGTTTTGGTTGTTTGAGCCTCGTTGTGGTTTGCATGATGTTGGAGGTTGGTATATTGAGACTTTTGGAAAAGATAAAAAGGGCCGGACAGTCCTCGCACAAAGATTCTGGGATGGAGTGGAAGTGGGCGCTACTCTGGATGGGTAAGGTCATAATACTTATTATATAGGGTAAAAGACTCCATGAATAGGTTTTTGCAAGATGGGGAAGGGGTTCAAGTGTTTTGTATCCGATTTAGTTCATGACTTTTGCCTTCTACAGGAGACTGCACCCTGGTATCTACTTGCTTACACTAGCGTATCGAACTCTTGATCTTGAAGATGAAAGGAGAAGGAAACGGTCAATAGTGGAAATCTTCGAGGCAAGGCTATCTAAAGCGTTGGATTGGTGTAAGAAACTGGTTAGGAGAAGAACTTTTGGAACTTAACGACTTTCCGAGTGTAAGATTCAAAGATGATTTGGTTTACATAAATACAAAACCCACGAGGTTGTGGTGAACAAAAGCGTTTCCGAAGGTTGGTACGGGACTCCATGACAATAGCATAACACACACATAAACTGGAAGACAACGTTGTGGCCTGAAGATGAATTTCAGGAAAACCCAGAATGGATGGGACAAGAAGCAACAAGAGATGGAAATATGCTTTAAAGTTGGGGAATCATGTATTTCTAGTAAGAAGAACTTCTTTTAATAGAGAATTGTATCCAAAGTGAGTCATTAGACTTGTACAAAATTTTAAATCTAATGGAACTAGTAGATTCCTTCTTCTTCTTCTTCTTCTTCATGGACTCCTAGGCAGATTCGGTGCCGGTCAACAAAGATTTGGCCGGAGGGATCATAGCCACAGCGAATCGTTCGTCCTTGGAATACTTCTTTCGTAAAGCTCCCTTACTCTCACTCCCTTCCTGTTGCTGCTTCCAGTGCTGATACGCCAATAGCTTTGCACAGTCCCTGTTTCAACATTACAAAACAATCAGACTCCAACAACATATTACAAAAACCCATTGGATGAAGCTGGACATGGTCAAGTATTTTTTTTACTTACATGAGCTGAGTTTCAGAATAGCCAGTGTGATGCTTGAGAGTGTTGGTCCAAACGGGAACTTGGTGAAGAGCAGATCTTGCTGCGTAGATTGCAGAGGCAGCAACCATAGATGGGCTGAACATTATCGTCGTGTCGTAATTCATTACCCCTAACTCCACCAGATAATGCACCATATTCTCCATCTGAAGAGAGAAACAAGATCAGTTAAGCATTATATTGTAATGCAAAGAAAAAAACCATGGAAGAAACAGAAAGAAAAGCTCTCTTACTCGTTGGTCTGCAATGGAAGCTTTAATGAAACGAGCGAGGAAGACATAGTGGGTCGGAACCGTCAAGTACCACTCGAGTGTAGACAGTATTGTCTTTTCCATCACCAGAATCTGTTTGTGGCTGTATGCATGGTCTGCAATGTCAACTAGATCCTCCACCTGCAAAAGAATCATGCTTTGAGTTAGATGAAGACAGGAGGAAAGAGTCAAAATCAGAAGCTAATAATCAATTCAAAAGTTTTTTTGTTTTGTTTTATCACCTGTGGTGGCCAGATTTCTTCGTATTTGGATGACATGAGAAGAGCACTGAGACCAACCAGCTGCAGTTCTTTCCTAGGTACTGGCTTAGCCGACAAGAACCGGTCCAAAATGTTGATGGTGAGGTAAAACGTTTCTGGGTTTAGCTCGAACCTGACAACTACATCTATCAACCATTCAACCAGAATCAATCTCATCTTTTCATTAATCTCAGGCTGCGATCGCATGTAATCCGTTGGACGCCATTCACTCTGCCAATCCAAATGACATCAATTATATAAGTTTCATAGCACAATGATGCAAGGAAAGATTCATGTACATATACTACTAAGTACTAACCTCAACAGATTTGTAGAAACTGTAGATGTCTTCCACATATTCCACAGCCGCAAGGTCATTCGTAGCATCAGCAGAATCAATATCAACAATCTCTTCTTTCTGTTTCTTCTCGAAACCACAAGCAGCCTAGAAAGCAAAAGAAAAAAAACTCAGAACAAACCCAAACATCTTCTTAACATACACCATGAATGAATCATCAAGTGAAGTTACCTTGCTTCTAGCGGTAAGAACGGATGTGTAAGTGGTTGCTTTCTTCTTAGCGGCTTTCTTCTCCTGGACAGCAACTAAACCACGTTCTTCATCACTGTCTGAGCTTATCTCTATGATCTCTACATCCTTTGGTTTCTCAGCTCTCTTTCTGGGCTTTGGTACCGCGATTCTCTTCACCACAGGTTGTTTATCAAGCTTCAGGTCAAAAACAATATAGCAACATGAGATACCAAAGAAACCTTGAGATCCCAATATATTCACAGGGGAAAAGGAGGAAACTTTGAGATTTACCTCCACAAGTGGGGCATGTTGAGACCGTGTACGAGGACGATTGATCTTCGCCGGCTCGTTCTTTGGGTAATTTCCTCGAACAACATTGCCTATATCACCCAGAACTTGGCGGTTTCTCCCTTTCCTAACATTTTTGTCATCTTCCACAACAACAACACCACCTTCGACACAAACAAAACAAAACCAAGTTCATAATTTTAGATTCACAGCGGTTTCGTCTCGTTGTTAGTATAGCGATATACCAAGAACAGAAAGTAACTCTCAAAACAAAACAATACCCAGAAAAAAAAAGATCTCAGATTTCTACATAAGAGTTCCGATTGTGAAACTAATTTACAACGAGAATCGAAATCGCGAAAATCAGTTTTCCGTAAACCCTTTGCATAATAGAAAAAAAAACCCGAAGATCTTACCCATGGTTTGCTGAGGAACAATCGGTCGAGACGCCATCGTTTTTGTATTCGATCGTATTTCACTCCTCTCTTCGTTCCTCTCTTTTCTCTCTCAGTGATCGATCTCTCGTCTTGGAAAATAGGCTTATGGTGGGGCCTCTATAAAGGAGGCTTCTTGAGGAAGATGAGCAGTTTCCCCCAACGGTCTGATTTTTTCTTATTTTCTAATTTTGATTTGGACGTTGCGATGAGATCTTCATCCAACGGTGCAAAAATGGTAGGTCAATCTTATGTGACCGTTGAGGGAGGCGCCTCTTAGGTAGGCTTTTAGGCAAAATCCTCTACCAAAAGGCCCACAAGGCCCATTAAGCTCAACGGCAAGTGATTGGTCGGTTACAAAGTGGCTGTTACTTTATCAAAATTCAAAATCGGCGACGGTATAAATTCGCTCTAGAAGTTAAGTTACATTACATGAAAAAAAGCTTGTTTGGTACTTTCATGTTTGATGTTGGGTTTTGGCTCAAAGTATAATAAATAACTAAAGATTGGTATACTCTAATGTTTGCACCAAAAGGAAGTTTTAGCTACAGAAATCAAATACAGAAGCAAACTACAAATACAGGATAACACAAAGATTAGAGAGACCTTTCAGACAGCTTTAGGTTGAATCTGTTCGAAGTCGAAAACCTCAAACATGAGCCGCCGAACATCCGGTTTTCCGTAGATGGTGTAAGCGAGGCCGTGAATGGCTTGTTGAACAGCTGTTGTGGCCGGGTTTCTAAGTCTCCGGTTATGCTCATACCGATCATGAACCTCCTCCGAGTAGATTATAAAGTTGTGAAGACGTTTCTCCCTGAGATACCGACCGCAGAATTTGTTCATTAGCAAACGCCGATGTTTCTCTTGCAGCCATTTACCAGGTGCGTCCAGGTGCTTCATCAACAAACGTTCCGCCATTGCTATGTCCTGCAAGATCCCGACATGAATATCAAGTGGTTAAAAATGACTCTACTTTGGATCTTTTTAAGATGCGAGATCAAATCTCTCTCACCTGTATCTTTTGGCCTACGTATTCCAACCGCTCGAAACAAAACCGAGGGTGCTCAAACTTGTGTTTTGAAGGATGCAAGAAGCAGAGCTGTGTGAAATTACAAAAGTGAAAAAAGGTCAGAGAAGGAAACTTTAAACTACAAGTACCATATTGGTGCATGACAAAGCCCGAGATGAACTAGTGTTTTACCTGTAACCCGAGTCCAAGTTCGATGTTTCTTGCATCGGTGATCTCCTTGATTCTATCATTCATCGGTAAAGGGTAACCAAGAGCCTGCATGACTTTGGGTTTGCTGTCGAAATCCCAAATGTTCCCTCTGAAACGATGCATTCCCGGTGGAACACAAGCTCTGAAAAGCCTCGGGTGTGCGAACAAAGCATCTTCAGGAGGCTGACATATAGAGAAATAAAGAACAATGCGTTTTAAGACTCAACACTCTTTTCTTTGAGCAATGCGATTTTGGTAGCTTTGGTCATCTTACCTTGTAAGTAGCAATATCTTGCCAGCCTAGCTTTTTGCCTTCGAATTCAACAGAGACATAATCCACATCCTCAAGCTGTCTCCTAGCTCGAGGTTGGCAATCCTCTGAATCTGGATCCATCCCAAATACTTCAAAAAGTACGCGATACACTTCCGGCATTCCATAGCATAGATAGATGGCACCGAACAAAGCCCAGAACACAGATCTAGCAAGAAAAATCAAAACAAAGTAACATGGATAAGTAGTAAGCACATGTCAAAGTAAACACTTTGGGATACTGGGATGCACAGACTCTTTGAGTTTCCTAGTAATCTAAATTCAATCAAAGGGAGAAGAACTCCAGACTTTACAACCATTGAACACTTCCATTATCTTACTTTAGACTATAAACATCAGCTAATGCAAATGATGAGAGAAGACAAACAAGACTAAAAACATCAGCTAATGCAAATGATGAGAGAAGATATAAACATATAATTTGATCTTATCCTAGAAGGCAAATGTTTTGATCAGCTAAAAGCTCTTAGCAACGACGACTTCATCAACAACTGGATGAACAATGATATCTTAGTATCTAAAATGTACACAAGAAATGGTAAAACGTAGGCTTATCTTAACACAAAAATGAAATTCCCAAACAAGTTCTTATAAGAGAAACATTCACAAGTTCATGCCACACCAACATAAGCAGAGATATAAACTCAAAACTCTTGGCTCGTTGCAATTGGTTAAATCTCAAATCGCAGCTAACTAACGCAAGTGACAATCATGATCAGTGATAAGAAGAGAGGAACTTACTTAACCGGTGGCTCACGGTCTTTTCTAATCAGCTTATCCATATCATCATAAGGAAAGATGAGATTCTGCAAGTTGGCAGCTTTAATCCACTTTGGGAGATACCTCTTCCCGATCAAAGCAAACACTCTCTCCCTCATAGGCCCAGGAGGTTCCCTCGGATACCTCTGCAAGAAAAACTCGGTAAGGGCAAGCTCGAGCACGTACTGGCCCAGAAACCAAAGCCTCGAGTGCCCGTTCTTCACGTGCCTCGCGCGTGCCCTGTCACACGACGGGTGCTGAAACGCCAGGTAGAGCAGCGTGTCGAAGTGTTTCGCCGGATTCTCGTCGCCTAGGCTCTCCGAAGGCTCCAGGGAGTACCCTAGCGCTTGTTTGACCTCCAGAAGATACTCGTCGATCCATGTTTTGTCGGCGTTGTTGAGCTTCGACGGCGGGAGGCAGGAGCTGAGCAAAGGGAACGATTTGAGTGACAACTGTGGGCTATTGAGGAACCTCTCTGCTAGTTTCTTGTCGTCTAACGGTGGCCTTAGGATGAATCGTTTCGGAGGGACTTTCTTCTTCGGCCCCGTGGCTTGTTTACGCTGCGCGAGCTCCTTGAGGAGACGCTGAGGGCTGTCTCGTGGAAGGCCCTGAGTCTCCGCCGCCACGGAAGCGCAAATTCGGAGATTCCGGAATCTGGGTTTCGATAGAATCGATGCGTTTAGTTGGATTCCGGATGGGAACTGGGATACCGAAGAAGAAAAGGAGATTTCGGGTAGTGAAGAGGAACGGCACTGCCCAGAAACGCGGAGGAGAGAAGACGATGAAGATGAAGAACAAAGCTCCATTGCTTCTACACTATTGTTAAACAAACAAGCAAAATCAACAACAAATTGTGAGCGTCAAATCATCAGATTTCAGTCGAAGAACACTTCGCTTGCGCAAAGTAATGGAAACGAAGATTGCAATGTTTCCATGGATAAGGTGCAGATTCCACGATCCCCGTGGCGGGGAGGTTTTTTCTGGATCAAGGTTTTAGTTTCAACATTTTAGCCCATCAAAGCCCATTAAAAAAGTCCAACAAATAAAGCGGGACCCATAAGTTCTTTTTGGGGTAAGGTTCCAAATTTCTAATATCTTTCACTTCGCTTCATTCTTCAGATTATTTTCATTCGAAATCAAATATGCTCACAACTTTCTTTGGATCTCTGTTACATTGGATACTTACTCTATAGCATAGTTACTTTTGGAGGAGGGTGTAAACTAAATCATGAATATTTTTTGCTCTTTATGATGTGTGTATGTAATCATGACATTAGAGTATACTTCATAATCATCAAACAAAATATTACACTTTTTTTTTTTTTTTTGAAAAAGGGTTTAAATATTACACTTTACAGGAAAAGAGATTCCTTTTTCCTCTCAATCACATGGCACATGATAATCCAACTTATATAGGGGGAAATACTGTAAATTTCAGACTAGAAGACGTGCGAGTCTTCCTATTTTGGTCGTTTCTAGTATTTTACAACCATTTGTGTTATTTAATACAAACATTTGATTATTTTTTACTTTTTGTATGTTCTAGTTAGACACTATACGACGTACGTGTGTTTCTGTTTTTTTCCTATAAAAAAACACTAAATCGAACATTGTTTGGAAAAATCTTTAAAATTGTTACTTTAATCGAATATAACTTAAGTATGAAAAATAGATGTAGATCTAATATTAATTCGATTTTAGCAATTTGGAAAGGAATTGAAATTAGGAGATGCTCTCTCTCAAGTATTGGCGTTAAAATCTCATCAGTGTTACTGTATCAATGCATCACCATCATACGCCATAAGCACGGGTATGCATTTCACTGAAGCTAATGATTTAAAAAGGTTACAAAAATATCATCAGTTCTCCTTTTATATAATATATATTAAAAAAATGCTAGAAAAAGAAACATGCCTAGAAATATCATCAGTTATAAAAGTTGTTTACTCGTTCACAAAAAAAAAAAAAAAAAATGTGATAAGAACTACACTCGAACTCGATCATATCAGTTCACTGTTTTAGATTTATAAAAATCCCAGTATATATATGTACAGTTTAACAGACAAAAAAAACTAAGCTAATAGTTAAGTTAATGACAAGATAATTTTTTAAGACAACGCTTACATAAATAATTTGATGCAGAGTTATAATCCTAATATGAATAGTTATTAAGAAAATACAGCATATAATTGATGTTTAGACTTTTCATCATTATGTCACCAACATTTAGGATATACTATCTAATAGTGCTATACGAGACAATATGCAGAGTAACTATTTAAAGACAACGTATACATAATTTTTTTTTTTATGATAAAAAAAGACAACGTACATGCCTTTTTTTTCTTTGATGCGGGCCTTTAGCAGAATAATGCTAGATAGCAATAGCATACAGGTGAAGCTTTAATAAATTGAAATAATTAGCTAATTATGGCCGGACTCGTTTAATCTCTATATCCAAAACGAATATAATATCCAAAAACTAATGACATTTCCACACCAGTACGTAGTTTTGTTGCCTTCTGGTCTGCTCCTTCCTCTTGTCTAACGTGGAAGACAATTCAACTATTTGTTTTGAACGCGGGTGCTGATCTTGTCGCTCATCTGATCGAGGCCTCAGCTACAGATCATGGGTTCAAACTTCAAAGTGTAAAATAAATAATCCAAACAGGTGAACAAAAATAAAATCATTCCTTTTTAGTTATGACTACATGCAACAAAATTGCATTGACGTTTTGAGTTTCTTTTCAGGTTTTTGCTTTTCGAGATATTGTTTTAACAACAGGTTTTGGCTTATCCTTAAAAATACCAAACTACAAACGTAAACTTATTATATATCTCCCCACCAATCAATGAATTATCTTGCATTTTAGAACACCAGTCATAACTTTTTGTCTGATTTTAGTTTCTTATTTTATTTTATTTTATCTTCCGCAGAAACCATTTAAGACATATGTGGTTAAATTATTTATCATGTTCTGTCGATTAGAAAAGGACATATATACTTTTCTTAGAAAAAAAAATATAAACTAAACTAAATGATAAACAATAGAAGGATGCGTGATTGCCTTTACTTGCATTGCATGGAGTAGCCCCTTTTGAATGACTGGCTTGAAAAAAAAACACTATTCTCGTCAACGAAAGTTTTTGTTTCCTTTTATACGTCAACTAAAGTCTATATCAAATATTCGCCTAACCAAACCATACGTAAAAATAAGTTTACATTGTATAAAACCATTAGTTTCTGAAAACTCGTAAATACAGCTGTAATTAGAACCATTCTCGTGTCAACTGATTCGGAACATGTTTAGCTTTCTTTTCTAGATTTGTAGAGTTATAGTGTACAGCGAAGTTGCCTTAGTTTTTAGAGGTATCGTATATTTGAGGCAATACGTAGGTCGATTTTTATTGAGTTGACAAAAAAAAAAAGGTTCGATTCTTATTGAAAGGCATGACTGGTTATAAATGATCCTCGGTAGGCCGTGTTAAACTTGGTGACTACAAGATGTAAAATTGATAAGTCTTTCATAATGAAAAATTTATTGAACATAGGAATTTTGATGGATGAATCACGAAATTATATTACTTTTTTAAAAAAAGGTGTGCATGCGGAAGAAAATAATAATTTACTGAAAAACAAAACTTGAATTTTAACTATCAAATGGTGGATGCCATTTTGATTTAGCTAATTGATGAAACGGCTACACAAAAATTGCAGTTTTGCAAAATTGCATTATTTGGGTATAACTTGAGATCAGGACAATGAGATTCCGTCCTTCCACCATCTTTGGGTATTACTTGTTAGAATTAAGATAATCGTAGTTAATGAAGACTAATCAACCAATATATGAACCACAAAAAGTATAACAGTCAGGAGTAGTAGTTGAGATATGAGAAAGATTCAAGGTGGCCATAACACAATTATTCGCAATGTCAAGTGAGGCATCGCTATCACTCTCGATCCCCACCACTCTCTATTCCCTCATTTGGATGATCCTTGTGATCATACACACACACAGCATCTAGAAAGAATAATATTACGATATTCATAACCAAACAACGACAAAAAATACAATATATTAAAATAATAATTCCATTGAAAAGGTATTGAATTATTATTTTAAATACCAATAAAATAATTTGAGATTAACCAGAAAATTATAATACTAAAATACATTCGTTCAAAGAACCTTAAAATGATGCCAAAAGTTATAATAATATTTTAGGTCTTTTCTTTGAAAAATAAAAAATGCAAGCTGGCCTGCGCTACTTGTGCCCACCACGCAAAAGCATATATATAAGATCTCTCATTTCACTCATGTCATCATAAATATATAATCACACACTTAAGAGAGAAAAGCTTAGATATATATATAAAGAGAGAAAGCAAGTTTAAAACAATTAAAAAGAAATGGCTGCGAACAAAACGAATCTCTTATTGCTTCTTGTCTCTCTCTTTCTCACCCTAAACCTCGTCTCCGCTCAACTCCGCCGCAACTTCTACGCCGGAAGTTGTCCCAACGTCGAGCAAATCGTCAGAAGCGCCGTTCAACTAAAAGTCCAACAAACTTTCACCACCATCCCTGCTACTCTCCGCCTCTATTTCCATGATTGTTTCGTCAACGTAAAACATTTTTATCTTTCTTCTTATTGCTTGAATTTATTTTATTTCTTAAGTCTAATTTATGAAACAATTAATCCCATACAGGGTTGTGATGCATCGGTGATGATAGCGTCGACTAACAATAATAAGGCGGAGAAAGATCATTCGGATAATTTATCATTGGCCGGAGATGGATTCGACACCGTTATAAAAGCTAAACAAGCTCTTGACGCCGTCGCAAGTTGTCGTAACAAAGTTTCTTGCGCCGATATTATCACGATGGCTACTCGTGACGTTGTCAATCTCGTTCGTAACTCATCACTTTCATATTTCTACATCTTAAACTCGAATAAAAACATATTTTTTTGTTAATATTAATTTGATATAAATTCATATATAGGCGGGTGGACCAAGATATGAAGTTGAATTGGGAAGGCTAGATGGACTTTCATCGACGGCGGCTAGCGTCGAAGGGAAGCTGCCGCATCCGACCGACGATGTCAACAAACTCACTTCACTTTTTGCCAAAAACGGCCTTACTCTTAACGACATGATCGCTCTCTCCGGTACGATTTTACTTTTCATTAGGATTAGATTTGGTTTTAGATTAAATAAGACAAAAAGTATTTTAAGTAGTAATTGCATAACAAATATTTAATTTAATTTCGGTTTATTTGATCCGGTTATTACGATGTGAGATTTCTCGGTCCAATCTAATTTGGTTTGATCTTAAAAAACAGGAGCGCACACATTAGGATTCGCGCATTGCACGAAAGTGTTCAATCGGATTTACACTTTCAACAAGACATCTCAGGTGGATCCCACAGTTAACAAGGCTTACGTGGCAGAGTTACAAGCGTCGTGTCCTAGAAACGTAGATCCGAGAGTGGCTATAAACATGGACCCCACGACACCTAGACAGTTCGACAACGTTTACTATAAGAACTTGCAGCAAGGCAAAGGATTGTTCACGTCAGATCAAGTTTTGTTCACAGATCGTCGGTCAAAGCCAACCGTTGACTTATGGGCCGGTAATGCAAAGGCGTTTAATCAAGCTTTTGCTAACTCCATGATCAAGCTTGGTCGTGTTGGTGTTAAAACCGGACGTAATGGTAACATCCGTCGTGATTGTGGAGCTTTCAATTGAGGATTTTTAATATATATATTTTCTATATTTCTTTTTATTTCCATTCAATTTGTATTGGGGATAGGATGCATGAAGCTGCTCAAATATAATAAAACTCGATTTTGGGTTTCAGTTTTTATGTAGCCTTGTTAAGTTACTTCTACCACAAGACATCTCTTCTAGGCTACCCTTTTCAACTTTCAACATTTTCTTGAAAAAGGCCCAGACCCAGCCCATAACAAGGGAGGCACTGGCTTTTTTGGGCATAGGCCTTTTTTTTGCAAGAACCCCAAAATGTTATTTACCAATTCGCTTTTGAAAAATTAGAATGCGTTGTGTTCCCAAACATTGTAAATACTTCTATTTGGATGTGTGAATCCAAAACCAGGTTCATAAATCTACTCAGTTGCAGCTTTAAAATGCCCTTCATTTTTCTCTTGAAAGTTTAATATCATCAAACTATAGTGATCAGATTTTAAAAGTACAGTGTCATTTCAAGGTTTCTAATTTTCGTTTGGCTTTAATTAAAGTATTAGGTTAGTTTATATATTTATTTATTTTATACACATATGTGATCCCTTCATATATATAATTTCCTATGATATTCTGGATTTTATTTGTTGGCAAAATTTAATTCTGGATTTTATTGCATACAATATTGATTTTTTTTGGTCAACCTTTAAATTAGTTATAGGTTTAAAAATATATGCAATAAATTACAAAACAAGTTGGCAATGAGCAGAATATGTGAAAAATAGAAAACAAATTGCCAAATATAGTTATATGTAAAACTAGAAAATAAAATTGACATATAAACATTTCACCAAAAAAATTGACATATAAATATTTGTATACGTTGAATATGTGCAGTTTCTTATATAGATACACATTTATTTGTGATATTTGTGCCCATCACAGAAGAGCAAAAAAAAGTTCTATCAAGCTAACTATAAATATGTAATCAATCACACACACTTGTGAGTTAAAACAATCAAAAAGAAAATGGATGCGAATAAAACGAATCTCCTAGTGCTTCTTTTCTCTCTCTTTCTCACCATAAACCTCTCTTCCGCTCAACTCCGCCCTAACTTCTACGCCGGAAGTTGCCCCAACGTCGAACAAATAGTCAAAGACGCCGTTTTACTAAAAATCAAACAAGCTTCCATCACCGTTCCCGCCCTTCTACGCCTCTACTTCCACGACTGTTTCGTCAATGTAAAACATCTTATCTTTCAACTTCTTGCTTAGTTTCTTTTTGGTCTAATCAAAATTATAAAACCTAAATTAATTAATTAAATTTCATAGGGTTGTGATGCATCGGTGATGATAGCGTCAACCAATGCTAACAAGGCGGAGAAGGACCATCCCGATAATCTATCGTTGGGCGGAGATGCATTTGATACCATCGTTAAAGCCAAACAAGCTCTTGACGCCGTCCCAAATTGTCGTAACAAAGTGTCCTGCGCCGATATTATCACGATAGCCACTCGTGACGTTATTACTATCGTCCGTAACTCATCACTCTCTATATAATACCACCATCTCTATTACATCAACTTGTAAAGTAAATACTAATCTAAAATTGTAATGCATGTAGGTGGGTGGACCAAACTATGAAGTCGAATTAGGAAGATTTGATGGGCTATCGTCGACGGCGGCTAGCGTAGAAGGAACGCTTCCACAACCAACAGACAATTTTGACAAACTCACTTCATATTTTGCCAAAAACGGGCTTAGTGTTGATGACATGGTCGCTCTCTCCGGTAAGATTTAATCTTTGTCTATTTCTCAATCGAGAGACTAGTATCATTAACACGACGGTATTCTTCAAATTACTATCCCATTAAGTAATACTTTCTCTGTATCATATGAAGACGTAATATATTTTAAAGAAAAAAGATATTTCATTTTATTTGGTATTTTTAGTTTTCATTGCAAATTAATTATTATTTTTGTGTCATTTTTAGTATGTAATTTGTTTTATGATTGGTTAAATTATTTTCACATATAATTAGATCAATTGATATGATGGTTTCAATTCAAACAGGGGCACACACGATTGGAGTCTCTCACTGCAGCAATGTCTTTGAGAGAATCTATGATGTAAAAGGAGAGATGATAAATGCTACTTACCAAGCACAACTTAAAGAATCGTGCCCTAGAGACGTCGATCCCCGCGTAGTGGTGTTTATAGATCCAACAACGCCGGGAAAATTCGACAACGTTTACTACAAAAACTTGCAGCAAGGCAAAGGATTTTTCAAGTCTGACCAAGTTTTGTTCAGCGATCGTAGGTCATCTCCTGTTGTTAACTTATTGGCTAGTCATGGGCAGTTGTTTAGTCAAGCTTTTGCTAACTCCATGATTAAGCTTGGTCGAGTTGGTGTTAAAACCGCTCTTAACGGTAATATTCGTCGCAATTGTGAAGCTTTTAATTAAAATACTCTTTGGTGAGATTTTAAGAAAAAAAGTTGTCCTTCTATGTAGTTCGAGTTGGGCCCGAAACAACTTCTTGATGCAATAAATTTGGTATTAAAATATTATTATTGTAATACTGATTAATATAATTGAACCAGATTAGGATTTTCATCAGCCATCTGAAAATTAGAGAGTTACGCCCAAAATAATACAATAATTGTATAAAAGATTATAAAATTAATTTTGTATACAATGCAATGTATCTCAATAATGTTATTATACATATAGCAAGAGCATGCATTGTAGTTTAGTGGCGCTAGGGACATTTCCTGCTTAGATGGTGAGACATCTTCCGTATAAAGTTCGGTTATATTTATTCTTCAAGGTTGGTAACTTTCGTCAATTAATGGATGTATGTTTTGTGACACCGAATCCTGGTAAATGTACGTATGCCTACATTATGTTCCTCCAAATTATCATAATTTATCACACGTTTACATTCAACATTCTGAAAGTTCTTTTGACATATTATCTAGGGAAATTGGCTGATATAACCATATCAAATGCTATAATTCAGAAAATAACCATAGTAAAGTAGGTGTTATTATATTTCTTATATATTCTACAATATTAACTAAAAATCCCTTTGTTTAAAATGGAGTGAAAAATAATTGCTGACGTTAGCAGTAGAAAATAAAGATAAAAAATTAAATGTATATTTGCGCAAAGGATAGATCGCACTTCAATATATTATTAAAAAATAATAAACACAAACCGTATTAGTTTATATTAAACACCACTAAAGTTACACTATATCGATTATTGTTTCCTATTTAAATATATAGTATATCTCTAATAACATATGGTTTACTACTGGACTATACTATACTATATGTTCAGTATACAACAACACTACTATAATATAGTATGAGAGTTTCCGGTTATATATCATTTCGTCGATCATTATACTCTAAATTAAAAATAATATAGTATGACAGTTACAATTATACTACTAGATTGCACATTTTCAAATAGTATAGAACTTACTAGTTATAGTATAGATGTGATGATATAAGTTTCTACTACCCTATACAGTAATGACATCAAAAAATATATAGCAGTATATGTTTTGCTTAAAATTGAAGGAGTGTATTATAATTTCTTTGTGGGCCATGATTATTTATCTAATTTTTTGAACAACATAGCTATATTCTCTGATTCTTTCTCCAATATAGTTATTACACTAAAAAGCCCTAATATCTATGGACTTAATTAAGGTTACTAAAAAAAGAAGATAGATGCATTTTATTTTTTAAAAAAATTATTATCCTTATAAATTCTAATAAGGATGTTCTTACTACATGAGAAGTGATTATTTTAAAAAACACAAACAGTTTTAAGATTCTTTACAACCCCAAAAAATTATACAAGATATTACATATATATATTTATTTTAGTAAAAAAACAAATAGCCTTTTTCTGTGACTACTATGGATGAGAAGATGAGGCTCTTTGCATTATCCAAAAGCCGTTTTATCCGTGAAGACCTAATTTTCGTCGTACGTACCATTTAATTAATATTGAGTATTGCCAACTATTGTACTAATCTCACCTGGAAATTTGGAATCCTTGGAACCAAATTTATCGATTTGCCTCTTCTACAAATCAAATGTCAATTCTTTATAGGATTTTATTCGTACAGGTCTTTATATTTCATCTGAGCTGGCTGGCTCATATATATAGTGAAATTCCGAGATAAAAAGCTTCCAAGCTGGCCGGGAAATTTATAAATAAATAATGTTTTATGTATATTTCATAATATTTATTGGTTGCTCAAAAATTATATAATGTAGTGGTTTGTAATTATCCTTTATTTCTTGTTCTAATTTATTGCAGAGAATTTGTCATAACAAAATATTAATTGAATCATATTGATTACCAGAAATTGGAAAAAAAAATGTTATAGTTCAGATAATCAGTGTGTTATGTTGTCTTTCTTCAATGTGTTTCCAAGTTGTTTGATAATCTAAATATTACCCAGCGGGATTTATTAAGAAGGAGAAAAGATATAAAAATTAATGGAGTTAATAAGTTCATTAAAACTATTGTAAAATTGATTGATAAAACAAAAAAAAGTTTAGAAAAACTAGAACATGCAAAATATCCAAAACCATTCTCAATAGCTTATTTATTTTCATCGGCAAGATAGTACATATCACCAAAAATTATCATATTTCTCGATAGAGAAATCAGTTAATTAGCCAATAATTATGCGGCTAAATTAAAAATCCACTTCCCTCACGACAACAACCAAAAAAACCCTAAAAGGACAGTCAAAAACTGAGTGCGAAGAGTTTGCGTCGTCGGTTTTAAACAAAAAGGTTTAATAACTTTCTCTCTCTTTTGTTCCTGTATCCGTCTCCGTTGATTCCATCTTCCCAACACGACGTCGTTACAGATTCCTCCGATGGACTTCCCGGACGATCACCGTTAACCGCCTTGCAAAACGATGGAGGACGAGGAAGCAAAGGAACCGGTACAACCGGACCGGTTAGAGCTAAGCCGTGGTTCAGTTGGAGATTCAGATCAGACTCAGACCGATCGGATTTCATTCGTTTCCGATTAACCGGAGACTCTTCAATCTCCGTCGTGTTTAACTTAGATCTGGAAGCTGAGAAGTGGAAATGGTTCTCGTTACCGGAACCGTCTCGGCGCTGCATCCGCCTGATATCGGTACAGATCTCGGAAGACTCACCGGAGGAGATTAACGACGGAGATTCAAGGAGATCTGAGATGGGTCGTAAAGTTCCGCCGCGAAGAACTGTTTCAACCGCCGCTTGGCACACGTGCCATTTCCCGGTCCATAACATCCCAACCGCTCCGTTAACCGGATTCACCGTCCTCCCACACGCTTCAAACAACAACGACTGAAACAAAGCTGAACAAACAAACAATCTCAAGAAAATGACTTCTGAAACCTAATACAGGATCATGTAGCCTAATAGTTTGTATATGAAGTGATGTTGTGTGCTAGATTCTTCTTACCAGGGCGGTTTGGTTCAGGTACGGCGGAGATAAAAGACATGAGACCGGCACGGCCAAAGAATTTAGCGACGAAGACGGTGGCGTGGCCTTGTGACTCGGCGGATTCGATCCATTGAAGGCAAGGACGAAGGATGCATGTGTCGCTGCAACCTTTTCGAAGAACTCTACATCCATTGCAACTCATTTTTCTTCCACAAAAGAAAAAAAAAATCAATTTAAAAGCTTTGTCGGATATGAGAAAATATCCAATAACTTGGGAAACTTATTTCGGATTTGGGAGAAATAAAACAGGTTGTGGTCTGATTTGATAGAAAATACAGACTGATGAGAAGAGAATGAAGAAGCAAGTTTTAAGAAGAGGAGAGAGAGATATAGATTGGATTTATAGAGGCAAGTGAATAATAAAGAGAGTGTGTCAACTTGATTTCTTTTTTATTCCTTTGTCCTTTCTTTTCCAATATTTTAATCTAAAACCTCTGTGTATATATTACATTATACAGACATAAAAAATATTTCAAACTTATGTGAAGGACAGAAATTCAAGAAAAAAGTTTGGGGTATTCTTGATAGAACTTTGAAAAGTTCAAATATTTACGTGGACCAAGAATAGCTGATAAGATAGAAAAAAACAATTGCAAATGTAGTATAAATACAGTAAATTAAATTGCATCTATCTTTTTGTATCAGTTTTGAAAAAATATTTGTATAATACAGTTAATCAAACAAAGAAGTGTGAAGATATAAAATTCATGCACAATTATGTTTCTTCTCTAGTGATTGATATAAATTTGAGCATTATTATAGGTCAATGAAGAGAGAAAAGAAAGCATGCACCATTGAAAATGGTTATATATATACGAGGACTATTCCATAATTGTGGTCTTGAGTTATATATAAAAACAATTTATTTTGTAATCAATAACTTAAAGAAAAAAAGGAGGTGAGGACGATACACACCACAACTAGAAGAAAGGACAGCGTTTGGGAGGGATTCCAAAGGTATTGGCGTTGGGGTAAGAGAGAGAAAAGCGTTTCCGTTTCTCCGCGAACACTTGTCGCTGACTCAGACTTACGTAATTTTATACTACTTTCTTGCTTTGTTTTATTAATACTTGTTTTTAAGATGTACTCTCTTTCTTTTTATTCAGTGAGTAGTACTATTTAAAGTATACAAAGCTGAATTGATCGAGAGGAAAAAGGAATAGACAAATCTTACGTCAGGAGACGATGGGGTGCACGTGGATTACAGGAAATTATTCGTACAACTTGTGGCGTGTGTATTTTTTTTATGGGATGTTTAGAAAATGAAAAAACTGTTGTGTCCATTTGTTTCTTGATGGTGCGATTGTTTGCATAGTGAATGAGAATAATCATGTTTCGTAGGGTTTTTAATCATTTATAGAAGGCATTATTCATACAAAAGAAAAGATGATGAAACTAATAAGCAAATCACAAGAGGACAAAGTGTTAAAAGAAAAAGAGAGGACAAAGTGTTGTGGCTATGTTGGTACATATTCTTATATCATTCTCTAGTAGCTAGATACACAACATGACCACACCCGGATATCCAATTATAAATACTTTTTTTTTTGTTTTCTTTGTTTTTTATTTTTCAGCAGCGAATCTTCTTGAATCAATAGTTAACGGAATCAACTATACATGTTTATAAAATTTAGTTCAAAGAAAAAAAAAACAATACATGTTTATCGTATGATTAAGTTTCACGTAAAGTACATGTTCTCCATGAAAAGTTCTAACAAGGACTTCAATAAATACTTTACATGAATTATGGTGTCCATATACATGTTTATCGTATGATTAGTGGGACGTTATGGGCCTTATGGCATACACATAATTAGAAAAGTCACATGATGGTTAAACTTTGATTTTTTTTATGAGGCTTACATAATAGATAATACATGTATGAGATATATATCCACATTGCTCAACAGTTTAACTTGCATCAATCTACTTTCATGTTGCTCCAATCAGTTTGGAAAATATAAACAGATATTATCAACTAGAAAGGAACATGGTGTCCATGAGTCATGTCCTCGTCGTCTTCCACAAGCTCATATATATAAATCAAACTTATAAGTACAAGTACTATAGAAAGCTATAGTATTTTATTAAACATTGACTGGTAATTACATTTTGACTCTACGTACCTACGACAACATAAGTTTTTGCAATCTCTTGAAACTACAAAAGCCGTTATTGACCCTTCGCCATATCCAAAGGTTTTTTCTCTCTCTGCGTATTTTTTGGTCTTCCATATATATATTTTTTTAAACCATTTTCTGTATCTGCGACGAAAGACTATAAAATTTGGAAAAAGTGCTTTGCTTATGCAAATTCCCTAATGGCGAATTTTCCAAAAAATTATGACCTAATTAGAGAAATTTTAGCTCACATCATGTTCCACTCTTTGTCGGAATCTCTCTCAAACTACTAGGTAAAGTGTGATTATTTTAAATCTTTTATAAATACGACATTTCTATATCTGCAAAACGAGTCATAATTTAATGGACTGGCCTGGTGACACCGGTCCAGGGTATTTGGTTGATATTTGAGTAGTAATAGCCAAAAAAAAAAGAATACAACTAGTGTTAAAACATAAAAAAAAACAACATATAATAAGCATTGAAGCAGTGAATAGACTTAACTAGAAAAAAATTAAACAACAAAGAACTTAAGTTATATAATTTGAAATCAGACTGAGTTAGCAACTTAAATCGCGCGCGAGTTAATAAAATGTTAGTCATTGCACCCAAAATTCGAAGAAACTTATTTATCAGATCACAAACAACTACATACGTGTATTTCTAGCTTCTTCTTTTTTAATTGCCAGGAAGAAAATCAGGAAGTGTATCTTAACTTTCTGCTTTGCGATTAATCAAATAGTATGAAATAACATTTTCTACGACTGTTATTGTCGCTTCTGACGTGGCATACTTATCCAAAATAGCTTTTTTAGTTCTGTCTTCCGTACAGTTGAACTAGCTGGAATGTAACATGCAATTAACAATCACAATATTTATATTTTTATTAGCCATACAATCATATTCAGATATTCGTCTTTTGTTGAAACTAATTATAATTATAACGTCGTTTGACATCAATAAATCGATGATATGGACAAATCCTTTTCTCTGTACATTTAGATATCACACACACAACAAACACCAACATTGGCCACCTTTTTTCCTCCTACTGTTTTGTATTTGATTTTGATGCTATTTATCATCCTTTAACTATTCATGCCATATTGCGAATTTTTGTTTTTGTTTTCATGCTATTTTTATTTCGTTTAAAATGTATATTAGATTCATTCTCTTTTGTTTTCATGCTTTTTTTTTGTTCTTATGCTGAATTAGTTTTCAAAATCGAAGGTACAGAAGAAATTACCATACCTTTCCATATGTTGGTCTTTTACATAATTACTCCGATAGTTTGATTAATAAGTTAAATTAATTGTTTTCAATTAATTACAGAATTTTGTTACAACTTTAAATTTATTTATTTAAAAAATAATTGTTGATATGATACATTTAATTATTTTGGTCGAATCCAAATAGCGTTTCAAGGTTCGATCTGAAGAGGGAGGAGAAGCCAAGCAACCGTTGGCACCCCCGGAGATTCTTCCGATCACCTGAAGCTAGAACCAGATAATGTTTCAGAGCCAAAATAACACAAATCGTAATATAAGTTAATAAAATGTCATTTTCAACTCTCTGTTCTCCATATGCATTGCCATTTGCCACACACACAGAGAGACAGACAGCCACACATTTATCTTATGATACAAATTTTAGAAAGACAAAAGTCTTTGCGAGATGGTGAAAGATGCCATTTTTTTTACTGTCTTTTGGTTGTGAAGAGATAAGGTATCTGCAAAAACCAATGATCCCTATTTTCACTGTTACAAAGGACAAGAAAAAAAGAAAGAGATTAAGCTGAGAAATATCGAGGAAGTGTGTTCAGAGAGAGGGAGAGAGACTAGAGAGATCACTCTACTTACTGGGTTTTAGTGTCTGATGGCTCCGTCGAGTGCAAGAGTGGTGGTGAAGGTTGATCTGAAGAAGAAGCCATGGGAGCAGAATCAGCCACTGCATAATAGATGGCATCCTGAGATACCATCAGTTTCACAAGTCACGACTGGTGAGTTCTTCAGGGTGGAAATGATTGATGCGATGGGAGGTGTTGTTAAAGACGATGGCTCTGCAGGCGATGTTAAGAACGCAGACCTTTCTACGGTAAGAGAGTCAAGTGAGAATCATTTGTAAATCAAATCATGTACCAATGAATTAGCGTACAAGATCAGGTTTCTTGGTGACTGTTGCAGACTCATTACTTAAGTGGGCCGATCAAAGTTGTGGATGAGGATGGTGTTGCAGCCAAACCAGGTGATCTTCTTGCTGTTGAGATATGCAACTTGGGTCCTCTTCCGGGAGATGAATGGGGATACACTGCTTCGTTCGATAGAGAGAACGGCGGAGGTTTCTTGACTGACCATTTCCCGTCTGCAACCAAAGCTATTTGGTACTTTGAAGGGATCTATGCCTACTCTCCTCATATTCCTGGTGAGAGAACACAACAGATTCCATCTCTTTGGTTGCAGATCTTTGGCTCGCTCACATTCTAATATCATCTCGTGTAGGAGTACGGTTTCCTGGCTTGACACATCCAGGTGTCATTGGCACTGCGCCATCGAAAGAGCTCCTGAAAATATGGAACGACAGAGAAAGACAATTAGAAGAAAATGGTCCCAAGTCCTTTACACTATGTGATGTTGTGCATCAACGGCCACTAGCAAACCTACCGTCAACTAAAGGATGCCTCCTAGGGAACGTAAGTGATACGAAGTTAGCCTTGTAGATTGAATCAGAGCTCTAGGGAACTCTTACATAATCTTCTTGTAGATTGAAAAGGGAACAACGGAATGGGAAAGGATTGCAAAAGAGGCTGCCAGAACAATCCCAGGAAGAGAAAACGGAGGAAACTGTGACATTAAAAATCTAAGCAGAGGCTCTAAAATATATCTCCCGGTGTTTGTGGAAGGGGCTAATCTAAGCACAGGGGACATGCATTTCTCGCAAGGTGATGGTGAGATCTCATTCTGTGGAGCCATCGAGATGAGTGGATTTCTAGAACTCAAGTATGTACATAGGTTCCTACTTGCAGTTTCTTCCAACATTTATACTATAAAAAAAGTTCTCTTTGATGCTATTGTGACAATATAACGTTTTGTAACTCATTAATAGGTGTGAAATCATAAGGAATGGGATGCAAGAGTACCTTACGCCAATGGGACCAACCTCTCTCCATGTAAATCCAATCTTTGAGATAGGACCAGTGGAACCGAGATTCTCAGAGTGGCTTGTCTTCGAAGGTATTAGTGTCGATGAAAGCGGGAGACAACATTACTTGGATGCAACAGTTGCTTACAAACGAGCGGTTCTCAACGCCGTAGACTATCTCTACAAATTTGGTTACTCAAAAGAACAGGTACTGGTCTCTGCTGCTTGATGTTTTCTCCCAGAATCAAACATTCATGAATTGTAAGGTAGAAAGACAGAACTGATCAAGAGAAAATGGTGTGGAACAGGTATACCTATTGCTTTCATGTTGTCCATGTGAAGGAAGAATATCTGGGATAGTTGATTCTCCCAATGCTGTTGCCACACTTGCAATACCCACTGCCATCTTTGATCAGGTTTGAAATTGCGTCTCTCTGTTCTTTACTTTAGAAAGTTTCTTGAGTTTGCTGTTCTTTAAAATCAAACATGTTAAATGCGTTTTCGTATATCAGGATATTCGGCCAAAGACTCAAAAGGTTCCAGTAGGACCTCGGTTAGTGAGGAAACCAGACGTATTGAGGAGCACTTATGATGGAAATCTTCCAATTACAAAGAATCCAAGCTCTCGACGTAGATTCTAGAAAAAAAAATATTATACAGGGAAGCAGCTATCAAGACTGTCTAATCAGACATATGTTCTGGAATAAAGAGATAAAATGTGTCCATGAGATAATGATCGTCCGTAATATTCAGGGTGGATGTTAGATTTTGTATCAAAATAGCTTTTAATAAGTCGCATGTAAGATACCTTCGTCATGAGCTCATCCTCTTTGGATATAACAGAGATCCTCTCCATAACATAAGTCAACGTAACATCATTTTCAGCCTCTTGTCATCTATGCATTGCAACACACAGACACAAAGAGACAAGCGTATCTTATGGCATTATCCACTTGGTGAGATGAAATAAAGTCAATTGTTTAGAAAAATAAAAGTCTACAAGATGGTGAAAGATGGAATCTTTTACTTTTCTTTTATATGTGGATAAGGAATTTGCAAAACCAGTGATTCCTCTTTACATTACAAGAGAAGAAAAACGAAACTAAGTATATATATAGAGAGAGCGTGTGAGAAGAAAGAGAAGAAAATATCGTACTTATTGGGTTCAGCTTGATGGCTCCGTCGAGTGCAAGAGTGGTAGTGAAGGTTGATTTGAAGAAGAAGCCATGGCAGCAGAATCAACCACTGCATAACAGATGGCATCCTGAGATACAACCAGTTGCAGAGGTCAAGGCTGGTGAGTTCTTTAGGGTGGAAATGGTTGACTGGACAGGAGGTGCGGTCAAAGACGATGGCTCTTCTGACGATATTAAGACCATAGATCTCTCTACTGTAAGTTGTTTTTTTTAGTGAGAAACATGAGTAAACCAATCATGATGAATTGCATATAGATATAAGTTTCTTGGTGATTGATGAAGGTTCATTACCTGAGTGGGCCGATCAGAGTTGTGGATGAGGATGGTGTTGCAGCCAAGCCAGGTGATCTTCTTGCCGTTGAGATATGCAACTTGGGTCCTCTCCCAGGAGATGAATGGGGATTCACTGCTTCGTTCGATAGAGAGAATGGCGGAGGTTTCTTGACTGACCATTTCCCTTGCGCGACCAAAGCTATTTGGTACTTTGAAGGGATCTATGCTTTCTCTCCTCAAATTCCTGGTGAGAACACAGTAACATCAATGTTTTTTTTGTCAAGCAAGTAACATAATCATGCAGCTTCCGTTATGATGAGGTATTTTGTTGATTATAATATCATTACATCATGGCACCATAGGGGTACGGTTTCCTGGCTTGACACATCCAGGAATCATTGGCACCGCGCCATCGATGGAGCTCCTGAGAATATGGAACGAAAGGGAAAGAAAATTAGAAGAAACTGGTTTCAACACTCTATCACTATGTGAGGTTGTGCATCAGAGGCCATTGGCAAACCTACCAACAAGTAAAGGATGCCTCCTCGGGAATGTAAGCTATACCAAAACTCTATCTGCTGATGCCATAACAAAGCTTTTGAACTGTATAAACCGATACTTACATCATCATGCTCTTTTGTAGATTGAAGAGGGAGCACCGGAATGGGAAAGGATTGCGAAGGAGGCTGCGAGGACAATCCCAGGAAGAGAAAACGGAGGAAACTGTGACATAAAAAACTTAAGCAGAGGATCTAAAATATATCTCCCGGTGTTTGTGGAAGGTGCTAATCTAAGCACAGGTGATATGCATTTCTCGCAAGGTGATGGTGAGATCTCATTCTGTGGAGCCATTGAGATGAGTGGATTTCTAGAACTCAAGTATGTACATAAGTTCTTTGATGCTCTTGTTATTCTGCAGTGTTACTAAGAAACTCTGACCATATAACGTTTTGTAACTTGTTAATAGGTGTGAAATCATAAGAAACGGGATGCAAGAGTACCTTACACCAATGGGACCAACCACTCTCCATGTAAATCCGATCTTTGAGATAGGACCAATGGAACCGAGATTCTCAGAGTGGCTTGTCTTCGAAGGTATCAGTGTAGATGAAAGCGGGAGACAACATTACTTAGATGCAACAGTTGCTTACAAACGAGCAGTTCTCAACGCTATAGACTATCTCTTCAAATTCGGTTACTCGAAAGAACAGGTATTGATGATCTCTGCCACCAGAATGTATCAATCACAAGCATTGAAAACCCGTAGAGAGAAAAAATGATCAAGAAACTATGATGTGAACAGGTGTACCTTTTGCTCTCATGTTGTCCATGCGAAGGAAGAATATCTGGAATAGTCGATTCTCCAAATGCAGTTGCTACACTTGCGATACCCACTGCCATCTTTGATCAGGTTTGAAATCACATTCTCAGGCTCTCTGTTTACTACTGCTTAAGTCAAAAAGAAAAAAAAAAAAAAGAGGTTTTTTATGAGAAACCAGAGTCTGCTCTGTTTCTTCACCCTCTTCTTGATAGTTAACAAATGGAAGGAACATAAAACAAGATGCCAAAACATGAAATCATTGTCTTGTGCTCACGCAGGATATTCGGCCAAAGACTCAAAAGGTTCCAGTAGGACCTCGGTTAGTGAGGAAACCAGACGTTCTGAAGAGCACTTATGATGGAATGCTTCCAATTACAAAGAATCCAAGTTCTTCGTCTTAAGCTTCTAGAAAAAAAAAATTGGATCTGAAAAAGCTAATACCTAGACTGTATAATCAAGCATATGTTCCAACAACAAAGCAATCAAAGAAACCTGAAGGCAATGATTATGCTCCTCTATTCACAAATGCACCATTTTTCAAGAGTAAACGCATTAAATCAAACCCTTAGATTGCAAAACTGAGCTCATAATGAGTAGAATGTACCATATGATCCACACAAACATTTAACACTACATTCCTTCTTCTACCTATATCTCCACAAGCTAAAGCACATATATCCCAATTTGTTTTCTTAATTACATTTATTCTTTACTGTTTCGGAATATCTCAGTACTAGGATCAGTGGCGATTGATATGCTTGAGCTCTGCTTCAAAACACTGAGCTGCAGAAACATGGTGATCGAATCAATTTCATAGAATTCATCAAATGCAACCCCACAAGCCTGCAACAAGTATCAGTACAGTGAATGGTAACACAATTGAGTGCTGCTAACAGATTTATTATGAGAAATAGGAGCAAAAACTGATACCCGCAACAATCCAAGGTAAGATGAGAAGAACGATTCGCCACTCAAACAGAGGTTTAAGGGAAATCAGAAGAGGAGAAGTAGGAATCCAGCTAAACGTATTGATTCTCTCGAAACGTAGGATTCCAGAATGTGGGTTTCTAGAGAATCAATACGTTTCGATGGATTCCAATCAGAAACTGAAAATCCGAAGAAGAAAACGAGATTTCATATTCTGCCCAGAAACCCGAAGGAAATCAGAAGACGAGAAGAAGAAAGAACATAGCTCCATGGCGTTAATTTTTTTTTTTTTTTGGGTCAACAGGCTTTAGTTATTAAAACAACAAAATTAATGAATTAATTACGAGTCAAAACGTTAAAGCATCAAATTCGAGTCGAGAAGGCCCCAATTTGCAGTAGCAATAACATAATTTGGCCCGTTAAAGCCCACTAGAAGCCCCAAAGGCCCAAAGAAACAACAGAACCCTTGTGGCGTAGTAGGAATTGAGATGATTGAGAATTGTTTTGACGTTAGTAACTAAGTAATTATCCACACCATGCAGAAATAACCGGCAAGTAAAAGTCCTCCAGACTTACTTAGATTCAGTTGCAATGCAGACTATGCAGTGTGAGATAGTGTCGAAATGGTATCAGGCTAATTATATTTTGGCTAATGTGAGTAAATGTTTTTGTTAACATATAAAATTAGATATTGAATTTCTCGAGGACGTTGTTGTTCAAAAGGTCTTTTGCTAATTTAAATACAAGTTTCTTATAAGATAACTGACGGTTAGGATCTCACCCTACATCAAGATTTCAATTGAAAACATTTTGAAACGGCATGTAGTGTTAGCCAAAATATTTTTTTTTACCAAACATGGCTACGATTGTAATAGAAAGAGAACAAACATTTTCGAGAGAGAGTGTTACTTGTGCTCATTCTCATTACATGCATGCGTGGATGTGTATGGATGATGATGGTGATTTTAGGATGATCATGATAATGATCATGGAATGGGCTTTGATTTGACAAGACGAGGGTCACGAAGAGGACAATGAGATTGATTATATATATATATATATATATTATATTATTACTTCAATTCCTATCGTCAGTACTCTCAGTAGACATCGCTCCATGTCTTTCTCTTTTATCATCCGTATCGAAAGACAAGTCGAAAGATTTTTATAATATAATGTCTTGGCATTTGTACGACTGGCCCAGTACAAGCATTATTCTGAAAACTATTCGACAATGATTTATACAATTAATTTTACTGTACCATACCACTATAAATTCTAATCGACTATATGACATAGTATATAGCCTGATGGACGAAAAGCGTTTAAAGTGAATAAAATAATACAGCTTAAGCAGTTTTTCCATGAGACCTAGTGATCGTTAATGACTATGGAAGATCTAAAAATGATACTTGTATATAATTCGCAGTTGTTTTCTCTAATAATTGATTAGATAATTCACTGGTTCAGCTGACATCATTTTTATGGATTTTCCATCACAATTTGAACAACAACAAAAACAAGTACTAATTAGACAAATGACATCTGTAGTACAATGATATGATTCTCGAATAAGAAAACGAGGGAAGCTCCGAGTTAGAGCCAAGAGGCACCGAAAGAAGCAACCTGCAACTGCAAGCAGAAGTCCCATCTTGTCCTTTGACTATTTTCTTCTTCCCATAAATAAGATAAAACCTTAACAAAGTCCAATTATTCACACCTTATTCATGTACAACTTTTTATATGCAAAAAAATATGCAATGTTCTTTTCTGTTTCAAATTCAATAAAAAAAAAAAAAAAATTATTGTTTATTTGAATAATTCGTTTTACCTTTTTCGCCAACGTCTATTTTGTTCATTCAATCGTATGGTTTCCTTTTTGTGATTATAATTTAAAGAAAATAAATAATTCATTCACTCAGAAAATAATAGTAAAACTTAGAATAGTTTTTTCAGGTTTAATATGGAATATTATTTGCGAAATTAGATAAAACAAACACTAAGCTTGTGACACAAACAAAAATATACACCAAATTCATCTCGGGGCATAAAATTTATAGCACAACGTTCCAAAGGCAACAAATTATAAATTTTTATTTCTGTTAATCAGCAGATTCACAACTCTGGACCAGGAGACTAGGCCAATTTGATAGACAAAGTTATTTTTCCAAATAAAAAGAAATTGAATAGATAATCACTAGTAGATATTTTAGTGTATATGGAAAAAGTATTACAAATCTCTGATTTTCTTATATAGCAGATCTCTGATTGTTCCTGCCACAACCATCGTGATTCTGTATGAAACGTCATTTCAAGCACTCTTAATTAACGTCCACCATTCTACCCCCTATCATCATAATGCACTCTTACACATACTCCTATATTTACACCTTTTATATATATATATATATATATAATCGCAATTAAGAAAGTTAATGCCTAAAAAGTCTTAGACGAAAGCTCGTAGTAATTTCTATGAACATATATATATATATATATATATATATATATATATCCTGTCTTTTAAAGTTTGTAAACATTACTCTTTTGTAATTAATGGGCATATATACTTGAAACAATAATTGATAGAAAAGACTAATAAATTAAACACAACCAATATTACATCAGTAGAATCCAATCTCAGCTTTGATGAACTCATAAAAATACATCAGCTTTGATGAACTCATAAAAATACATACTGATTATAGATCTATTCGTATGTATATATCTCCGCATAGTGACATATATATATATATATGTAGGTATAAATGCATGAACCTAAACGTATACAAACGATTCATCAGTTTGTTTCAGGATAGATAGATAAGCAACATGCGCATAATCTTGGTGATCTCCCCGAGCCTAAAGCCCGTACCTGATAAAATATATATATCAAAATTATTTGATAACAACACAAACAAACAAAAGTAATTTAAAAGTTAGGGAATTTACGTTAGTGTGAATTAAATGTTTGAATTGACACTTCCTTAGTGTCTCTGCCCGGCCGCTTTGTGCCCTCAACATTCACAGCTGGATTTTACATTTTTTTTCAAGAAAGAGATATACACAAAAAGGACGGTATTGTCATTTTACTCTATCCGACATAAGTCGGTAAAACAAAAATTTTGGTCTGACTTCTGTAGGCTTTGACCGGTCTTAAGTCTCTCAACCCTCAAGTTAGGTTGGTTTCTTCGTGTAGAGCTAATTACGTAAAAGTTCAATTGTTAAATCGTTAGCCCGTACGACCATCACATGGTTGCTGGATCCCGATGCATCTCTTTGTACGTTGGCTTTATTATTGGTTCCATATAGTAATGCCTTACAAAATGTATAATTAACAGACCGAGCACAATTATTGTTGAATGATCATTTTAAATAACATAACTATTAGTTTATAAGTAACAACTAGAATTGGAGATAACCACATATTACGCATTGAAGATATGATATGGTTTTCTATTTTCAAAAAAAAAAAAAAAAAAAGAAGAAGATGGTTATGTATCAGTTAGGTATCGTTAAGTCACTCACCAATATAAACTTAACGTGATGGATGCATGTATGTGAATAATCAGATAACTAGTAAATGATTGCTATTTACTAATCTTCACTAATAATCACTTTGCATTGAGGCCAAAGTTATGCATTAGGTAACTTTGCATTAATTTTATAGATCAGATTTTAGATGATCTTGCAGACGAATGCTAGCGACCAAGGCTTTTTCGCATATTGAGTAATAGACAAAATATAGCATATTATTCTAATTAGAATAGTTGTATTAATAAAATGTATAAATTGATGAAAAAGATATATGTATATAGTTATTTTGGGTGAGGAGGTGATAATGCTAATCTCAATTCTGGAAAGTTCGTAACAAACCCACGTCACTCCTCGAGCCACTCCATCCACTAGTTAAAAACTACTAAACTAGTCTTATCAATTCGTTAGATTCTCGTTATATTTTCAGGATTGTGGGTCAACTTGGAGGAGAAACAGCTCTACTTTGTATATATTTTTCAATATGACCTTTTTTCAAATATTTTTGTCCCTAAGAAACATATTTTAATTAAGCATGCATCAGCATGTTTCTACCAGACAAATGGCATTGTATCAGCAGCTGCCTCATTTGCTTATCATCCTTTGCTTTTAAGTTTATAAACCCTTTAGCAAAAAAAAATAAAAAAAAATCATAAACCAAAACCAGCTAATTAAGAACTACTGGCATCCGAAGCAAAGATTGAATAACCCAAATTAGATCGTATTTGTTGCTAACAATCATGGAAATCACATATATTTAGTATGGTTGATTCAAACTGTTTTATCTAGCAAAGAAGAAAAACATTTCTAAAAAAAAAAACATTTCTCACTCGAACTTTAAAAAATAAGACTTTCAAAAAAAAAAAAAGATATGCCACCTTAATTCATCATTCAATATATCACCTATTTTGTTCCCTAGTGATCGGTTGTATGCTAGTAAACCACAATGACTATAATAACCGCACCGCTTCAAATACTTCAATATTTTCCGGACCTATTGCGTATTATCGTTTCATCAATCATCATCTCATTAGTTTAGTAAACTATAATTACGACATACGCCCAAAGAGAACCTACAAAATCGCATAGTTAAATATTATATAATACTCAAATCGTCTTCCAGAAAATGCTCGCTGAAAAGAACATGCTCAATGGACCTAGCTATTCTAAATACTCTCAAACCAAACTAAACATATTATCTTGGAATGTCCAAAAACGACATGAAAATATATGTGAATGCGAATTGTATTGCACCAGTCCTACAATAATAGCTGTACTCTGTCAAATACAAAAATAAATATGTATTATAATTCAATTAGGGTTAATTTTGATTTAAACTGTACGGGATATCGAACTAAGTATTTAGTATACATAGAGATGGACCGGGATACAATATCTCAAGATCGTCTCGTTTGATGTCTTCGAGGAAATTGTCTTAGAATTAATATGTATTCTTGTGATTTGTCTGACTGTTACAGTTAATCATATTTACATAATTTTATACGATACGTGTTGAATTGTAGACAAGTTAAATTTTGACCAAAAAGACAATAATTTGTCTGCTAATTACTCGACACTTTGAGTCGTACGATGTGGTCCGTGGTATAGTATATACGTCGTTCCTTAATTATATAATTTAACCATACTCACAAGTCACAATTAATTAAAAAGAAGTCTTTCAACAAACATAATAAATCATCTTGGTCTTGTTACCAGGCATAAAATGTAAAATATATGCGTTGATATTATTATCGTATATTGTAAAGTATAGTGAGACGCCAGAAATTACTCGCCATTCTAATTGCGCTTATGATTTATGATAAATGTAAATATTTACGTCCATAACGTACACCTTTTTTCGTCAAAATCGAAAACGAAACTGAATTACCACAAAAATTAGCGTATGCTGGTTATTGAAATTTTGAGATACACTCTAAACTTCCAATACTGAACTAGAAGAATAAAATTTCTTTTCATTTTCGTATTCAGGACAAGACAAGAATAATATATCTTTTGTAAATGATCAAAGAGACAAATAATATTAGTTTCAAGTTGCCGATAACTGATATTTAGTTATACAATCATTGTTTAGTGAATTAAAACACAAATCTGCTCAAACTCCCAAATAATAATAAGAAACAAAAATTACTATTGTAGTAATGTCAATTATTTATTGACTGTGCTTATATTAAGTTTAAAGTGGCATCACTTGCTAATATGTGGAAAACAAGTGGGTCCATCACAAAAATATTGCTATCCTGAAACATTTTCGTTTGTATCATCACTTGACAGTGTATTGTGAGAAATCTCTTACAAGAGTTATGATTTTTTGAATTTGGAAAGTTTTTGTGATTATTTCATCACAAACTTCTTTTTAGTTGTTAACAAAAGGACTACTCTTTACTTTAGCTTTAGTAATCTTATTTAGCCGAACTCTTTTTAAATATATGGATTTATTGTTGAGCACATTGATGATTGTGTAATAAAGCCAACTAAACCATCACCACTATAGTATATTGGTGTCTCTACTTCAGTGCTTTATGGACCACGGTTTTTAAGATACAAACTTACACATAATACATTTTATTATTTTTAACATGTTGAAATCATTTATTTGTTATATTTGGTTTAGTTATATAATCACGATTTGTCTTAATCCGTTTACTCTCTTTAAAATCATTTTTGTATCATTTTCTGGTACAGTTCAGTTTAATACGATTTGGTTTAATCAGGTTGTATGTTCTTAATTAATTGCTAATTAGAATAATGATCCATTATGTTGTACACGGCTCAACTAGACTCTATGATAATGTCATGTTGAAATTTAATTTTACTATTAATTAATTCTTGTAAAATATATATAGTGCTCGACAATGTCTTAATCAGTACATTATTAATCACCTACCAACCTGAACTTGTTATATACTTTGAGGGGCCACGTCAAGTGTGCCGTTTATTTGTCTGATTACGTTTTTGTGTTGTTCTTTAATATTCGTGCGTGTGGTGTTTCTGGTCTAGTTTCCACTTAATTCAACACGATTATCACGTAGAACTGTTTTTGAAAAATATTCTTCGAGAAGAACTGTAATTTGAGTATTTACTATCACGAAGTGAAACCAGTAAACAAATTTTTTTTTTTTGTACCAACAAACATGATCTCTATCTAAATCTAACGTACAATATCCCAAATAAGCGGATTAGACAACCGTTTTAAACAGTTTTAAAACGTTAGATAATGACCATAATAATCATATTTTAGAATAAAAATAAGCAAAAATAAAAATTATGCGATATAAACCGGTTAAGTGGATCTTTAGGTGGTTATGTGTATACAATCTATATAAATATTTATAGTAATAGTATGTCTTTGTGAATTATTAAAGCAATTAGTTTACATTTTAAATTAGAATTTGAAATATTAAGAATAATAAATAGTAAAATGAAGTGGAATTTGGTTGGATATACTTTGTTTTTGTGTTTTGAACAAAAAAACAAAAAAAAATACTTTGTTTTTGTGTTTCTAAATTAATATAAAAATAAATTTGTTACGAAAAAATGGAGTACTTTTTTCCTCTAGCAAAACTAGAGCTTTTTTTTCCTCCTCACAGCTTAGTTTACCTAAAACTAAGTTCTAACTAGTTAGCTCTAATTTAATCCTATGTGCTTCTTTCTGGTTTTTTTTTTTTTTGGAAGACACCTGCTATAGCTTCTGTAATTAAACCATTGCTTTTGGTAATTTAATTTACCTTCTATCTTTTTTTTACTTTGAATGAAAATCTAATTTGGTACATATTTAATTGTAGGCAAAAGAAATTGTAGGCAGTAGATAATGGTAAAGATGGGCTTGAGAGCAAATGATTACTTTGGAGATGGTGCAATGCATCAGAGTGATGATGTGGAAGTTAATATGTGTAAGTTTATGGGCAAAGGAAAAGTAGAAAACTTAAGAGGAAAACGAAAAGAGAGAGAAAGAGAAACCGAATCATAATGAGTTAACGCAGACATAGCCGCCATTTCCACTTCTCACTCCCACTTACAACTTCTCCTTTTGGGCAAGTTTTCGACATCAATGCTCGTCTTAATCACCATTAATCTACTCATCATTAATTCATTGAAGCCCACTATTTTTCGTATCACTCCTATTATGCAAAAAGATATTTTGTATTATGAGATTTAAATTCATTTCATACTAGTTTACCTATATACATTGTATATATTAATAAAAAAAATATAATTTGCCTGATGTGAAAACTTTAGTATTGTGAATCACGATAAACAAAAAATAAGACATTCTGAAGGATCATAATCATATTACAGTTTTTTTTAATGTTCTAGATAGCAATTTTGTGGCTAGACAAAATGAGATATACAAACACGACATAAACAAATGTGTGACAAAGACAGGCCAACACTACAATTAGGTCAGTTTCATTTGATTCTTGTTATTGTTATTTCTCTAATCCACAAAAATCCGTCTTCAGCTATCAGTAAAAATCTGGTTAGATTGTACTTTACAAATACTACTATTTAAAATCTAATATTTCTATTTATCAAAAAAGAAGGAAAAAAAAACAAGAAGGGTACTGTAGAGTCTATAAATAGGATTGTGAAGAAGAACTTTAAACCTCTTTCAATCATGAACTACTCGCCTTCTCCAACTTTTAAAACTCATCATAAATAAAAAGGTAGCCGGAAAAAAAAAAAAAGAGAGTCTTTTTCTCTTTCCTTTTAAATCCAAATCCTATAAACTCATAGCTTCTCTGTTCTTTACTTATACCTCACGTTATATATATAGCTTCTATAAATGCTTCTCTTTCCTCTCGAATCATCTTCTTCCTTGGCTTCTCTCATTTCCACACTCACCTTCTTCTCTATATAAACCCTATCATCTACTTCACTCTTCCTCTAATTCTCTCTCTCTCTATCTCTTTTCTCTCTACTCTGTTTTTTCTCCTCTCTCTCTCTCTCAAAGGCAAATATGACGGTGGTGAGAGAGTACGACCCGAGCCGAGACTTAGCCGGTGTGGAGGATGTAGAGCGACGGTGTGAGGTCGGACCAAGCGGCAAGCTTTCCCTCTTCACCGACCTTTTGGGTGACCCGATTTGTAGGATCCGACATTCACCTTCTTTTCTTATGCTGGTAATTTACTAATTTCCCACTGTTTTTATTCTTTTATTTGCGTCTCTTCTTCTTCCTCACGAACTCTGTTTTCTCAACCTTCGAATAATCCAAAAACCAATTTCCATAGTTTAGGTTAAGTTTCGTTTTTCTTTTTGTTAATATTTTTTTTTCATTTCTAGTATTATTTTTCTCCGACTCTTGATAAGATCAAAAGGCTCATCATTTATATTTTCTGAACCAAATACATCGAGTAACAAACCATAAAGTTAGAGAAACTTTTTAATTTATTTTTTAAAAAGGTAGAAACAAAATCAATAACGGGAAAATTTAATATCGTTGTAACAGGTGGCTGAGATGGGTACGGAGAAGAAGGAGATAGTGGGCATGATTAGAGGTTGCATCAAAACCGTTACATGTGGCCAAAAACTCGATTTAAATCACAAATCACAAAACGACGCCGTTAAGCCACTTTACACTAAACTCGCCTACGTTTTAGGCCTCCGTGTCTCTCCGTCTCACAGGTACCGTTCCGTTATTTCCACTAATCACGCAGTTAGTTAAAAAGAGAGGATAATTAGAACTAATTTACTCATTAACTTTTCGGTTTTGCAGGAGGCAAGGGATAGGGCTTAAGCTCGTGAAGATGATGGAGGAATGGTTTAGGCAAAACGGTGCAGAATATTCGTATATCGCAACTGAAAACGACAATGAAGCTTCCGTTAATCTTTTCACCGGAAAATGCGGTTACTCTGCGTTTCGTACACCGTCGATTTTGGTCAATCCGGTTTACGCACATCGGGTCAACGTCTCGCGTCGAGTTACAATCATCAAATTAGACCCGGTCGACGCAGAATCGTTGTACCGACTCCGGTTCAGCACAACCGAATTTTTCCCGCGGGATATTGACTCGGTGCTGAACAACAAACTCTCGCTCGGGACTTTCGTCGCGGTGCCACGTGGTAGCTGTTATGGATCCGGGTCTGGATCATGGCCCGGTTCGGCTAAGTTCCTCGAGTACCCACCCGAGTCGTGGGCTGTGTTGAGCGTGTGGAACTCCAAAGATTTGTTTCGGTTAGAGGTTCGTGGCGCATCGCTGTTGAGACGCGTGGTGGCTAGAACGACGAGGGTGGTTGATAAAACGCTGCCGTTTTTGAAGCTCCCTTCGATCCCATCGGTTTTTAAACCGTTTGGGCTTCATTTTATGTACGGGATCGGTGGAGAAGGCCCACACGCGACGAAAATGGTGAAGTCGTTGTGTGCTCACGCGCATAACCTGGCCAAGGAAGGAGGCTGTGGCATTGTGGCGGCGGAAGTGGCCAAAGAAGAGCCGTTGCGGCGAGGGATACCGCACTGGAAAGTGCTATCGTGTGCTGAGGATCTTTGGTGTATTAAACGGCTTGGAGAAGACTACAGTGATGGTGTTGTTGGTGACTGGACTAAATCGCCACCTGGCGTTTCGATTTTTGTGGATCCTAGAGAGTTTTAATTTTTTTTCTTTTTAACCTTTGATAATATAGAATCAGAATCTTGTAGTTAACCTTTTATGTCATATTACGGGTTTTTCTTGTAAGCGCTTAGATTTTAATTTTCCTCTTAGATCTTCTTGATGGGGGTTTTTAGTTTTATATATTGTCTTCTTTTTTTTTTCCTAGGTAATCTTTCTTTTTTGTTTGTGGGTGTTAAATTAGTGGTAAGAGGCAATATCTCCAACTTTTGGGTTTGTGTCTTCTTGTCTTGTAAATGGATCTAGCTTTTTAAGATACTTTTTCTCTGGCCAAATTAAAATGCCGACCTGATTGTTTTTTAAATTATGTAGAGAAATTTAGTGAATGCGTTGATACGTCGGATAAAGTAATTATATTCTGTAAGATGTTTAACAATATGATAATTATGACAGTAGGAGAAGATGTATGTACAGAATGTCTTATTACCAAATAGTATATGATAACTTTACCACTTTTGTGTAAACGTTTAATTTTGCCTTTTTACAAATAACAGTTGTGGAACAAATTTCATTGAGCCACCTAATTTTCATGGATATCTCATTGTTTTTCTAAATTACCAACCTAAATCATTAAACTACATGTATGAATACCCACTAAAAAAACCCATTCAGACTAACTACAGAAAGACGCACAATATTGTCTTAAGAGTAAATATAAGATAATATGATGTATATTAGTTTAGTTGTTCCTTTTTAGGTGGGATTTTGGTTCTTAGTACTTTGCTAATTCGAGATTGATGATCACTGATGGATATTGGAGAATAAAAACACCTTTTGATATCGCCAGTCTTACGTGTAAATGACATGAAAAATCAATGTCATGGACCACACTTTTTCTCCATTTTATGGTCCCAAAGATGTTAAACTGATAGATTTACATGTTTCTTTTGTTGGTTTGCAGTAGCATGATTAAAACCTTTGAATCGGGTTTGAGAACGTGTCTTTGTCCAAAAGAGGTATTGTCGAGTCGTGAGCACCGATCGAGTCAGGGAAAGTTTATACTAACAAGGTCTTGTTCATCGCATAATAAGACATGTGGAGATAACTTCGAGGAGTACTACTTTGCGTTTGTGGATCATATTCCGGTTATAAAGATTGGCATATACGTGCGTATGTTGACCGGGGGTTTTGTTTTTAGCTGTTGCGAGTTAGCATTTCTTGGCAATATATGTAAGGATGTTTTGATGGTAGTCCGATCCGATTTGACCCGGTTCTAATACGACGTGTAGCCATGCAGATTAGTTATGTTTTTCTTTTTTTTCCAAGTACTGCCCAATGATTCATAGTTTTGTGATTTTGTGACACGATATATATGTGTGGTTATGACGGATTTTATTTTATTTTATCACATGTAGTATATAGAGTCTAGTGATATCTATGATGACAATTCAGAAGTGATAAACTTTTTTGGATATATTTAAACTAAGCTTGATCTTGGATTTAGCTTTTGAAAACTGTAGACCAGTTTTTTTTCGAAAAGATTTTGTAGCTAACATAAAACAATAAAAAAAAAAAGAAACTAATGGAAGTTAGGTTATCTCTTCACGGGGTTCTCCGTTCTCAAGTACACGATCATGTGATTCTTAACGCCGAAGGATCTTAAGGCAAATAGGAAATATAATGTTTCTTTAACAATTTAATGCAACCATTTGAATTACATTAGCAATTTGATGTCGAGGCCACAAAAGCACTATATAAATAACCAGACGATAGAAAAATTTACGTGGACTTGACCCTTTTTTTTTTTATTATATCATGTATTAAAGTAGTTTATAGTAAGATTTTGCTTCGAAAAATATTATACGTGTAACTGAGGAAGGATTTTTATGTTTTAGTAGATTTTAATTTATACTTTTATAGCATCTTACAAGATGCTAATTTATTAAATAACAAATTCTTGAAACTATGATTCAAATCTTTTGAATTTATAGAAATGTGGGCGACCTTGTCCAACACCCAAACATCTCATTCTCATCCCCCACCATAATTATTCAAAAGGAATATTCAATATGCGAGTGCGTCCGCAAGGAAAATGATGTAATATTAATGAAGCTATATAAATATTTATGTATTTTCATAAATAAAAAAAAATGACGAAGAAGATTTTCAGTATAATGACGGTGGCAAAGTAAGTTCGACTCTTCACTCTCAATACTGTTCCTACGCAAGTCCAGACCAAAAAGTGAAGAGTCAAACATTTTTTCAGAACCATTCCTTATTAGGGAGGACTTGCAAAAATAAGTTGTTCTGGTTTTCTAATTTGTTAAAAATAACATGCTTTTCCTATCTATAAACAATTAGTTTCTGAAATTTTTGCCGATGTTGATGACAAGTTTATGAGATTTGTTTTTGTCAATTTTCAAAAAAGTTTGTAATTTTGTATTTTACTTAAATTTGATGAATAAAAGGTCTCGCAAATCATGCTTGGACAAGATTTCTTGAGAAACTATTCTGTTTATGGAATTACCGTAAATTGTTCATCTGAATTTGAAAGACTTTTTTTCACGAATTGAAAGACTATCTTCTTATTATTATTTCAAGAACCATTTTTTTTTTTAACACTTCCATTTTAAAGTGACAAACAAAGCAACAAAAAGAAAAAACCAAGCTAAACATCATACCTACTAAGAAGAACACCACAAAGAGGAATCAGAATACAACAAAATGGGTAACGTCTGAGAAACTGAATCTGACAAAGAGAGAAAAAAAAGTTAGTCATCGGAGAAAATCTTTTTCTTTCTTCTTCTTTGCTTCATGCTAATGCTTCTTGCTTGTGGAAGAAGAAGACTTAGAGTCATCATTAACAGAACCAGGACTCGAAGTCCCTGAGCTACTCATCATCTCTCCACTTCTCTCTTTACCAGACCAAAGCTTCGAGAACACTCTAGAAACTCCCAGTCCTCCTCCTCCTCCTTTCATCAGTTTCCCTTTATTGTTGTTCTCTTGTTGATTCTTCGCGAGTCTCAGATTTGCCAACTCACCTCTCAACGCTTTTATATCTTCTGCGTCCCAACACTCTGTGTCTTCCTCGGTGTTTGTTGATCTTGAAGCCGGGATGATCTCCGGCGTGCTGTTCCCGGTCGACGATGAACCGTTGTTGTTGGCTCTCACCTGTTCAAAGAAGAGCACTTGCACCACCACACGCATAGGTAACCGCTCGTTCTGAACAGCGTGCGCGCAAGCCTCCACCGATAGCTTCCTACAGTCCATTAGCCTGCAGATTCTCTTCTTCTCGCTCTTGTTGATCTCCGGATGTTCCTGATAAGACCGAATCCAAAATCGTCATTACAAACTGCTAAAATCTTGATTACTACTAACTGTCCAAATCTTGATTCAACGGTATGATAAGTTCTTGGTTGTACCTTGAGAAACATGTCGATTGCGCGATAAACTCCGTCATGAGACTGTCTCGGAAAGCTCGAGACCATTTCCGCAAGTGAGAGGAACTTATGAAGAGGCAAGTTTTCCGAATCCCGCGACTTCTCAGCTAAATAGCCATCGACGAGTTTCGCAACCGCTGCTTTCGCGGTTATATCATCTTCTTCCGAGCGGTTTTTAGGCTCCCGAGACTTCAAGAAAACCTCAACTAAGCTCTGCATCAAGTCAACGTCATAGATCATAACATCACCCAAACTGGCTTCATCTAGTCGCTCGCCTACTCTGTTCTTCAGCCCTGTTTCTTCATCACACCCAAGAAAGATCGAAGCTCGCAATAACTTAGTCAAGAAACTCGAAGAGACGCTGAGTTTCTCGTCAGGAATCAGCTCAACGATGGAATCAACCAAAGCTCTGTATTTCGCAAAGTCAGTGATCTGTACCGAACCGCTTTTGCTGAATCCAGGAACCCTTCTGATCGCGTAAGCGTGCAGTGCTTCTCCGATGACATCTGCAGAAACTTTCCCTCTCGCTTCGATCGTAGCGATCGCTCGCTTATACAAATCGATATGAAGATCACAGAGATCCTCCACCCACCAATCTCTAGGAACCGCCTGAGGTTTCCTCAACCCGTTGTCAAGATTCTTCTTCTTGCTGTAAGTGTAAGACCACTCGACTTTCGAGGTATCGATGGAAGCTCTAGAGGCGATGGAGTCGAGACAGCGCCCCGTTAGCTTCAACTCTTCGGCGTATGGAGACAGAGCTCTCGTGGTCTGAAGCACGATGATGGAATCTTTCCAGCTTTGGAGTATGCTCGAGTTCAAGAAAACTTCGATCTTGTAAACAAGGTTTCCCTTTTCGACCGTTTCGTACATCTCGAGGAACTCGGCGGCGCAACGAGCGGCTACTACGTTGTAAGCGTTTAGAGTAACCGTCATGCCGTAACAGAACTTAGCGCAGATCTCAAATGAAGCTGGACCACCAGGAATCTCAGCTATTTCGATCTCATCTTCTTGATGAATCTGATTGTCTTCATTCGATGATGTTGTTGCGATTAGTTTCTGCAAGCGTGCGCTTTTCGACAGCAATGGAAACTGAACAAAAAGAAATCAAAACATAAACCAAAACTTCCAAAAGATTGAAACTTTCTCTGTAAGGCAATAAGATTACTGATCCTCAGTGTTTACCTTGTGGAGATAGAATTTGACATCGCCAATGGTTACAATTACATCTGTTGCTAAGTCACTTGATACATACCTTCAAGAACAGAACAAAATAAATTGTCAGAACAAACAAACACAAAGACCATAAACTTGAAGCTGTCTGTTTTCTTGACAGTTTCAGATCTATAAGCTGATTTCGAAGTTGGATTTCAGACAAAACATTGTAATAACCAAGTATCAAAAAGAAGAAGTAAAGATAGGATTTTGAACACAAACCTAACATTCTCTCCTTCAGATTGAAACGAATCAGGTTTGGATCCAAGTTTCATGAACTTCATGATCTTGCGTTGGTGAAGAGGTCTCAAACAGAAAGCTAATAAAAAAGACTCAAACTGTGTTTTCACTCTCTTACAATGCTTCCTGAGTCAGAAACAGAGAAGCAAAGACTCTGGAAGAAAAAGGGTCTCACATACACTTAAGGAAACATTGTTAATGGAGGAGTCTCACATCTCAAAGAGAACATAGAGAAAAGGAAAAGAGAAAATTATATAAAAGAGAAAACTTAGAGATGCACAAAACACCCACTCAAAGCTCGAATTTACTGACACACACAGAGAGATAAACTCTTTTTTTATATAATCAAAATTCTTCTCTCTTTTCTAAGTGCTTCACACATTCACAAACACAGAAACACGTGAAACCCTTTCTATCTCTTTCTTATTTTAGTCGTCCACTGTGTGAAGTAAGCAACAACAAACGAATCCAAAGCTTGAGGGGTTAATGGGCGATGGCAAAAGCGTCGTCGTTTAGTAGTAAACCTGCAAGAATCAACAAAGACGAAGAAAAATTAGAAGATTGCCACTTATTCAATAGACAAGATGCATCAAATCTTTTTGGATGTTTGCTGAAAAGAATCTAACAAAAACAAAAACACTAGTGGCCGATATCGTTTATCTCAGTACAAAAAAAAAATTAGTTCTTTTTAAAATCAGGAACCTATTCGATTCCTTAAAACCTCAAGATCTTCAATTGCAAGTCTTCTTTAAGAGAAGGGAAACAAATTGTAATTTAAGATATAAATTGTGACCCACAAATTTGAAAATTTGGATTCATCACGAACGTAAGGACTTCTTAAAAAAGCTAGCAGCTAAGACAAAATCTCAATATCCAAAAGGTTATATAATGATACCTTTGTTTCTTTTCTTCCTCAGAAGCCAACTTCAGTGTTTTGAAGCTCTCTTAATCATTTGAGGCATCACAAGAAAATCTGATTGCTATATAATCGTGTGAATTGATCTTCTCTCTCCTCTCTTTCTCTCTCTTTACAGAGCCCCACAAACGAAGATAACATCAAAAGTATGAGCTGTGTTCTTCAACTTTAAGCCCATGAACACAAAATGGCGCTACGAACCAAAAACAGATCAGAAGCCTTTCTTCGAATTAAGCACGACCCAGATCAGGTTGATGATAAAAGATTCTTCTTAAGCGATCAAACAGTGACCTTTCGTTGTATTTCTTTAAGAAAATTAGGAAATTAAAGAGAAAAAGAAAAGGAGAAAGGAGCCAAAAAAAACTGAAAGAGAGAAGGAAGAAGAAGAGGGAGAGAGAGAGATGTGTGTAAAGCTTTTCTGTAGAAATGCACGCGAAATCTGACAAAGCACTTACTTGTGTGCCCCCTTCCCTTCAGACAAACTTACCTTCTTTTCAGGATATGTTTTCTTCTTTCCTTTTCACTCTCTCTCTCTCTCTTCTTTTTCTCCATTTTTTCTTCTTTTTTTCCTAATTGATCTCTGCTTTTTCTTTTTTTTCATCAATCACATTTATTATTTTCATTTTCTATAACCAAATTTAATTTAAAAACAAATACCTTTTTAGTATTCACCATGTACAACACCATAAAGTAAATAAAAGCATAAGTAATCTTTAATATTTCCTATCGAATTAGACTTCCTAGTTACCAATGAACTAGTTTGTATCATTACTTCAATCTCTCATACTTTTGAAATTTATGATACTATACGTGAAATCGTGAGTCCTATAAATACGTATTGATAACTAAAAGAAAAAGTCAACAGAGTTTCAAATCCTATTTGGACCTAAAGATTTTATTTGGGTTGTTGCAAGAAATCTTCCTGATTAGCTGAATGACTTAGACTTTAGTTTTGTAGATCCTCAAAGATTAATATTAGATAATTTACATGATAAAAGGGTACGATGCATGTGGTAGCCAATAAGAATCCAGTTAATGTTAGCAAGTTGGAAGTCGATTCATTGCTGTTTCATCTTCACATGGTTTTATACATCTCAAAAATCTATTCACATTATCCAATAGATTTGCCTCTTTAATTTATTTATTATTTTTCTTATTGTCTTTAATCAGATTAGCATCTAGCTACTTCTTATACTAGTAAGTAAATGCTGCGACATTGTGGAAAGACATTTAGAGTGTTAATTAAAAACAAAACTAAAAAATTGACCATATTGATTTAGAAACAAATAGAGTCAAAAGTAGGGGTTTTTGAGACCAATCCTATCGAATTGTAATCAAATTCAAATTTTATTATTTGTTAAAAATCAAAATTCCTCAACAAAATGTTGTTTAAAAAGAAAGTGTGACAAAATGTTATTACTTAGATAAATATTAGATGGGATGATAAACTGTATAGATGTAACATCTACAATCATATATGAATAAATTTCAACATGATTGATTGAGATATATAGCATACAAGTTCTTTTCTTGTGCAAAGTTGCAACTCAATTAATCAAATTTTAATATTGCGCCTATATATAAAAAAGCAACAAAGGTTTTTTTAAATACATTCATGTATATGGTTTCAGATTGCAAAGAATATGACATAAAAATTGAAATCGCAAAATAAATAAAATAAATAAACCATTAAAAGCATATATAAAAACTAATGATGGTTCTCTTTCAGTCTTTAACTTTTGTATAATTTTAAAAATATTTTTAATTTAAAATTTTTAAGGCATGCAAAATTATTTGAATTTTATATCCTTAAATTGAAAGTATAAAACACACAACTAATTGGAGGACATGCGTATTAGTTTCATTTGTATAAAAAAATTGTTTATTGTAATACATTTAAAGGCGATATAATTTGTTCTCATTCCTATAAGGAAACTTCGGAACTCAGGAATCGATATTGTAAACTATGAACTATCTTTGATTAAAGACTTTGGACGACATGTCATGTCTTTCAAATAAAATATGAGCTATACATTTATATATTTCCTCTGGTGCAAAGTGTAATCTTATGGATCCACCAGTAAAGCTATACATATATATGGTAATTGATATAACTTTGTATTGCAAAGACACATTCCTCTTATCTTGAATGCTTTTTTATGTAATTTCTAATAAATTATTGTAATGAAATGATTAAAACCAACAAATTATTTTCAAAAAAAAAAAACAAATTATTTCATCAGAATTTTTTTTTCCCAAAGTTTAGAACGTTGAATCGATAGGAAAGTCGAAAGCTACATGTTACCTAATTACAACATGGCTGAGTTGAGTACTCGTGTGATTATGGGAACCACCAAAACGTGGTCCATGCATCTCTTTTTAGCCAGCCTTTCTCTCTTTCTCTTCTTTTCTCCCAAATATCCTCAGTATTTATTTTATTCCTATTTTATTCAATATTATATCAAAGTGGTGATCATAAGTTCATAACAGTACCATGTCATCTTCTATAAACCGTTTTGGATAGTTGATAAATATAAACCGCTGATCAGTGTTCATTCATTAAGTTTCTTACAAACATGTATTACATTTTTTTTTATATAGTTCGTGTATTAATAATAGAGTTGACCAAAGCGTTAGCTACTTCGCTTACTGTTTTAATTTTTTCTTTGTTAACATCACAGTTTTCATTTGTGATATTGTAGGGTTGGTTTACTGTTGTTTAGTAGGTTGTAGAGTAAGCGTTATTCAAAAGTTTAACTGTCAAACTCCGCTTTACTTTTGTGTCAATCAGACGAGTTTTTACAACATTGGAGTTAACTAGTTGAGTTCTACGGTCTTACTGAGTTACTGTTTAAATTGACACTATACAAGAAGAAAATAAAAATCTAGGATAAATTTTGTATTGGATTCTTATTTTTCGTTTGTGTGAAAATGACAGAAACCATGGTGGACAATGAAAGTAATGGGATGTTGGATTGCATGCAAAAAAAAAAAGCTATATAAATTTTAAATCCTGTATTTAAGATTTTCATTTTGCGAATTTCTTGAATATATTTTTTTGTTGGTTTTTTGTTAATAGATTTTACTTTAACTTTATTTTATAAAAAAATCAGTAGATTCCTAAACTCATATATTTTCTGACGTAGACACCTAAATTCTCTATATAATATATATTTTTTATTTATTTTATAAAAATAATATGAAAAGAAGTGATAACTCTGTATGTAGCCTTAAAAAAAGGGAATCTTCTGGGCGTAACAGAGGGTTCTGCTTCTTGGCGGCAACAAGTGTGTGGAGAGCGAAACATATAAAAAGGGGTAAATTTCTTTCTCTCAAAATCGAGAGAAATTAGAAAAGTGAGATCTCTGATCTTCTTCGCGTGATTTCGCTCTCGTGAACAGCGATTGTTCTGCGATCTACATCGATCCCTCCGTCTCCGTCCTGAAATAATTCCTTTTCTCAGGTAAGATTTTCCCGATCCCAAATTATATGTTTTTATTTTGCAGATTCGTCGTGTTTTTTTTTCACGTGGATATTTAGGGGTTTAAAATTCATCCTTGGAGGTGTTGAATTGCGATGAGATGTTTAGTGGGTTGTTACTTTTATTGTAAGATCATTGCGATTAGTGGATTAAGATTGAAGAGAGCTTTTAGGTTTTGCGCACTAAGTGCTCGATGAATTGTCCAAGTCAGGTGTTCCTTTTTCTAGAACCGCTTTTCTTTTCTTTTTTTCGGAACAAAATACTTTTGTGTCTTGTCGTCTTTCTTGTTATCTAACCATTTGGATTTTTCCCTGTCTCTTTAATCTTTCTGCTTCTGTATGTTTTTTTTCGTCCTTTGAGATTCATCAAGAGATGCGTTTTTCTGTGGCAGTAAAGAGTCTCTTTTTGATGTTACTGCTGAATCACTGTTATCTGATTCTTGTTCACACAGTTGGTTGTACAGTCAAGCAGTGAACTTTGTATGTGCAGATCTTGAACTTTGTGATCTAATTGTATGTATGATGATTATCTGGAAACCATATCCTCAAAAAGTAGAATACGATCTTGTTAGTAGAATGAAACTCTTTATGTTTTGGTAGGATTTAGCTATAGTACTTGGAGTTATTGTGTGTCTGATCTGATTTACTTTCGATTGATATATCCGTAGAATACGTAAACGAGGTCAAGATCAACAGCATTTTCATCTTGCAAGAAAGCTCAATCAATCGTGAGGATGGAGCCGCAACATACCAGTGATCTAATGAAGTAATTATCTTTTTTTGTAGTTTCTTTGTTACCCATAATCTGAATACATAATACCCGTTTTTTTGAAACTAATTTGTTTTTGAATGTCAAATAGGCATTTGGAGAAGCAGAAGGAGTTACTCAAGGAAGCTCATAAGACCATGTCACAAGAACTCCAAACACTCATGGTATTATAGAAAGAAAAAAAAAACTCATTTAACGAGCTTGTGATGTGATAAGCGGCTTGAGATTCTTTAAATGATAAAGTTTTTCATTTCTTTTCAGGTGGAAGAAAAGATGATGATGCATAAACTCTATGAGATATTGAGTACCGATCGTAAAAATAAGAAGGTATGCTCTGTTCTTCTTGAAGTTACTATTTGAAAATATCAATAAACAGAGAGTTTCAAGAAACTTAAGAGATGGTGTTTCTTGGCTTTGCAGAAAAGGAAAGAAACTCAAAATGTGTTGGAAGGAAACGAAATAATTGAAGTTTCTTCCCCACCAACCTTGAGTAGTGGTGAATCTGGTGATGAAGAAAAACATTGAGGAGAGGAACTCTTCTCCATATAAGCTATGGAAGAGACCAGAGACCGGTTTGGATAAATTGTGTCTTTCGACGATGAATTTTGAATTTCGGAGAATCTGCTACCTCCTATGTACATGTATAATACATTGTAATCTCTATTTTCTATAGGAAATGAACAAACAAAAAAAATGTCACAAAGTAACATCGATTGCTTGCAAAAAGAATGGTGATCCTCCAATTTTCTTGGTGCTCAACACATTCTTCACCAAAAGTTTCCATCTTTTCTCGTCTTTCCTGCTCTGTGTCTTCATCCTCTCCTTGAAGTTACCACAAAGAGGGACTCTGCATTGTTCCGAGTCAACGCAGATACGCGAATGAAGCTCAAGAAGCTGCCACATTCTCTTACAACGGCTGCAACCACCAGGGATCGATCTCAGTTTGCATCCCGCCAAATGTTTCAGCAGCTTCTCTAACCCGTTGCACGCTTGAAACACGCACGAGACATGAGGGGTTTCGACCTTCGTTGGACCGATTTCTCTGCATCCATCTCTACATATGTGAACAAAAGCCTCCATTGCCTCATACAGCTGAGTGTATGTCTGTATCTCTTTCTGTTTCCTGCTTCTTTGCTTCAAGCTCTGCAAAACAAAAAGACAGAATATCATCAGAAACTTGCGAAAGATTTGGTTTTTCTTTTGGGGGATTCAAGATTTGGTTTTCTTACTTTTTGCTCGTAAGCGACAGAGCGTAAGAGCTCTTTCTGGAGACTAGGATGGCTTTGTTTCATTGCTTCCCATCCTTGGGAAGTAGAAACTTCTTCGAAGCTCTTTAGTATCATTCTGTGACAGATAAGACTGAGACGAGGAGCGTCGCAGAGAAGAGCTAGCTGAAACACGTCGATAACGTTTTCTTTGTTGAGAAGAGCGTTTTCGAACTGCGATTCGCATAATCGTTTCAAATGCGGAACCACGTAGACGTGTGATAGCACAAGAAGATGAAATGCGAAGTCTTCCATGTCTTGTTTCTCGTAGCTGCAGGCAGAAACAGAGCAAGAAACAAAAAAGGGTTTAAGTTTTAAGTATTGTGATTACTGTAACCAGAGATTAATTGGGATTAAGGATTTAAGTTAATTACCAAGAAGAGTACAAGAATCGAATGAAAACTCGAACAGCGTCGTGAGGAACGCCGAGGATCGAGATTGATTTGCGATGAGGTTTTCTCTTATCTTGCTTCATCATTCCTCTGATTACATCTGAAGCCATTCCCTAATTACAGATAAAAAAAAAAACAGATACTTAATAAAAGACTCGATATTAATAATGTTTCAGATTTCTGTGTATTTGAATTATTCGTTTAGAGAACTTACGATGACGTTAGAATGTGCGTAGATCAAACCATTGTCATCTGTGTGAATCAAAACATCAGCTCCATGAGCTTCGTCGAACATACGATCCCATGAATCTCTTGTAGCTGTAGATACAAAGCTATGGCATTTTTGCAGAAACAGATCCGTTGACTTCTTCGACTTAGGAGGAGGAGGAGGAGGTGGTGAAGGAGGTGCTGAAACATTTTCCGGTGAACATTCCGGTGAGAATTCGTCGATGTTCTCCATGACTTTGATTGTTTCTCTTCTGTAACAAGTTAGAGAAGAAATCGGATTCAGGAATCGTTTGTTTCAAGTCCAAAAATCTCTTAGAAAATTCGATTTCATAGATCTATCCGAACAGAGAAACAGAAGAAATGTAATAACACGAAAATAAACTTACAGATTTTGGATTTGAATTGATCGGTTTAATTTGTTCAACTTCACTTGGAGATGAGATTAGAAGAAAATATATTTAAAAAAATCCAGAGAATGATTGTCAAATCGGATATAATCTTGCTTTCCTTTATGTGATCTTCTGATTCAGAAGAAAATAAACGCGGAGAAAATGAGCTGTGTGTTATATTCAAGAAAGGACAATCAAAAATGAGGAAACGAGAGAGAGAGAGGGAGAAAGTAATGGCAATGACCATTTATATATTCCCCTTCGTCGGATTATTATTACTTAAATGATTTGATTTTTATATATTTAATGTTGGAAACTCGCAAATGTGAACTGTGTAACACGTCGAAATTGGTCCCACACAGCTGATTCGTTTCAAACAGAGAAGAGGATAAGTAAGTCTTGCTGATTCATATCCACGTCGGACGAACTTTTCTAATCACTCACTTTTAATTCTATCCAATTTTTACTTCTCTTTTCTTTTTTTTTTGCAAATCCGTTTTTCCTCTCTGTCTAATCATTATATCCAAGTATTTTTCATTAAAAAATTAGAAAATAATAATTCCAAAATTTGCCTCTATCCATATTTCTATGTTATTATGTAATGCAATTTTCGATGTAGTGGTTGGCAACGACGTAGTTGGAAAAGGTACACATGTATATCTAAAAAAAAAATTAAATAAATCATTCACACGCATCTTTCCCCTTAAATAATCATTTTAAAAGATGAAGTTTTCATTTTGTCAAAGGCATGTTTTTTCCCCTGTCGATTTTTTTTATTCAATAAAAGCATACGGTACTTCCCTTTTTTTCTTAGAATAAAAACTATTTTTTACTTATTTGATCATATATTATAATAAAATAGTATAATAAAAACTATTGTTGCTTCTTGCCAACCTCCTATTTAAACATCAATACATACATACAACAAATATAAATAATTAGAAGTTCAAAAGTGAAAAGAGGATGGGAAGTTGGATAATACGCCGAAAATCTTGATTGTTTACGTATATATAAGTCTCGCCCATTCAATTATAATAATACCGTGAATTAGGAACCGTTCAGATATAATAGAATATACAAAATTACGAAGTATGTCAGCGCAATAAAATAATAAACGTAGTTTATTTATTAAGAAAAATATGTGTCAGATCCTAGTCATGTATTACGTACATAACATAAAACATGTATATTAACTAATAACAGAAGGAATCCGCAATTCACATTGTTGAGCTCCTTTGTTTATTTACTGATTGACATAAGAAAAGCATTCACATTTAATCTAATGCGTATAATTTATCTCTGTAAAATATTAATTAAATCATTAGAAAAAGCGATTTACTGAATAATAATTTTTCAAGTATTATGGGCGTTTAGAGCATGTTAAAAATAAGATTAAGAAATGTGGTTAGTAATTGTCTTTACCAATTCAAGCAACTTACGGTAGATAATATGTGGTCATATAAATTTTGGGCCCTGTCATTATTAAATATTTAGGTAATGTTGGATCATGTTGTGTAGTACGTCAGCTTGCTTTTTGAAACCAAAATTAACATTTAACAGGCTTCAAAAGGTATGATTAAAATAAATGAAAAGGAAAAGTGATTAATAATTAAATTATTTTTCACTGTCTCAGCCCAAAAGAAAGAGCACTTTTATGTAGTAGGCTAAATACTTGGTCACGACTCACTGAGTGTGCAAGTTGGTGGCACGGTGACCTCTTCGTGTATTTCATGGGACACTTTGTCTTTTTATAATGATACAATCAGGAAAAAATATTGATTAGAAAAACTAAATCATAAAAGTTTAACCTAAAAACCTGATAAAATTTAACATGTGAATTATAACCTAGTATAATTTGAAAAAAAACTCAAATAAAAACCTCAATATATTTTAACGAATCGAATAAAAAATCATATAAACTAGTATTATTACATCATAACTAGAAAACAAAACACAATTATTTTATCACTTGGCTTAATGGTTTGTACCCCAAATATTGAAAAATTGCCATGAACGTTTTCAACTATAATGGATCTCAATTAGTAGATTCACAGATTGGGTACAATTACATATGGGATCAGGATGGGACAAAATCAATTAGACGGCCCGGGGTTATATCTTCTGTTTGTTGTCTTTCATACATTATGGGCCTAAACTTATAGAAGAGTTTAGATAGATATGTAGATTTACAATTTATTTAAAGCCCATTATTAATAGTTATAATCCGAAATGCTGAGCCATATAACACTAACCTATTCAGGTAAAATGATTGCTGATTGCAAATAGCACTATCAAATTCTAATTTCTTTACGATTTATTTGATTACCAAAACTTTTCATTTCTCTGTAACCTTCTTTTAGTTTATAAGAAATTTGAAAATAATTATATAAATTTATTAATGAGCTCTCTTTACTTGTCAAAAGAAAGCAACAAGATAGAAAGAAACCATAAAAGTATGTGTGTTTGTATTCTAAAACTATTATAAGAAAATAAACATTCAGAGGTATTTATTTAAATAAAAAGGGAATATAGAAAGTAATAATGTGAGGAAATCAGACAAGGTGTAATAAATAATATTTGGTGAAGCCTCTTGTTGTTGTTTGTTACGAAATGGGAATTGCTTTCTTGTCTTCTTCATCTACATATTCCAATCAATTATACAACACCACAAACATATATATGTTCGATAAAAGAAGAAAAACAAACATATATATGATTCTAAATTACTTACATCTTTTTGTTAGCGATTATAATTTGATGGCAATGTTTGTATATTTACATTGATGAATGAGTTAGATGATATGAGAATAATAGTTTGTTTTAACAATTAAATGAGTACTATCATTATAGAATTTGAGGTAGGCTGCTGACTCTAACGCATGAACTAGAGTTCACACGAGTTTCAAGATTTCTTTTATTAATTCGGATAAGCCAGGATGAGATTATTTGTTTATGTTATTCATCTCATACATAGTGGATCAAACATGACATTTTTTACTGATAACATTAATAGTTAATATAATTGCAAACAGTACACAACGAAGGTGAGTCTCGAGAGTTAGCCGGCCGATGATAGGTTGTTTTGCTGATTTATGTACGTGAAAAAAATACTATCGTATTAGTAATCATGGAGTTACTATTCTTTAGTCTCTACTATGATGTAAAACAAATATTACTTATCAAGTAGTTAAAATAAAAATAATTATTCATAGACTTTATTTTCTCTCGTTAAAACCATGATGCTTCCCACCTAATAACACTTGTTTGTTGTTACACTCCATAAAAAAAAATCGAAAAAGATGAATTCTTTTACTTATCCAAGCTGCACCCAAGTTATAATAAATCGGACACAAGTAAACAGAAATATTTGGTCAAACTTTTGACCGTCTTGGAATCGTAAAAAACTTGGCAGTCAAAGGTTCCACTTAGATGGGCACTAAGCCCCAAGGAAATGCAACACATGGCACAGACTATATGGGCACAGTAATTATTTATTTACTACTTACGGAAACTTATCTACATGATTACATCATTATTTATTTTTAAAATTTGTTCCATATCATATGGTTTATTTAATGATTTTTGGATTGTTACTAGTTAGGAAGAGGTGGAGCGTCTTCTTCTTCATTCTTCGTTTCTGAGGCAATCCAGCCTTTTCGCACGTGACCGACGCTCTCTCCACTGTAGTTATTGTCACGTGCGCCATCATTCCACCATCAGTTTTATATCATATCTATACAATATTTGATACTGTCTGTATATATGTCATTTTAGTCCATAGAGATTAGAGAGTCTCGGGACCTTCTTGTGGAAATAGAGGGACCGAGTTTCTTTGTTTTTCGCTATAATATAAAAAGACTATTCTACCTCGAATGGGATAATAAATAATATTAAAAATAATGTGTGTAACGTGTTAGGTATCCTAGATTCTTTAGTGCATTAATAATGTGATCAAATTATATTTGGTTACGAACTCTGTTTTTTTTATTTTCTTTTATCTCACTATATTCAAACAGAAACCCCCATTTTATTTTCTTGCATTTGGTAATAACTAATACTACATTTTACTCCACATAATAACTTTTAATAAATGTGTTAAATTGACCGCAAAAGTCTTTTCTTCTCAGTAAGGAGAGACAACCATAAAATCAGCACGGGAAAAACAAAAATAACTCTTTTCCACCGAAATTTCTCCAAATAGATTGGCATAACAACCCAAGATACTCAATAATTGATTAAAAATTTCATCAGCATTTTTACTAATTCCGGTGGGGATCAAAGAGCTTTTATAAATACATTATGTAATAGTTGTGTTGTAGATATTAATAGAAATAAATACATGTACATATAATATATCTACACATAGAAATGCACGATAATCAAAGAAATGCGATAACAATATGTAATGTGAGAATATTACTTGTATCTAGGGGGAGATCGAACAAATGCTGATATTTCTTCACTAACATACACATAGAAGTTGCAGATTTTGGATCTTGCGTCTTCTTGGTTTTATACACTTTTCTTACAACTCGTCTTATATAAATATTGAATGAGGAGATTTGTTTATCCTATATATTATTGAACGACTCGGCTCCAAAGCCATATGTCTAAAATCAAATACTCATACTATATACGATTTTTATAAAAATAATAACGAGAAAGAAAAACCATAAATATATAAAGATGGGAGCCTCATTTGCGGATGGATAAACAAATATTTATTTGGTTTAAAATTTATCCACGACTACATCACATTACAAGTTTATTAAAGTGTTTTCTTTTCTTACATCGATATATAATATAGTATAACTCCACTTGATTCAATTGGATAACCAGAAACGTATGTGTCCATTATGCTGTATACAAATTATGAAAATTGCAAACTATTATTACAATTGTGATAATATTTACATTTATTTTTATTTAAAACATACTATACTTTCTTCTTGTACGCATCAAAACTCACAAAAGGGTACCAAAATCTCAAAAACACATTGGTAAGTTTTTTTCTCTCCGCGGGTGGGACCTACCTTCTTCCAATAAATATACTCATACGGTATATGTCTGTTTCTACCTACGATCTGTATGTACCTAAAATACGTACATCTACTCATCTTAACTACGTATAAATATTCATAGCCATAGTTTCGTGTATCGTCACATCTACAAGTCACACTACTATACTAGCTCACCAAGAACGAAGGAAGTCACAACTCATCAATTATTTGATTTCCATGTACAAAAAGTTTTGCAAAGAAGAAAAAAAAATGAATCTTAAGAAAATGTCAAAATGACATAACGGAAATAATAACGTGGAGCTAATTTGAATTTCAAAATTTGAAACGTTGAGAGGAATTATGGGTGGGAATGGTATGGTGTGTTTTCCCCACCAATTCATATAAAACATTATTGTTAATCACTTTCGGTTTCTAAAACAAATTTTTAGATCTTTTGAACTTTATTTTCTTCCAATCTAAATTGTTATATCATTTAAAAAAAATGGAAACTATGAAAACTAATCCTCTGCTTGCTTTATACAAACATATATATTCCTCTGTTTTCTAGTTTCTAATATCTATTAAAATAAAGTACATATTAATTCAAACCTCTTAAAATAGTTTTCCACTTTTTATATAACTAGAAGAGTTACTACCACAAAAGCAACGAGGGAGTACGTGGAATACACTACTGATAAACGTTAATTAGAATGTGTTTAATTGGAATGGGAAGTAACTTTGTATACAAAAAATTTCAATGGGATAATTATTCTTCGTTTAATTAATGATTGATCGAAATTCAATGGATCTTATAGATTATCTCAGTGACAGAAACGAATTCCATATATACAGCAACAACTAACTATATTTTGGATAATGCATTAAGTCAGATGCTCAAGCTCTATGCTAAGCACTTTGCCAATTCGGTATAAAATGCGAGCAGAGCCATTAAATGATATCACACGAGAATGTCATTTTTAACAGCATCGTATGACTTTAACCATATAACACATAATTCTAAAAATTACATAAATACAGATTATTATTTAGTTAACAGATATTCTAAGATAAAAGTAATGTTATTAAAAAAAAACACCCATAATTGACTAGCATCAAAAAGTCTTCAAGCACAAGTAATCCTGATGGAAATTAGAAAAAAATAAACAAGTAATCATTCATAGAAAAATATGTGTCGACCTCCACACAAAAAAAAAGTGATTATATATCTATATGTGTGCTAATTACACGTTAATGAAGAAAAATAAAACGCAATTTAAGTGATAATAATAATTTAATTTAAATGTAACCGCTAAATAACGCCCCCTCTCTCTCCCCCACTTATTTTTGGCGGCACCAGACGCGGGAGACTCTCTCTCTCCTCTCTCCCACTCTCTCTCTCTCTCTTTCTTTGTTTTTTCGCTAGATTTCATCACTTCTTTAAAAAAAAAAATTTCCAATCCGAGTATGGAGAAAAATCAAATACGAAGATTTAGCTGCTAAATTCACTGCGATAACAAAGTCAATAAACCCATCACCCATCTTCTCTCCTTTCCATTTTTATACCTTCCTTTGATGTGTACGGACACACCGAATAAGGTTTCTTCTATCTCCGCCGCCGCCTCCTCCTCCGTCGTCTTCTTTAAATGGGTGAGCCCAGTGGTGCCAGAGACAGTCTCGCTCTCTCCAATCTCCTTCTCTGCCACGAATCCGAGTCCTCTCTAAACGAAGAGGAACACGATGTGACGAATCCCAGGAGATCTGAGGAGCCTCACTGTTTCGCCACGATCGGAGACGACGATGAAGATTATGTGGCGGAGCTAGTTCGCAAAGAGAATCGGCGATTCGAAGCCGAACCCACGAAAACGACGTCGTCTTTTGACAGATTGATTGCAATCGATTGGATTCTCACTGTCCGTAACACACACACACACACCCAAACAAAATAAAAAAAAAGTTTCGATTTTCTCAGTAACGTTTCTTCTTCTTCTTCCTTCTCTAATCTGTTCTTTGCGATTGGTTTGATTTGATTTTTTCAGACGAGAACGAGATTCGGATTCCAACATCAAACAGCATACATTGCGATTTCATACTTCGATCTGTTTCTCGAGAGAAGATTCATCGGTGTAAGTTTGATCTGGTTTCCCAATTTTCCAAAAATCATCTCTTTCAATTCCCCAATCTGACTGAAAGAAATCTTCTTTTTTTTTAGTTGCAGAGAGACGAATCATGGGCGGTTCGATTGTTATCAGTAGCTTGTTTATCACTAGCAGCGAAAATGGAGGAACGAATTGTTCCTGGATTATCACAATACCCACAAGATCAAGACTTCGTTTTTAAACCCGATGTGATTCGTAAAACTGAATTGATGATCTTATCGACATTGGATTGGAAACTGAACTTAATCACTCCTTTTCATTACTTGAACTACTTCGTTGCTAAAATCTCTCGAGAACAAGACCAATCTGTTTCTAAAGAGTTGGTCTTGTTAAGATCATCTGAATCTCTTCTCGTTCTAACCAAAGGTAATAAAGAAAGATCGGTCTTATTATCTAAAGCTATTACACAATGTTTGATGATAACATTCATGACATTTTCTTCCTTTTTTTTTTGATTAGAGATAAGCTTTACGGATTATCGACAGTTCGTTGTTGCTGCTGCTACGATAATGTTGGCTTCTTCTACTTCATCGGATATTAGATTGACGAGAGAAGAAATGGCGAACAAGTTTGGATCAATCTCGTGGTGGACTTCTAATGAGAATGTATGATAAATCTTTTCGTTTTTTTTAATGGATTTGATTCCGATTGTTTGATCTAGAGATCATAGTTTTAGGAATGTTGGTTTTGCTATTTGGTTGCAGGACAATGTATATTCTTGTTATCAGAGAATGCAAGAGATTGAGGAGAGGAAACATATGACACCACCGGAAGTAGCGGTTTCCGACGATATACAACCGGCGATAGGTTCAGGAAGTGGTGCTAAACGCCGACTGTCTTTTGATGATTCTGATCAAACTTCTCCTGCCAAGAGAATGCGTAGGCTCTGAAGAGGGTTTCTTTCTTCTTGGAGTTTTGGTTATAAATTATATTGATTTGGTAATTTTTTTTGGCAACATATTGATTTGGTTTCTATATTCAATCATTTATTATAGAGAAAAATGGTCTGAATACAATGGTTACTTCATCTTTTTGAAGTAACTTATATAGAGAGGTTCATAATATGGAGGTCTTTGATGATTCATTTTTGTGGTGAAATTTGACTATCAAAACAGTATGGGGCTTTAATGAGAGAAGCAAGGAAATATGAGGACTGAATGTAAATAAATAAGAGAATCAGAAAGAGTGAATAGTTTCCAGCCAATATAGTTGCAGTGCCAGTGATTTGGTTTCATCGGTCTTTTTTTTTTTTCATGTGATTTTTACAAATTTTTTGTCATGGAAATTATCTGTTTCTTGCATGAAAGTCTGTCATTTTTCATCCATAAACTTTCAAAAGGGAACATTCATAGCAAATGCTAAATGAATAAACTCTTTTTAAGGTGAAAGAAAATTAATTTATATGTTTGATATGTAGTTATTTCGTTCATCTTTGATAATTATTAACAGTTTGGTCATCATCACTTATCTCCAAACTGAATCCATCTGTATGCTACATATATTTCGATTTGTATCTCAACAAACATTAAATCCTAACATTTTTTTTTTACTTATCTTACATAAAATACTAAAAAGAAGAAACTCCAATAATACTTTTATGATCAAATGACAACCAGTCGATAACAATATTATTGGTTATTTTCCAAAAAACATTTTTTAGCATTTTAGAGGCCAATTATTTGCAATGGAGGCACTTTGGATCAATAATGGTTGGATCTTAAGATGAAATGAAACTTTAATCTACACATAATATATATTTTTTAACTGCTCTTGACTTGATCCGATTGTAGTCTCTACTCTACACTATGCGCAAGTAAAAGGATATCATACATAAAAATATTGTTTTATAGAAAAACCAATGTAAAATTTTCAATTTATTGCAGTTGGAAAAAAAAAGAAAAAAAATATATAATGTAAAAGACCAAAGAAAGAATCCAACGACTTTGTCGAAGTGAGAAACAACTGTCTCATACAAGTAGAGATCCAAAGTTTAGTTTCACTAATTAAAGCTTTGATTCCAACATGATTAGAAATGAATTAAAAAGCATTCAAGTACTTATATATATATAAAATCTTTAAAATTAAGAAGAAAAAAGTACTGACAGTAGTAAGTAGATAATTTGTGTGTGAGGTTTAATGCCAATGTTGTTGTTGCTAAGAGATCTGCAACAAATCAAGAAGCATAAAGAGTCGAGCTTTTTTCACCAAGAACTAGTTAATGCTTCTAAAATTTTATTTTATTTGCTCTCTTTCATTGAATATTTTGTAGGTCCCAAATTGCTATTTTCTCTTCTTATTATTATTATTATTATTATTATTGGGTTAAGCCATTCTATTTCTGTTGGATTTTTGTTGACATGTGAGATTCACGGGTAACACAATTTAGTTACAGATGTGTCACATTGGTTAGGAGATGGATGATATATCGTAAAATTCAAAGATCACAAAATAATATAATAGTTGAGATAATCCTATCATCAGTGTAGATACTAGTCATTTATTCTATGAAATTTTTTAGAAAATCAATTAGTGTATTTTCACACAAACACAAATCCAAATCCAAAGAATTTAAGACAAATGACTATAGAATATTCTTTTTTTTCTTCTCTATATCATCGTTTACTTCATTTATACGAAAATATTGATTACATCAAAATGATTTTTAGAAAAAAGAACAGTATCTCTTATTTATTACAGTTTTGATATTGACAGGCTTTTAAATGGTTTATATGGGAATCAGTTTTGAACGATGAGATAATGTCAGAAGAAGAGAGGCTCCACATGATGACTTCATTGAGAGATTTTCTCAGTAACAAATTACAGTCTGTCTAGCTAACATTTCTGTACCCAAAAAAAAAAGAAAAATCGTTTTTCATATTTTTAGGTTTTTGCTTACTCTGTTTTTCTTCCAATGTCCTTTTCTGTATATTTGCACGTCTCATTCACTAGAAACCCAAGATTAGATTCCAGATAGAAACAAAGAAGAGTCATTTCAAAGAAACAGAGAGTTTTACAAAAATGGTGGAATCAGAAATCAGATGTTTGTCCTTAATATAGCCCCTACCAAACTTAAAAGAGTCAACAATGAAAAACAGAGTAATTGCAAAAGGCAAAAACTTTCTGTTCTAAAAGTTTCCAAGAAACTGTTCTAAGAAGATAAGAAAGAGCTCTTTTTTTTTTGAATGGATCGATCAAACCGGGATCGTCTTCAATCCTGCAGCGATTGGCATACCCAAGAAACCAATGATGATACTGAAGATCCATTGGACCAATGTGAGTGGTGTTGTGCTAGCAAATGTTCCCAAGAACTCAATGATTATGATCTGAAAGAAGACCGTTGCACCAATCACAACCACAAAGACGTAGTTGTCTAGTATTCCCTTGAAAACATCGATCTCTTCCATCTCTCGCGAGCTTATCTCATTGAATACCTGAAAATTTTTAGACCAAAGAGGTGTATGTCAAGATTCAATCTAGCTGGAGGAGGATAGTTATTCTTGTGTTTGTTTTCTTTACCTGACAGAAGACGAAGCAGTTGAAGATAAGCGTGTTTAGCATGAGAGTTGAGTCAGGACCGTCGAGACCAAACATGGACTTCCCTTTAGCTTGGAGAAACCAGATGACGATAAATTGGTATACAGCTTGTCCTAAGATGTTCCTCCACATCGCGTTAGTGATGAAGTTCCCTCTCCTTCCAACGGGTAAACGCTTCATCAGCTCGTCGTTCGGTGGCTCTGTAGCTAAAGCAAGAGCTCCAAGTGTGTCCATGATCATGTTCACCCATAGCAGTTGAACCGCAGTCAAAGGAGCACTCCCTGAAGATGATTTATTATCAAGAAATCAGAAACCCGAAATGATGATATGTTCAATGGATTGAATCTGTATTCTTCGATTCACTCACCGGTTAAGCAAGCCGAAGAGAAGTTAACAATCAGAGCAACGACATTAACCGTAAGCTGAAACTGAACGAACTTCTGGATGTTTATGTAAACAGAGCGTCCCCATTTAGCAACTGTGACGATCGTGCTGAAGTTATCGTCGAGAATGATGACATCAGCGCTCTCCTTCGCTACCTAAAAAGGTTATAAAGTAAAGAACTTTTAAGATTCATTTAGCTCTCACCAAATGAGACATTTCGCGAATTCTTATAATACTCACTTCAGTTCCAGCAATTCCCATTGCTAGTCCAATATCAGCTTCATGAAGCGCAGGTGCATCGTTTGTTCCATCTCCAGTCACAGCAACAACTTCATCAAACGTTGTCCTTAACTGTTTCACAAGTGTATGCTTATCCATTGGTGAAGAACGAGCCATCACCTGTATTTACATGATACGTAAAAGGTTCTGTTAATATGTCTCAGAAAACTAAACAAAAAAAAAAAAAGACAAAACCAAGAAATAGTAAGTGTACCTGAATCTTTGGAATCAGTTCAAGTAACTCTTCTTGGCTCTTCTCTCTGAAGACAGGACCTTCGATGGCTATACCGTCATCGGTTAAAATCCCACATTCTCTGGCAATTGCCTTCGCTGTGTTGATGTTATCTCCTGTAACCATTCTCACGGTGATTCCAGCACGGCGACAGAGCTGAACGGACTCTTTGACTCCAGGACGAACAGGATCTTTGATTCCAACAATCCCTACGCAAGTAAATCCAGAAGAAGGGATTGCATCGTCCGGCGAAAACCCGTTCTCAATATCCATATAAGCAAGGCAGAGAGTGCGAAGAGCTTCATTAGCAAACTCGTTGATCGTAACATTCAGATACTTGGTTGATTCTTCATCAAGCGGAACAACTTCACCGCTCGAGTTCACAACTTTATCACAAGCAGCCAGAACAATCTCTGAAGCTCCTTTCGTGTGAGCACGAAGGCTTCCTCCTTCGGGAAGCTCGATCACAACTCCCATTCGCTTCTTTGTGGAGTTAAAAGGCTCGACTTTGATCACTTTGTAAGACTTCCTCTCTTCTTGGAACTTACCACCAAGAGACAATCCAAGCTCCAATATAGCAGTCTCTGTTGGTGTCCCCAAGATCTCTGTCTTCCCATGTTTGTTCACAACGACTTCTCCTCCAGTGTTATTGAAAATCGACTGGATCAACAGTTTCAGAGCAGATTCAGGGATCTCTGACTGCAAGCTAGAGCCTTTGCTTGCTACATCCTGCACATTCATGCAGATGCAAGACTTGACCACTGTCATGTGATTGGTCGTGAGTGTACCGGTCTTGTCGCTGCAAATCGTCGTTGCGGATCCCATAGTCTCACAAGCCGCTAAATGCCTGACGAGAGCCTTGTCGTTCATCATCTTCTTCATCGCAAACGCAAGACTAAGAGTCACAGCTAAAGGCAATCCCTCGGGAACAGCAACGACAACGATTGTCACAGCGATTGCAAAGTACTCCAAGAGCTCCAACGCTTCATCACCAGACCAAACCCAGTGAGATCCCAATGAAAGCTTCCTCATAAACATCCCTTGCACCAAAACAGCGAAGGTAACCACAGCAAAGAAAAGACCGATTTTGCCAATGATGGTAGCAACTCCATTGAGTTTCACCTGCAATGGAGTCTCGTCGTCTCCTCCTTCTGTCAAAGTCGCCATTAGCTTTCCCCACTGAGTCCTCATCCCAACTGTTGTAATCAACATCTTGCAAGACCCATCCTGCACTTTGGTTCCTGACAAAAGGAAAGGATTCTGCGCATTCACCATCACAGGCTCACTCTCACCAGTCAAGCTCGATTCATCAATCACCACAGAGAATCCAGAGAGGAAAAGACCATCAGCAGGAACCTGATCTCCAATCGCCAGATGAACAATGTCACCAGGAAGCAAGTCGTAGATAGACATCTTCTGTCTAAACCCGTTCCTCGTCACCTGAACAGTGATCTTCTTCTTCTCCTTATCCAAATCACGGAACTGCAAAGACTGGCGATAATCGCTAGTCGCTGTGACGAACACAACCAAGAGGATACTAGCCACAATGCCAAGACCGTCATGTGAGCCTTTAGGCCATCCTTCAGTAGCTATTCCAACGATCAATGACACGAACGCGCAAACACCAAGAATCATAAGGGTCATGTCTTGGAGAGCTTCCCAGACAAAGACCCAGAAACTGCGCAGCTCGCTCTCTGCAAACTTGTTGATTCCGAAAAGTTCTTGCCTTTGGGATAACTGAGCAGCGTCCGTTGAGAGACCATCGGTCGGAGAAGCCTTGAGCTTACCTGCAAGCCCATCGACTCCACCATGGAACTTCAGCTTCTTAACGTCGTGGCTTTCCACGATTGATCCTAATTCGTCAGCGCAAATCTCAAAGCCTGCAGCTTTCACGTCTTCAGGGACTGTGTAGTCACTTGGAGCCACACCTACAATGCCATTACAACAGATTTGAATAAACTTATAAAGAAACAAACAAAATCCAAACTTTGACACAAATTATAAAGAAAGCTGTCACTACAAAAAAAAAAAAAAGTAAATATTATTACAAAATAATTGTTTGTCACAATATTGTGATAATTTACATACGAAACCCTGACAAAAATATTTAGTTTTAAAAGCATTACAATTTCATCATAATATTTTGACTAAATTGAAAGTGACAAATTTACGTCATTAATCATGGCGCAATTGTTAAAAAATATACAATCACAAATATTATTACATATTTACAATCAAATCTAGTAATTAAATTATGCGATTGTTTTGACTAAACTTAGATCAGTCAGAGTTACAAATATTTTTTAAGTATATTGTCATAATTAGTCATTGTTTTACTAACTTTTTCATTTGATCGACATAATCATTACAACTTTATGACAAAATTAAAATTATATATAAATTAAAAATTAAATGAGAGAATTATTTCAACTCTAAAATTAAAATAACCTAAATATATATAATAACCACACAAGGTAAAAAATAAGTTGAATCACTGATTTCTTTGAAAAGTTACCTTTTAAAATGAATCACACTTCTTTACAATTTATTAAGGCTCACATATTTGATAGAAAATTTATCAATATTCTCCGAATTTGTTACTTAAAAAAAAAGGACGAGAAGAATCATTTTTATTCAATTTATTATTATTCTGTTCATTCAACTTATTTCTTTTATTTGCATCTTTAATATCATATATTTTTGTATGAATATTAGTATTTAAAAAAAAAAATATGGAAATTGAGTTTATTGTATATATTTCTTTTGATATTCATATTTATTTCACAATGATAATCACAAAAGTTAAACTGAAAATTAAATTTTGAAATCATAAGTATTCGCAAAACCATATTGCGAATTCAATTTCCTAGGATGTAGGTATTTCTCTCGCCGCCTTATCTCTATCTCTCATCGTCGTCATCTCAATATTTAGCTCTCTCCAAGGTAATTTCTAATGTTTCGCTTGTATATCGTGTGGATTTCACAATTTCTGTTTCCTATGCTATTGAGGTTTAGTTTCTGATTGCAACTTTGGCCACCTGAATTAGTCCCTTTCATTTCTCTTTCACTAGATTGCTTCTTGGTTTACAAAAATCCTGTTGCTAAATTTCTTGTTCATTGTTTCACTGTTTCCATTTTAATTTTGTAGAAACGGAAGCTAATATATAGATGTGTTCCACTCACCAGAGATAAATTGGAAGGCGGCTTTAGACACGAGAACTGCGACCCTTAATTTCTCCTGTATATAGAAAGTTTACAAGATCTTCAATCACTAGCTAACCTTCTATAATAATAGGCTAAAAGCTCGGAAAATCATTTTCAATTTATCATTTGACAGCAAATTTGGCCGAATCTGCAGCAAGAAAGTGACAAAAAAGAGCCTAGATTTCGAAGAACCAAACTCAAAAAAGGAGCCAACGAAGAAGGAGACAAAACCTGATTCGTGCGGCGCATCGCGGCGGCTTCATAGCGTTTGGAGAGATTAGCGGTGAAGCGAAAACGACGTTTAGGGTTCTTGACGACGCCGCAGAGATTCCGCCATTTCTCGAGGGCTTCCTCAGACGAATGCTTCGCCTTCACATCGAAATTCTCGTTCAAGTAACTCTCCATATTCTTCCTCCCTCTACAACTTTCTCCTTCTTTCTTCCTCCAGCTTCAATGGCTTCGGTTTTTTTTTTTTCTTTTTGTTTGTCTTTGGGCTCTGTTTCAATTTTGTCTGCTTATTTGGTGGGAGAACAAAGCACAAAAACTTGTGGGTGAAGAAGAAAAATCGGAAGCTTTAAATGGAGAAGGGAAAGTTTTTTAAGATCTGAGCTTTTTGTGCTATTGATTGACCGAGTCGTTGAGTTTAATTGTAACACATTGGGTGAAGCTGAGTTGACTCGTTTTAATTCGTGTGTCCAACAAAGTATATGACTATCATGTAATAAAAACATTCCATTATTTTAGGAACAAAAAAACAATTCGATTATTAAAAAACAACATGCACTACGCATTAATAACGAACGTTAAAACATTCATGCAGGGCATGAAAAGTACACGACGCGTGATGTTATTATTGTTTTTCGGACATGTTGAGCTTGTCATTAATGATTGACGGATTTATTTTTCTTCCGAATTTGTAAATGAAGAAGGTGAGCAAATTTTATAAAACCAAGTGGCAATTTAATGGATGAAAGATAGAAAAAAAATTACACCGATTTTGGAAGACCAATTACACAGATTTTATGGAAGATCAATTGATTGTATAATATTATAACTTGTATAAATAATATATTAAATAATTAACAAGATTTTATATAAACCTTTGATTGTATCATGTTTCGCAATATTTCCTATTAAGATCACTTTTGTAGGTTTTTTGAAATTTTTTGGTTGGCTGCTAGTGCTAACGTTGATAATTGATATTACATTGACCAACTGAATGACAATGATACGACCAAAAAAAAAACTGAATGACAATGTTGGACAAAGGTGGTGGGTGAAATTTACAATAATGAGAAGTGAGAGGGCGTTTATATAAAGAATAAGAAACTGGAGGACCGTTGACCAAGACAATTGCAAAAACCCGCCACTCACGTCACGTTAGACCAATCCCGTTGGTTCTTTTGGACCAAAAACATTTGATTTCTTTGATGAATAGTTGTAGTAGTAATAAGTTTACTTTGAAACCCTCGAAGATTCCAATTTTTAAAAATTTGGTAATTTGGAGGATTCAGTCTATTTAAGGGCCTTTATTGGGTTTTAAAGGCCCTTTTTAAATGGAAGGTATTTTACGAGCTTTAAGAAGGCTTTCAATGACGATTTCACCTTCACCATCTCCATTTGTGAACTTCAAATTATATACATCTTTGGTTGATTATCTTAATGAAGAAGTTCTATTACTGACTCAAATCCATGTTATAAGAACCCTAAAGATTCCAGCAATTCATTAACACTAAAAAAAAACAAATTTCTCAGCTTGGAGAACACTAGAACAAAATAGTCCAATTCAGATACCAAATTTCAAAAATTTAAACAAAAGTTTGATAAAACAAAATCTCTGCTTTTAATCAACATTCTGCATAATATCTTGAGCTGTAAACTTCGTCCCTTTCTCCTTATCCGAAACTTCGCGGCCCTTCGCTTTCCTCTCAAGCAGCGATTTGCGATCTTTGTCGAGTTTCAGTTTCGTGATCACAACCTTCGACGCATTCACACCGACATTCAACGTCGTTCCGTTTACTTTCTCCCTCGTGATTCTCTCCACGTGAATCACCCATTTCCGGCGGTAAACTTGCACGATCTTACCTTCTCGTCCTTTGAACGATCCGCGAACCACCTGTACCTCGTCGTCTTTTCTCACCGGGATCGATCGGACGTTGTACTTTTGCCGGAGGTCGGCGGAGAGCTGTGCGCTCATGATCACTCGCCTCTCACTCGACGGCGCCGTGAAATGCGCCTTCCGGTTCTTCCGCCGCGACGATGTCACTCGTGGATTGAACTTCATCTTCCTCCTCCGCCGACTGCTTCTTCTCTTTCTCTCTGACTCTGTTTAAAATCAAAATTAGGGTTTTTGTGCGAAAATGATTTTCGTTGTATATATGGGAGCGGATTTTGAATGCGACGGTGTCGTTTGAGGTTATCGCGATCTTCCTTTCACGGCCTAACTAATTATTGGGCTTTGAGGTCTAACAACTTATGGGCTTTATCATATATCTGCTTCTTCAATTTGATGAAAGAAACGAAATCCATTAGCTAAACCATACAAACATACTGTACCATTTTATTCATGTAACACAATCATTTCTATTTCATGTTGAAGGAGCTTGTTCTATACTGAGTAGTGTATTAGTTAGCCGAAAGGAAAAACATTTGTGTTTTTTTTTTGGAAATAGGCCTAGACATCATATTGTACCAGTTAAAAATCCTATAAATTTGGGTAAATTTTATTAAACTTAGATTTTTTTTTAGTGAGCTCTTCCTATACTTTTCTGTTTATTGTATAAGGTCGTGTAACGTGACAACCATCTTATCATTTATCAACCTCAATGTTAGTTACAAAATCGTACAATTTTAGAAAAACTTTACATGGTGTCAATTATGTATATTAGTGGGAATAGTCATGTCAAAATTATTATTTTGAGTTAGGTTGACTGAGTTGGTTTTAATAATGTGTGATCTTTTCTACATAATTTGTTCTATATTTGAAAATTTATATTTGGTACGAAATTGTTTACCCGAAAGTCCTTTTTTACTTTTATGTGATTGATGGGAGACCTACAGGTTTTTTTTTTTTTTTGTTTGTCTATGGCTAGTTGGACGATCACCAAATAGTTAAACAAATATCCGTCTCCTTGTACCAAAAAAAGCATGAATTAACGATGAGTATGGAGCTAAACCATCCTAAAATCATATATTTGCATTAGACTTGATTAAAAGTTTTGTCCAAGTATCTTCGCATATGTGCATATAACAAACAAATTAGCAGTGCGTAAATATGGTTTATATGTTGACAGACACACAATTTTGTCCATGTACGTAATTTTGCCATGTCGGTTGGTGTCATGGTCTAAGCTCGCAAAAGATCGCATAACCGAAACTATTATAATATATGAAATAAACCGTATCTTCGGAATATGAAGACGGGACATTTCCTAGAATGCAAGAACAGATTTCGAGGAATGATATAGGAAACTGAAATGCAAAACTCGATTGGTTTCGAAGAAAGGGACAAAGAAGCAGAGCGTGGGGTTCCTTCTAATAATTGTAGAAGAAACTCAAGCGAACTTGATCTACCAGAGATGGCGATGACTCATGTGATAGGTATCTCTACTACATTGTGTGTAGCCTAGGCAATAATCTATTCTTGTACAACATTTATAGTATATTCGATCGCTTTTATTCATACATTGGTCTGGAGTTTTGACATGACGACATAGCATGTATCTATATAAGTCAGAAATTTTTGGTCACGTAAAATATATTGGATGGTTATGTATATAGGGAATAACATCATCATTACGAGATTCTAAGGTTTTTTACTAATTAGTCACATACTAACACTTTATTTGTTAGATTACTTATCCTTGAAATGAAAGAGAAAAAGAGCCTCGTTTCGTAGATAAACATTTCAACTAAAATGTGTCCGTCCAATAATTTTTCTTTTCGATTCCGTTAAGTTTTCAGAAGATTATGAGTCCTTCAATTTGTAGTGCAACGTGTCACTTAGAATATTCGCATCCAATTTCGATTCGAGACTTGGGATTTTAAACGAAATAATAGTACTCCTTCCGTTTCATATTATATAATATTTTGGGTTTTTTTATTTTGTTCCACAAAGATTGATTTTCTACATTATATTTAATATATTTCTGTTTCCAAGAAAATTTTTTGGGTAAAAAAATATAAAAAATTAGTATTAAATTAATAAACACACAAAAAGTATTTTAAAAAAATAAATAATCATTGTTTTCTTAATATTTGTGAAATATCTAAAACATCATACATTCTGAAACGGAGAGAGTATAACACAAAGGGCTTGAGCTCGGGGTAGACACTAGACAAGAATGCTTTGTATCGAGACAAACGAGAATATCATGATGAGCCTATGCATTAAGTGCCGTTGGTTAATTATGGGTTCGCATATATATAAACCAATAGACTTATGGATAAAATGAACCAAAAAAAATACTAACACAATATGTAAATAAGGGTGGATAGAGAATAATAAATCTTCAGGTGGGAAATTCAAAGAGAGGCCACAATGAAAGGTATATATAGACTCAATACAAAAATGGTATATGACCTAGTGGAGAGGTTTATAATTAAAACTAGAGTTGAGAAATTAAAAGAAGAAGAAAACAAAGAAGCATGCCCTAGATTTCTGAGATAATAATTACACCTTGCTGTTTATATAAGGGAATAGAATATGACACATGGGTTGGTTTCTTACGGGTTAATGTAAAAAAGATATGAATGAGAAAATCTAAAATAGTAAAGAAGGTATAAATGAAGAAGAAGAGAGAAAAGGGAAAAAATGGTGGCAGAGAATGGAGAGAGGTTAGGAGGCAAAGCAAATGTGGAGCTTTGATGATGTTGATGCACGCCGTCAGCTTTTCTTCACGCCTGCTCCCACTCACTCACACCTATAAACATTCTCTCTCTCTCTCTCTATTTTACAACTATATTTCACATGTCTCTATGTAAATGCTATACTTTATAACCATGTATTATTGTATATAAACCAAGATATCTTATAGGTATTAATACAAAATGTTCATGAAGCCCCCCAAAAGTATACAAAATGTTCAAACTTATTGTTTTGTAACTCTTAAGAAACTGCTATCTTTATACTTTGCACACCAAACAAAAAAAGAATCTGTTACACCTAGAATGTTTGATCGTATATGGATTTAGTATTAGTAGGAGTGTAGGATACTTTCTAACTCTTTTTGGTCTGCTGATTTAGGATGTATAAAGAGGTCTCTTTTATTTTACACCACTTAGGATGGTACTTGAACAACTTTGGTTTCATGTATTTGGCCTATATATAAACAAACACCGTCTTATATACGGCTTTTTGGGAAAAAATCGCCATGTAATACAACTGTATAACATGAAGGTCGTTTTCAATTTCTAGGTGTCCAAAATTACATAATCATATACACATGTATAAGCGTGATGAACGATCCACGTAAGTACAATATTGCATGAGAGAGAGAAATGTAGAAGAAGAAGAAATAAAAGGGAAGGTTACTTGGGTGGATCGATGTGAAAAAGATGAAAAAGCAAAACCCACTAAGCCATTACATGATATCGACCTTCTTATCTTTTTCTTCTTTATTGTAAAACTTTTTTTTCCCTTTTTTCTTTTGTCATTACTATTTTCTACTTAATGAAACTTCCAGGTGCAAACAATCTAACTAATCCATTCCCCTTTGAATACATCACTTATATAAGCTTCACTTAACCATTTGTCATTTGTGTCAAGGTCGAAGTGGTAAATCGTAGAAATTATATATTATTCTGTTTATTAATTTTACCATATTATATCACTGTCATTTATATTTTCTACGATTTCTCTCGCTTTACGCATTTTAATTACTAATAGGATTCTAAACATTTTTCCTTAGAAAAATAAAACTGCAAAATAGTAGCATCATTATGTCCATATTCTTTATTGACCATCCATGATCAGTTATATAGGGCTATAGTAAAAACAAAAAAACATTCTTGATTAGCCAAAAAGAGAAAAAGAGTAGTGTTTAAAAGCCGATCTCTCTTCTCTCTCTAATTATGTTTTCACTAAACCCAATTAGATTCAAACAATCACAAAAGATAAACATGGGAGAACAATTCGATGCGAAGAAAAATCATCTTTTCATGCTCCATTCTTTCTTTAAATTACGAATAAAAACTCGCAAATCAACCAAACCCATTCTTTCTACAACTCATCATCTTCATCAAAGATTCACCCACTCCCACCGAGAAAACAAAAGTAAAAAAAGATATATATATATTCACAACAACACATGATGCTGATGCAATATACACAACAAAGTATTAAATCTTAGATATTGTGGGTCTCCCTTCTCTTCTCTGTCCTCTACTCATTTTCTTATTCATATTAAAGAAAAAAAAAGATGGATACTCTCTTTAGACTAGTCAGTCTCCAACAACAACAACAATCCGATAGTATCATTACAAATCAATCTTCGTTAAGCAGAACCTCCACCACCACTACTGGCTCTCCACAAACTGTTTATCACTACAACCACAGCTTCCCACAAAACGACGTCGTCGAAGAATGCTTCAACTTTTTCATGGATGAAGAAGACCTTTCCTCTTCTTCCTCTCACCACAACCATCACCACAACAATCCCAATAGTTACTACTCTCCTTTCACTACTCCCACCCAATACCATCCCACCACGTCATCAACTCCTCCCTCCACCGCCGCAGCAGCTTCCGCCACCTTAGCCTCACCGTACTCCTCCTCCGGCCACCACAATGACCCTTCCGCCTTCTCCATCCCTCAGACTCCTCCTTCCTTCGACTTCTCAGCCAATGCCAAGTGGGCTGACTCCATCCTCCTCGAAGCCGCACGTGCCTTCTCCGACAAAGACACCGCACGTGCGCAACAAATCCTCTGGACGCTCAACGAGCTCTCTTCTCCGTACGGAGACACCGAGCAAAAAATCTCTTCTTACTTCCTCCAAGCTCTCTTCAACCGCATGACCGGTTCGGGCGAACGATGCTACCGGACCCTGGTAACCGCTGCAGCCACCGAGAAGACTTGCTCCTTCGAGTCAACGCGCAAGACCGTCCTCAAGTTCCAAGAAGTTAGCCCCTGGGCCACGTTTGGTCACGTGGCGGCAAACGGAGCGATCTTGGAAGCAGTAGACGGAGAGGCAAAGATCCATATCGTTGACATAAGCTCGACGTTTTGCACTCAATGGCCGACTCTTCTAGAAGCTTTAGCCACGAGATCAGACGACACGCCACACCTAAGGCTCACCACAGTGGTCGTGGCCAACAAGTTAGTCAACGATCAAACGGCGTCGCATCGGATGATGAAAGAGATCGGAAACCGAATGGAAAAATTCGCTAGGCTCATGGGAGTTCCTTTTAAATTCAACATTATCCATCACGTTGGAGATTTATCCGAGTTTGATCTCAACGAGCTCGATGTTAAATCAGACGAAGTCTTGGCTGTCAACTGCGTAGGTGCGATGCATGGGATCGCGCCACGTGGAAACCCTAGGGACGCTGTAATATCGAACTTCCGACGGTTAAGGCCGAGGATTGTCACCGTCGTGGAAGAAGAGGCTGATCTTGTCGGAGATGAAGAAGGCTTTGATGATGAGTTCTTGAGATCGTTTGGAGAGTGTTTGCGTTGGTTTAGGGTTTGTTTCGAGTCGTTGGAAGAGAGTTTTCCGAGGACGAGCAATGAGAGGCTGATGCTAGAGCGCGTGGCGGGACGTGCGATCGTTGATTTGGTGGCTTGTGAGCCGTCGGATTCGACGGAGCGGAGAGAGACGGCGAGTAGGTGGTCGAGGAGGATGAGGAGCGGTGGGTTTGGTGCGGTTGGGTTTAGTGATGAGGTGGCGGATGACGTCAGAGCTTTGTTGAGGAGGTATAAAGAAGGTGTTTGGACGATGGTGCAGTGCTCTGATGCCGCCGGAATATTCCTTTGTTGGAGAGATCAGCCGGTGGTTTGGGCTAGTGCGTGGCGGCCAACGTAAAAGGATTGTTTTTGTTTTGTTTTAATATATTCGCACGCGCGCTTTTTGCTTGAGATGGTTTTACACGTGTGGTGATGGGTTTTGAGATTGAAGAGTTAACGATATGGTGATGATGATGCGTTCATAATTTGGAATTTGCTTTTGGAATAGGACTAATTATAATTATGATCATTGAGGAGGATTGATTTTTTCTTTTTTGGTCTTTCGTTCTTCTATCTTTTGGAATTAAATTTGTGATTACTTTATAATGAAGTTGTTATTTTTTATACACTTGCCAAAAGCTATAGCATTCTTATTCTTTTTAACTATGTGAGCATTTGATATAAATTAGTCACTGTTACATTGGATGGTCGATTAACTGGAATTCACAATGGATGTAGGAAATGATAGATTATTACTAATCGAGTTATATATAACCACTCCATGTTTGAGTTGAGAGGTGGTTCACTAATTTCATTTCATCTTGATTCTTGTAAATATATATAGAATCTTAGGACAGCCACTCTGGTTGAGGAATCTAAAAAGGGGATTTCGATGGCAACCGGCTAAATACATTTTCATGCAATGCAAGTAATTTTACGTTTAGGCAACAGTACCACATTATTTTAAATGGTTAGAGTGTTATTTTTGAAAGAAGAAAAAAACTAGATTTTACGGTTCACATTCTGATGCGTGGTATCTATTGTAACAAAAAAAAAAGAATTCAGCGTTTTATTTACGACGACTTAATTACTCACAACATGGTACTTATTGATTTGTCGTTCTTGTGAAGTGTATACCATATAATTATTTAAGCTTTATAATAATGCATCTATCAACTTTTGCTTTATAAAAGAGATAAAGGGACCAGTCTTTTATTTGATTCACACATATATGAATGTATACATATATAATGTCTTCAATGGATTACACATGCATATACCTAAGAATGTTCATGGCCCCCCTTACCCATCATGTTTTTATTTAGAAAACAGCCCATAAAAAGTAAATAATTGAAATAAATAGTTAGTCCATTGATACCAACATTTACATATATAGCTTTTTGATTTTGAGAAAATATTAAAAAGATGAAAAAAAAGTAGTGGGAACTGCTTTTGAGATATGTGGCTGGTTTCACTACAACTCTCTCTCTCCCTGCATCTTTTGATGAAGCTTTTGCCTCCCCCATGTTAATATTGGTACGATCTTTTTAACTTCGCTTTTTAAGCTAATCCTTTTTTAAAAAAATCTAGCTTCTTTTGGTCTGTTTTCTTGTTTATAAAGTCATGCAAAAAGTAAATTAATACAATTAAAAATCTACTGGTTGGCCCATTTTTGCTTTAACTAGAATCAAAACTTTGTTGGGTCCCTTTTGTACCAAGACTTGACCATTACACACATCTAACTAGAAAAATGCCTAAATTCATAGGGAATATCTCATTTAATCCCAGGAACTAAAGGTTAATGATTTTTATTTTGGGTGATCAAGAGCAATGAGTTTTTGTATAATGTGTTTTTGGAAAAAAAAAATGATTTTATGGACATTTACAATCGCATTTTTTTTTTAAAAAAGTCGTATTGGTGGTTCTGGTCATCACATGATTATGACTAACTGTGCAAATTGCAATGCAGCATGTTCAAATAACAGTTAAATCAAATCATTAAAAAGGTGAATATTAGTGATCTCATTTGTCACTTGTCTATGTTTCACGTCTTTATACTGTTAATTTCCTTAGAAAACATAAATTAATTATTAAAAATTGTCGCAATGAACACAAATTTGCTATTTGTTTTGACAGTTTAACGTCGAGTTCAAACAGAAAAATATGACTTCATTACCTAAGCAGTATTTTGGTCCACAAACAAAAAATCACATATGTTGCAAAAGATACACGAACTTTGATAGTTCTATAGTTTTTACTTCTTTTACATTTTAGTTTTGCAAGAGAATTCTTTCCCCCTTAATAATAATAAATAAACAAATACTTTTATGCAGCTTTTTCAATTGGTTCGGTTTGATCTGGCGCGGTCCCCTTTTTTTGTTTAATTAACTGACGTTGTCTTCTCTATGGGCCTCATTAAATGGGCTACACGCAGCCCATTCGATTTGACGAAGCAAAAAGTGTAACGGCAAACGAAAATGAAATTGGACGGACGGCGAAAACCCTAAGCAAAAACCTCCTCACCGGCGAAAATGCGTGCTCCGATCTCCGGACTTTTCTCGAGATCCATCGGCTTCCTCAACCGTAAGGCGCCTCTAATCTCCGGTACTCGCTACCTATGCGCGTTCGCTTCTCCAGAGGCTAGGACGAAGAAGCTCGAGCGGATCGCCGACGACTTGCTCAAACTGAACAGGATCGAGCTATACGACTACTCGATCCTCTTCAGCCATAAAATCGGCCTGAATCGGTACGGTTCCGCCGTGTCTGTCGCCGCCGGAGCTGGGGGAGATGCCGACGCATCTGGCTCTACGGAGACCAAAGCGGCGGAGAAGACTGCGTTCGATGTGAAGCTGGAGAAATTCGAAGCGGCTTCGAAGATCAAGGTCATAAAGGAGATAAGAGCGTTCACGGAGCTGGGATTGAAAGAAGCCAAGGAGCTGGTTGAGAAAGCTCCAGTTGTCGTGAAGAAAGGTATCACTAAGGAAGAAGCTGATAAGATCATGGAGAAACTCAAAGCGGTAGGTGCTACTGTAGCTTTGGAATGAAAAAAACGAAGCATCTGAGATTATTATGATCATCAAATAAACTACTTGAATTTTTCCATATCAAACAATCTGAAATGTTTTTGAAATGATGAAAATGTTTCTACAATGTAACTCTTTGTTTTGCTTGCTTGCTGCGTCATCTACTTCTTCCTGTTTATACCCTCGTAACTGAAATGCCACTCCTATCTGGTAGCAACTTCTTAATGTAGTACTTGGATTTTCTGGAAAGGTTGATTTTTTGCCTTCTGGTCTCTGGTATCATCTCGAATGAACATTCTTGAAATCCGCGTCTCACAAACCAATCTGCTGTTCGCGTTGTAAGCAGAAACAGCCTCTCTAATCCGATAGACGAAGCTTTCTTCTCTATGTAATCTGCAGACAGAGAAAACAAAACATAATGTTGTCGCCATTGATTGTTTCTCAAGTTTTGCAAAACCTCAACACATGTCTCTGAGTTTGGTTTATGTACCTAGCAATTTATCGCCTTGGCCTTGACCGCGACAATCTGAAGCAACCGCGATTGCAGCAACTTCTCCGCATTTGTCTTGAAAGAACGGAAACAGAGCCGCGCAAGCGATGATCTGACCTTCTCTTTCCACAACCACGAACGAATCCAGCGCTCTCAGTAACTGCACTCAAAGATCAAATCTTTTAACCGATGAGAACAATGAGATGGGGAAGACAAAGGTAAAGCCTTTTTAACCTCCTCATCGGTTCTGCGAACCAAAATCCCAGCTTCCTCCAAGGGTTTGATTATGTGTCTAATTCCTGCAAGATCTTCCACTTTGGAATCTCGAGTTCCTTCGTAAACATCACTGCGTGTAATACATAGTTGTAAGAACACGATGATACGCGCGAGTGAAGATGAAAAGAAGAATGCATCATATTGTACCTAGCAACCATAGTCCCCATGCCATCTCTTTTGAAAAGCTCCAACAATAGAACTCCACTTGTAGTACCATCCAACAAATGAACTCTTTTGACTCCACCCTTCAAGTGAATCAAAAACAAAACAGTTTCAGTTAAAAAAATGGTGGCAAAATTGAAACCAAGACCAAGGTTGTTTCAGAAAACACTCACCCTGCAGACGAACGCAGCAGCAGCCAATTCGGAAAGGTAACCGTTCAAGCGGCTTAGTCTTTCCTCTCCTCCGATAGCAAAACCTTGCTCACCGGACCACATTCCGTTCCCGTTGTCAAATCCGACACCGTTCTGAAACAGCGGAGTGTGGTTTCCGTTTCCCCAGAATGCTGATCTTCCGTTAGGAGGAGAAGTAGTAACCTTAGGAGGTTCCTGGTAAGCGATACTTCCATCTCCAACAGCTTTTACGTAATTGGCAGCAATGTCGCTTTGCTGTGCCCGTTTTCTCACTAACATATCTGCTTCTTGAAGCGTCAAGAAACGAATAAGGTGTCCGCTCTCATCAAGGATTGGACCGTCCATAATGCAAATCAGCTTATCTGCTCCTATAGCTAATGCACAAGCTGTAGCAACCTCATAGGTACTGCAGAAGTAATGGTTGTGTCAGTATTATAATGAGAGAAAAAAAACTCAATCCTTTTGAAGGTTAAAGGAGAAACATTTCTCGTACTTGCAATTTAAGACTTCTCCGGAGCTCGAGTGGCCCAGATTCCTTAATAAAACTACAGAACCACCGTCAAGCCTCTCACAAATCCGATCTACATCTATCTTCTTCACTTCACCTGTCGCTCCAAAATCAACACCATCAACAACTCCTCTCCTCTGCGCCATCAACAACAAGACACAAGATATTCAGTCATATAGAACCAATAATGATGAGACTCAAAGTCATATGAACAAATCAAGAAAGTAGAAAAACTCACTTTTGCTGCAAAGAAGTTGCCGGTATCAACCCTGACACCAATATCATGCAAACGACTACTGTCACCATGCCTACGGATATTGCAAATGGAAGGTCCAGGAGATAGTTTGGCCTCAAGCATCACCGATATTGCTCCTGCAGCTTCCTTAGCAGCCTGCAAAGATGCCGCATCCGTTACTCTGTAACGTCCCACGTATGTAGCCTCGCGTCCTGCAACTCATAAACCTCTTTAGGCTCCTAGTTTGGAATCTAACATCGTGACAATACTACGGGCAAGGTTTAATAGTTTCTGACCTCTCTCAGACAGAAGCTGGTCGATTTGCTCTTGAGTTCCAGGAACTAGAACAAATCTTATCCCCAGATGATGAAGAAACGCTATGTCCTGCACACAAACCACAATTTACTGTAACCTTCTAATCCAAAATGACAAGTGAAAAACAGAAGAGCACATTGCAACTAAGACAAACAGTCGAACACCTTGCGTGCTTATTTTTTTGACAATTCAAACGAAAGTAGTTGAATATAAAAGAGGGTGAAAGAGAAACGATGCCTTCAAAACGGGATCACAGTAAGGGCCGGAAATGATCTCGCCGGAGATAATAACGACGAAGGTGCAGCCACGGTGGGCCCACAGATAAGGCCAAGCTTCACGGAACCAACGCACAAACTGTTTGTCGTCCACAGGATGCTCGCCCTCCAAATCTCCGCCTGCGCTCACCGCGTAGTCAAACATATTGCATTTCGCGGCTGCCGTAGAAGACACGGGACCAACCGGCTTGAACCATGGACAGCTAAACCGGAATTGAGTAGGGTTTGGCTTAATTTTCGGCCTGAATGAAGAAAAAACTTTCCTTGCTTGGCGAAATTGGAAAGCAGGAACATAGCACTTTGAAGAAGAAGCATAACCAACCAAAGCTCCTCGCTCCATCATCTCGAGAAAATTTAATAAAATTCCAAAAATTTAAATTTAAAGCGGCAGGAGACGGCGGTCTTCAATCGACGACGGCGATGGTAGTTGCCGTAGTGGGACCCACCTTAAGAAGGGTTTTTATTTATTACTATTATTTTCAGCTTCGTTTTCTTCTCAATCTGTCAGCTCTTTGAATGTGTTTGGTCGTGAAAGTTTGAGGGTGTCCCCACATGGAGTCAAGGTTGTTCGGTTCGGTCAATATAATCGAAGGAGAGTTGGTTTACCCGGTCCGGTTATTATCACCCGAAATATATAATCCAATCTCAGCCATTGGAGCCCAAAATACAATTGCTTCGAAATTCACCAGAGTGAGATTTATCAAGGAATGTGTAGGAATACTCTACCAGCCCAAGCCCATTTAGGTATCAACATCTACATTATGTAAAATGCAAGCTTTTTTTATATGGAGAACAGAAATTAGTGAACAATTCCATAAGAGTATCTATTTTATGCATGAAGAAGGTTATTTACATATCAAATCATATGTCTATCAGAGTATCTCGAGTTTCTTCTAAACCATTACACCCAAAAAAAAATCATATGTAAAACTTTATCGAATTTTTGTAAAATTGCATTATAGCTTTGTTGGCAAGAAAATTAGATTAGAATCCCACAACCTTTTCTTAAAAAGTTGGGATTACGTAAAGAAATAAAATTAGAAAATGGGGAAAAATACAAGCAAAAGAAGAAAACGAATATCTTTCGGTTTATCCGCATCAAGAAAAAATAATATTCCCACGTGACACCAAAGATACTCCTTCACACTTCACGGTAGATATTTATCATGGTGGCGACATAGACAATTCACTTTACTATTTTGCGATAAAATCAGTATTAACATTTTTTTTCTTACATACTAATGAACGTATGCATGGTTATTGATTTGTATGAGACATCATTCTCACTAAATAAACAACTATACAATCTCCATACGCGAAATTATTAACTAAAAAGTCATATTTTAGTTCGAATATTGTGAAATTTGAAGTTTGATCACAGTTTGTTTAAAAACTATCCAAGCATAAGCTAGGCTTGAAATATTCAATCACATCTCTACGTTTTAGTACGAAGATGATTATATGCTCAATCAGCAAACTAAGTTTTCGTTTTACCAAATTTAATAAGCTTGCTAATCATCATTAATAAGAAGAATCCATGGAGCCCACCTTCCGAGTTTGTAAATATTTACTTCATATGGTATGTCACACTAATTTTTACTTTATGTACTAGTATTAGATTAGTTTCGTGGAAATTTTGCATCTCATTATCCTTTTTTCTACCAAATTATAGAACTTATCAAGTGTATTGTTTTATTTAATCGAATTTGATGCATGTTTTCCATATTCCTCGTACGACAAAACGCTATAAAATGTCTCGAGTTCAAAATTATTCCCCCGAGCGAAAACAAAGAAGAAATAAAGGGGCCCCACCGTAAAATGCAAACAATACTTGTGGTCCCAATTTGAAAATATATAAAAATATCAAATCACAAAGCTTGTGGCTTCAGAGCCTCCTCCATCGTCGGCTTCTTTTTTAACTTTCGTCGTCGATTTCATACCAAAACAAGAGAACTCTCTGTTTTTCGACAAACGAGGCTTTAAGATCTATTTTGATTTGACTTTCATTCTCTTTCTTCCTCGCGGTGATTTTATAGGATTTTTAAAGATTTTTGAGATTTTTTTCTCGTCGGCATTGAAGATCGAGGTAAAGATTTCTCACCCTTTCTCGCCAAATTTCCTGCATCTTTCACGAAATCACAGAAAAATATTTCATAATTCTTCTCAATAATTTATCTCTCATTGTTCAAACTTACAAAGGGTTGAAGAATAAAGATCCGAAGAACACCCATCTGGATTCGTATCGTTTTTTCTGACTTTTCCCTTCGAAATTCAGGTAATTTTCTTATTCCGCACCGAAATTTTCTAAATCCCTATATAGATTTAAGCTTATTTCGAACAAAATTCACGGGAAATAATGAATTAGCTGAATCTGCTGCATATTAGCTCGATCGCTCTGTTCCAATTTCTTCGGAAGTTTTCATTTCTGCAGAAGAAAATCAAGATTTATTATATTAGCATACATGTGAAAATCCAATCTCGGATTAGATTTTAGATCTGATTGATTGATATGATCTACGGTGGTTTGATTTTGGTTCCGAGTAGAGAAAATGGGCGGTGAGGCAGAGATCAAGGAACGTTTGCAACCCCAAGCTCCATCTGAGACAATGGAGAAGAAGCAAAACGAACACGTGAAAGGGAAGAGATTGTGGCAGAAAGTGAAGTACCAGTTGGTGGAGTTTCACTCGTTGCCTGCTTATCTGAGAGACAACGAGTACATCATTGGTCATTACAGATCCGAATGGCCAATGAAACAGATCCTTCTCAGCATCTTTACAATCCACAACGAGACCTTGAATGTTTGGACGTAAGTATCTTGACTTCATTCCCCTTTTGTTATGATCCAAGAAACAACCTTGCTTGAATGTGTGTGTGTTCTTGGGATTTGCAGGCACTTGATTGGGTTTTTCCTGTTTCTTGCACTTACGATATACACAGCGACGAAAGTACCGAGCGTTGTGGATCTTCACTCTCTTCAACACCGTTTGCCCGATGTGCTGAGGAAAACAGATCTTCACAAGCTTCACTCTGAGCTCATGTCTCGCCTTCCTTCTAGCCCATCTAGCTGGCACGTAATGGAACTTCTCTATAACTGTCTTCCTGAAAGGTTCTCTCACGGCAACTACACCGACATGTGTGTTCTGGTAAAACAAAAAACAAAAACTCAATCTTTCTGCTTGTTTCAAAACGTGCCCACCAAGTTCTTATCTTGTAAACTGCGTTGCAGCATTCTGTGAGGGAGGATCTTGCAAACATGATAGCTCCTTTAATCTTCAGACCAATCACCAGATGGCCGTTCTACGCATTTCTAGGCGGCGCGATGTTCTGTCTACTAGCAAGCAGCACTTGCCACCTCCTCTCGTGTCACTCGGAGCGAGTCTCATACATAATGCTCAGGCTTGATTACGCCGGAATCGCAGCTCTCATCGCGACTTCCTTCTACCCTCCGGTGTACTACTCCTTCATGTGCGATCCTTTCTTCTGCAACCTCTACTTAGGGTTCATAACGATCTTGGGAATCGCCACCGTGCTCGTCTCCCTCCTCCCGGTTTTCCAGAGCCCGGAGTTTCGGGTCGTGAGGGCCTCTCTGTTTTTCGGGATGGGGTTCTCTGGCGCGGCTCCGATACTACACAAAGTTATCATCTTCTGGGATCAGCCCGAAGCGCTTCACACGACTGGTTACGAGATTCTGATGGGTTTGCTTTACGGGTTAGGAGCTTTGGTTTATGCGACAAGGATCCCAGAGAGATGGATGCCTGGGAAATTCGATATAGCCGGACATAGCCATCAGCTGTTTCATGTCCTTGTGGTTGCTGGTGCCTTCACGCATTACAGAGCTGGGCTTGTGTATCTTAAGTGGAGAGACATTGAAGGATGCTAATGAAGATGAAAGGTTGAAGAAGACAGAATCTTTGATGGTTTTTGAAACTGGTTTGTAGCTTCGTTACAAAATGTTCGTCTGTGTAAAGTCTATGTGTAAGCAAATGTTTTCTTCCTTCTTTTCTAAACGTGGAATTAATAATATTATTAATCCCATAGATTTATGTTGTTAGTGAACAACCAAAATCCAAAATTATCCAGTCTAATTAATCTAATATTTTTAAAAAATGATCTAGAATATATACATTATTGGTAAACAATACGAGAAAAAAGAAAAGGAAAAGGAAATAGGAGTATTCATTCTTCCAAACCAATGTCGGCTTCTTCCACAGCGACGAACGGAGAAAACCAACCAGTAACGAAAACGATGAACTTTCTTATGATGCCTGATGACCTGCTTTTAAACTGTTTAGCCCGCGTCTCTAGATTGTATTATCCGTCTCTCTCCTTGGTTTGTAAGAAACTTCGGTCTCTTCTTGCTTCGCTTGAGTGTTACAATATTCGAACGCTCTTAGGCTGCACCGAGAGTTGTCTATATGTGTGTTTGCGATTCCCTCAAGACTTATTAAGCTTGCCGCGTTGGTTCACTCTCTGCCGGAGACCAACTCAAATCACTAACCCTAACCCTAACCCTAGATGGTTCACTCGGTGCTTCGCACCATTTAGAACCCTAACGACTCGCACTAGGAAGAAAGAGGAGAATTTTTTAGTATCGACCCCAACACACAATTCTCGTAATAACTTAATGTTGGGAGGTTTGATCGCAGTTGGTTGTGATATCTACAAGATTGGCGGGTACATCTATGGTTCGCCCACGTCTAGGGTTTTTTCCATGGACTGTCGGTCTCACACGTGGCAAGAAGCTCCAAGCATGCGAGTCGCACGCCAGGATCCTCGTGTGAATGTTCTTGATGGGAAGATATATGTGGTGGATAGCTCCAGAGGCATCGACCCCGCGGATTGGGTCGAGTGTTTCGATCCCAAGAACCAAAAATGGGAGCCTGTGCCAAGCGCTAACGCGGAGATACGCGGGAAATTTGTAATGGGAAGCTTAGCCATCCATGGAAAGCTTTACATGTTTGGGGATAAGTGTTGTGTTTACAAGCCCGATGAAAGTAGATGGGATGCGTTAGGATTGATGGAGAAGTATTTTGGTTGCTATCACGGTTCTTCTTGCGTGATAGATAACGTGTTGTACAGCTATAGATGGGGAAAAAAGCTCGGATGGTACGATCTTGAGGAAAGCTCTTGGAGAGTTTTGAAGGGTTTAAGAAAACTGCCTAAACAACCAGTTGGTTCTGATTGTGTGAAATTGGTGGATTATGGTGGAAAGCTTGCGATGTTGTGGGATGAAGATGTGGGTGAGGAGAAGAAGATTTGGTGTGCTGAGATTTCGCTTGAAAGACGACGCAACGGGCGTGAGACTCGTGGGAAAGTTGAGCGGTGTGATGTTGTGCTTACGGTCCCCAAATTATCTACTTTGTTGCAAGTTTTGGCTGTTACGGTTTGATGAATCAAACCATGGTGGTAGTATCATCTTGTTATGATGAATAGTTTTCTATTGCTTATATTAGAATATATATGACGTTGCTTCTGAATATCTCTTCTCAGCTAATATATGCTTTTTGTTCCTCTCTTCTAAACACTGTTTTGGTATGTTCTCTCAGTAATGCTCTAATTTATTTTCGGTCGAATTTAAGGCGAATTAGCAGTTTTTTGAAACTTGGTAAGATAAACAAAAACACATCGTAACGTTACAAAAAGAAAACAAATAAGGAGCAAGACACAACAAGTTTGAAATTGTGAAATCTTGTGAAGAGCCTTTATTATTTGATTTTTTTTTCCAACTTAAAGTTCTTCTAATATTTATAGTGTGGATTATTATAAGTTTTTCATGCAACTTCAATCTGAATTGATACAAATAAACATAAGAACAAAAAATAAAGAAATCATGTATCTTAAGTGAAGAGACATTGAAGGATACTAGTGAAAATGAAGGTTTTAAGATGGAGGATTAGATGGAATCTTTGATGTTTTTAAAACATGATTGTAATTTGTAACTTCGTTAAGAAAGAAACAAATACTGGACTGTGTAAAGTCTACTTGTAAGTTGTAAGCAAAAAAAAATATTCAAAACGAGGAATTAATAATATTTTTAATCCCATAGATATTGATGAACAAACAGAATCCATATTATCCAGATAAATTAACCTAACATAAAAAAAATTGATGTGATTACAAGTTTATTAGATTAGAAGATATTCATTATTTGGTAAACAAAACAAAACAAAAGAAGAAGAAGGAAATATTCATTCCTGCAATGTTGGCTTCCATAGAAAAGTCATCGGTTACAAAAACATTGAACTTTCTCATGATGCATGATGACTTACTTTTAAACTGTTTAGCCCGCGTCTCTAGACTGCATTATCCGACTCTTTCCTTGGTTTCCAAGAAATTCCGTTCTCTTCTTGCTTCGCTTAAACGTTACAGTATTCGAATGCTCTTAGGCTGCACCGAGAGTTGTCTTTATGTGTGTTTGCGATTCCCTCAAGACGTAACCCAAGGGCGTTGGTTCACTCTCCGCCGTAGTAGACCAACTCAAAACCCTAACCCTAGATGGTTCACTCCGTGCTTTGCACCATTTAGAACCCTAATGAATCGCACTAGGAAGAAAGAGGAGAACATTTTGGTCTCAATCCCAACTCACAATCCTCCTAACGTGAATCTGTGGGGACAGTGGGGTTTGATCGCTGTTGGTTGTAATATCTACAAGGTTGGCGGGTACATCGATGGTTTGCCCACGTCTAGGGTCTTTTCCATGGACTGTCGGTCTCACACGTGGAAAGACGCTCCAAGCATGCGAGTTCCTCGAAGGTTTCCTAATCTGAATGTTCTTGATGGGAAAATATATGTAGTGGATAGCTTCAAAGGCATAGACCCCACGGATTGGGTCGAGTGTTTCGATCTCAAAACTCAAAAGTGGGAGCTTGTGCCAAGCGCTGACGCGGAGATACGTGGGATGTTTGTGTTCAGAAGCCTAGCCATCCAAGGAAAGCTTTACATGTTTGGGGATAAGTGTTGTGTTTACAAGCCCAAGGAAAATAGATGGGATGCGGTAGGATTGAGGGAAACGTATTTTGGCTGGGATCATGGTTCTTCTTGCGTGATAGATAACGTGTTGTATAGATGGGAGAAAAGACTCGGATGGTACGACATTGATGGTGGATCTTGGAGAGTTTTGAAGGGTTTGAAAGAACTTTCTAATTTACCAGAGGGTGATAATCGTGTTAGATTGGTGGATTATGGTGGAAACGTTGCGGTTTTGTGGGAAGAAGATGTGGGTAAGGAGAAGAAGAAGATTTGGTGCGCTGAGATTTCTCTTGAAAGACTCAACGAACATGAGATTCTTGGGAAAGTTGAGTGGTGTGATGTTTTGCTTACGGTTCCCAAATCATGTACTTTCTTGCAAGTTTTGGCTGTTACGGTCTGATGAATCAAACACATGAGGTATATCATCTTCAATGTTTTACTACTGCTTAAATTAGAATATTTATGGAGTTGTATCTGTTTCTTCTAAAGGACTATGTTTTGGTACGTTCTCAGTATTGCTCTGTTTCTTTTTTTTTCTGTCTTCTAAGAGCACACAATTACAAATACATACACTAGCATTAGAGTGTGTATAGATTATAATACAACAAACGTGTGAAGAATAAAAACAAACATATTATTATTGATTTATTGGGACTTTATTAGTTCTTGAAAAACGTTGTAAAAGTTGATCTGAAACACATCGTAACGTTACAAAAGAAGAACTAAAACAAGTAAAAAAAAACTATATCTTAAAAAAGTAGCTAACACACAACTTTGAGATTGTGGAGAGCCCTTTATTAGTTCACTTTTCCCACCGAAAGTTCTTCTAATCAAGCTAGAGAAGTTTAGACATAATGGGCCTAGGCCTGCACAAAGCCCGTAAAGGCTGTACCTTTCGCATAGTAAGCCCATTACCCCCTGACATATCAATCTCCTCTCCTTCAACCTTCTTCCAGTCGAAACACTGAACCAACGTTCCCAACACCAATGTCACAATCCTCTCCCCTAATCCGACGCCGGGACAAATTCTCCGGCCCGCCCCGAACGGAACCAGCTTGTGAGCGTAATGTTCTCTCCCGTATCCAATTTTGCTAAACCGATCTGGTTCGAAGCTCTCCGGATCGTCCCATATCTCAGGATCCCTGTGTATCGCCCAGGCGTTCACCACCACAATCGTGTCTCGCGGCACATCGTAACCGCCGATTTTGATGTCCTCCGCCGTCGCGCGGGGGATTAGAAGAGGCGCCACCGGGAACAGTCGGAATGTCTCGGAGACGACGTTCTGGAGGAAAGGGAGGACGACGATGTCTGATTCATCGATCAGACGGTCTCTTCCGATTTTATCGTCGATCTCAAGTCTCGCCTTCTCCAACACTTTTGGATATTTCACCAAATTCGCCATCGCCCACTCCAGCATTACGGCGGTTGACTCCGTCCCGGCAGCCATTAAGCCCTTCATGTGATTTCATTAATATAAATTATAAAATAATCTTAACATTAATAACCAAAAAAAAAAATTATAAAATAATGGAGAAAATGCACTAATTATTCCATTAACTCTAATTTATCATATTAATAATTTAAAAAGATTCCCTAATTCCCACTTCGATTAAATATCATCATCATAAAAATTTGAAGATGCTCTAAATTAGAATATCGTTCGATTAAAGAAAACCCTGAAACTTTATTTTGATGCTCTATAATTATGCCATTAACTCTAATATATCTTATACGGAGTATATATTTAAAAAAATTCCCTAATTTGTACCACTTCGATTAGATATCAGCATAAGTAATATCGACATTTTGAGTTTAGGTTATTTTACCATCATTAGCCCTTTGATAGTGACGTCACTGTAATACTCGGGTTGTTGTTGCTGCATAGAGAGCAAATGACTAACCATAGAGTCACCTTCACTACTATCTCTCTTACTCTCATCGAGCAATCGCTGCAAAAACGCATCCATGGCTTTGCCAGTGTCCCTACACTTCTTCTCGTACTTGTTTCCGAACAGTTTCAGCACCGGCAAGTAATCTCCGGGGTGATTCGCGCCGGTTGACGCAGCGATATCAGAGACGAGTTTCTTAAACAGTAACGCTTCTTCTGTCTCTTTGATATCATCTCCGTAGTATATTTTCCCTGTGACCATCCTCACAATGTTGTTGAACGTTAGATCCGAAAACACCGGCTGGAGGTTGACAGGAGTGAAACCACCGTTGTTGGCGTGAGTGTCACGTGAGAGGCGCGTGAGCATCTGATGGATTTCTTCTGTGCGGACGTGGAGAAAGTTGTTGAGGCGGTGGTTGGAGAGGACTTGGGTGGTGCAAATGCGGCGGAGGTTACGCCAGTGATCGCCGTATGGTGAGGTCCCGACGGTGGTACCGTTATAATTGATTAATTTGGCGGCTATACTGAGAGGTCGGTTCGTTAAAACAACATCGTTTTGGCCCGTGAAAGATTCTTGGACGAGGGAAGAAGAATTTATGACTACGATGCGGCGAGAGCCGAAACGGAGGGAGAAGATTGGGCCGTATTTTTGGGAGAATTTGTGGAAGAGTTTGTGAATCGGCGGTTTAAGGAGGTGGAGATGGCCGGCGATGGGAAAAGACGGTGGTGAAGGAGGGAGGTTGTAAGGGTGAGTCCTGGAGTAAAGGAATTTGCAAGCCAAAAGAATGAGTAGGAGAGGGAGAAGAATGAAGTAGAACATTTTGTAATTTTCTTCCTTCTAGTTTTTAGGGTTTCTGTGTACTGCTTGTTCGTATTGTGGATTGGGTAACAAGTGAATTGGTTTATATAGAGAAACCTGACTCGATTAAAAATTGCATGTTTTCTTTTTTTCAGAAGTAGTTTTTAGACTTTCTTTTTTCCATTAGTATAGAGTATATAGTCTACTTAGCATATTCTCATCATATCCGATGGTCTACTTATTTGTTAGGAACCGATTAAGTTTTTTTTATACAAAAACCCGATTAAGCTAATTTATTGTATAGCAATGTACGTATGTTTTGTACAGATTGTAATCCATTTTATAAGCTCAGTAATACAGAAAAATCAAAAGATTTCTTTTTCCCTCAACTTTTCTCAATCGTTTATAGTTATACTAAAGAAAAAAAAAAATGTAATTCGAGAAAAATACGATAGGCTTGGGTAGATAAATAGTATCGCTCGCGCAATGAAAACATTCAAGAGTTTGCTATTCACTAATTCAACCACTATGCAATAATTTATATTTCTTTTTTTTTGTTTGAGATAAAAAAACTCGTGAAACCATTTTTGATAAGACTAAAGAGCTGCCTCTCCCTTTTTGGTATTATAGGTTTTGTTTAAAAACTGCTAGGCGACAAAAACAAAAATTGTTGTATAAGAAATAGATCGCGTGTCGAATTGCTAGTTATATATTCATTAAAAAATAATAGTGCGGACAGAATAGTCACATGGAACAACGAATCTTTAGTAAACGGTGTCCAATTTATCCTAAACAAAATGTTCAAAAAAAAATATATATATCCTAAACAATAGTATTACTATTGTATGCGTGTACATTGTTGTTGTTTTTACTATTGTCACAAAGAATACATTGTTGTTGCGATCGAAACCAAGAAACAAGTAGAAAACACACCCAACCAGATCGAATAAAAGCCACTTCTGATACTACTGGAACGATTTAAATATTTTTTGAAAAAAGTTTCATGATGTTGGAGTCAATCTTTGATTTTCTAGTTTTTTTTACAATCCAACTTTGTCAATATAGGATAGTATCATAATTAATATGAATAATTAGAAACAGTTTAACTTGATCTGTAAGCCCAGACTTTCCTTTCCAACGTTGGTACCTTTTTTTTCTCACAGAACGAGAACGAAATCAGCTCTCATGGCTTTTCAAACAAAAATGAGCACAATATTAATATTTGGTGACTTTAGGCTTTTCCACGAGTAGCTCTCTCATGGCTTTGCAACCAACTGTACTTCAAACGATAGTCCCAAAAGTAATTTACGCAGGCAATAGAAGAAACGGTCAAACACGTTCATATCAAATTTATATTTATTATGTTTAATATTAAAATTATTTTAACAGTTTTAACAAGACTGCCTAATCCCAACCACTACGAAATCTATAAATAATTTATATATTTCCTTTGTTTGATATATAAAGGTCGTTTTAACGTTTTTTAGTTAGACAAAACAGCTGTCTCACCCTTTTCACATGCAAACATCTATTTATTCTTTTTTTTTTGGTGGTATGATTATTTATTCTATTATATTAGAGAATTTGTTTAATAAAGCTTGGCGACAGAAAAAAAAAACAAATGTTGTTTAAGAAATGCCTGATCGCATTACAATTTGTGAATTATTTTTTTCATTTAAAAGAAAATAGTGTACCGACATGCAAAGTGTACCGACATGCAAAACGTACTTTTTTTTTTTTGATAACTGATTTACAAAACGTATTTTTTGTTGAACGGTTTCCAAATTTTATCTTAAAAAGATTTGAATACATTGTTGTTGCGATCAAAACTTATTAAAATAAACACTAAACAGTAGAAAATACACAAGTTCAAAACAAAAGGTAGAAAATACGCAAAATTTGATTATTATATTAGTGGTGGCTAGATGGAGTAAAAGTCGCTTCTTATGTAACTGGAACGATTTACATACAAGGCGGTAAGATTTGGAGAAGATTTAGTATCTTTGTTGAAAGTGGTCTGGTTCTTTTGGAGAAATTTCGAAACATAAATCGCTCTTGTTTTCATTGTGCTACGCTGGGCCAGGTCAAAACTCCATTTGTATGAAGACGAAGAAAACTAGAATATAATAACAATTATAAAAGATAGTCGAAAGAATCAGCAATTTGACGTTGGTGAGAGTTCGACTATCTTTTATAACAAGGATTTAGGAGAACGACCAAAATACATTTGTATGAAGACGGAGAAACTAGCATATTGTTGCAAATGCATGGTTCTTATTTATTCGAAAGTAATAAAATTAGAGGAAATGGTGTATCAAATGCTTATTAATAGAAGATTAGTAGAATAAAAATGATAGAAGAATAATTTTAATCCACTATTTCTTGACACAACTTGAAATTGTGAAATTTTCTGAAAGTAGCAAGCCTTTTTATTTGATTTTTTTTTTCCCACCTGCTTGAAGTAGCAAGCCTCCCTTATTTTATCAGGCGAGAATTTTAGACATAATGGGCCTAGGCCTGCACATAGCCCGTAAAGGCTGTATCTTTCGCATAGTAAGCCCATTAGCGCCTGACATATCAATCTCTTCTCCTTCCACCTTCTCCCAGTCGAAACACTGAATCAATGTTCCCAACACCAATGTCACAATCCTCTCCCCGAATCCGACGCCGGGACAAATTCTCCGGCCTACCCCGAACGGAATTAGCTTGTGAACGTAATGTTCTCTTCCGTATCCACCTTTGCTAAACCGATCGGGTTCAAAACTCTCCGGTTCATCCCATATCTCAGGATCCCTGTGTATCGCCCAGGCGTTAACCACCACAATCGTGTCTCGCGGCACATCGTAACCGCCGATTTTGATGTCCTCCGACGTCGCGCGGGGAATTAGAAGCGGCGCCGCCGGGAACAATCGGGATGTCTCGGAGACGACGTTCTGAAGGTAAGGGAGGACGGCGATGTCTGATTCATCGATCAGACGGTCTTTTCCGATCTTATCTTCGATCTCAAGTCTCGCTTTCTCCAACACTTCTGGATGTTTGACCAAATTCGTCATCGCCCACTCGAGCACGATGGCGGTTGTCTCCGTCCCGGCGGCCATTAAACCCATCATGAGCCCTTTGATAGTGACGTCACTGTAATACTCTGGTTGTTGTTGCTGCATAGAGAGCAAATGACTGACCATAGAGTCACGTTTCGTATCGCTCTTACTCTCGTCGAGCAAGTGCTGCAAAAACGCATCCATGGCTTTGCCAGTAGCCTTGACTCTCTTCTCGTACTTGTTTCCGAACAGTTTCAGCACCGGCAAGTAGTCTCCGGGGTGATTCGCGCCGGCGGAAACAGCTATATCAGAGACGAGCTTCTTAAACAGTAATGCCTCTTCTTTCTCCTTGACGTCGTCTCCGTAGTATGTTTTCCCCGTGACCATCCTCACGATGTTGTTGAACGTTAGATCCGAGAGAACCGGCTCGAGGTTCACAAGAGTGTAGCCACCGTTGCTGGCGTGAGTGTCACGTGAGAGTCGCGTGAGCATCTGACGGATTTCTTCTGTGCGGACGTGGAGGAAGTTATTGAGGCGGTGGTTGGAGAGGACTTGGGTGGTGCAAATGCGGCGGAGGTTACGCCAGTGATCGCCGTATGGTGAGGTCCCGACGGTGGTACCGTTATAATTGATTAATTTGGCGGTTATACCGAGAGGTCGGTTCGTTAAAACAACATCGTTTTGGCCCGTGAAAGATTCTTGGACGAGGGAAGATGAATTTATGACTACGATGCGGCGAGAGCCGAAACGGAGGGAAAAGATTGGGCCGTATTTTTGGGAAAATTTGTGGAAGAGTTTGTGAATCGGTGGTTTAAGGAGGTGGAGATGGCCGGCGACGGGAAAAGACGGTGGTGAAGGAGGGAGGTTGTAACGGTGGGTCTTGGAGTAAAGAAATTTGTAAGCGAAAAGAAGGACTAGGAAAGTGAGAAGAATGAAGTAGAACATTTTGATTTGTATTTTGCTCTTTTTTTCTAAATTTTAAGGTCTTTTGTGTACTGCTTGTTCGTATTGTGTATGAATTGGCTTAACCATTGTTTGGTATATATAGAGAAACCTGACTTTGATCCATGCTTAACTAGTAACAAGTAGCTTTTAGACTTTTCTTGTATGTCGGCTGCGCTCACGTGTTTATATTGGTCCTGCTTATTTGTTAGGAACCGATTAAGTTTTTTTGAATAATTTTTGTGATAGAACAATCATCTAAGAGATCTCTTCACAGTACTATGCATTGTTTAAGTGATCACAGAGCCATTTATTGTACTTTTTTATGTCAGAAAGACGGAAAGTATAAGTTTACGTCTAACTCACACACAACGCTACTGGTGACAATTCAATTATCTTTTATAATAAGGATTAAGGAGATTGACTAACAAATACATATATACATTTGCAGGAAGAAGACAAAGAAAATTAGCATATGGATGAAATTACGGTCCAGCATTTCTACTATAAAAAAGACCCGCGTTCGACAATTTCGACTAAGACAACAAAATTATTAAAGTTCGGATTATATATTAATTGAGGACTTAATAAAAGTCAAATTTTGCATTCTTGTGTTATTTATAAAATATCATACTATATAAGTATCTCATTTGATAAAGAGTTTAATTAAGTAGCAAATTTACATCTTCTGCGACTGTCTACAAAATTATATATAAACAGTTTTATTTATCCTCTTTTCTGCAATACAAAAACTTTTTTAAAAAAAATATCCAACTTTTACACGTGAGAAATGTAAAAAGTACATTTCAAATAACAGTACCCGCAACATAGTATTCTTTTTATATAGTGTATTTAACACATTTTAAAACTACATTATTATTTTAGTGAATAATTCGGTCAAACGTGACTAATCTCAAATAGCAAACTAAAATTATTTTTAACCAAAACTTCACATCGTCTAAGGGAAAAAAAAAAATACTCGTCTTAAACTAATGTTTGAAACTATTTAAAGAATAAATTGCAAATTTGAGATTTGAACACTTGGCCTTACAAATATGAACTAATACAAATAAACATAAACAAATCAATAAATCACAGCTACGTATTATATCTAAGTTCCAAAACTGGGATGAATGTTGAGATTCATGGTCGAAGCCTCAAGTGCGATCATAATCTTTAAACCGCGAGGGCCTTGGTACTCTCTGGTTTGGAATAAAGTGGCTGTTCCGAAACATGCCTTCTCAGCATGACTATTCACTCTCAACATAAACCTAACTTCGTCAGATCGCATTACATCTTGGGGGTCTTGACGTTGAAACTATTTGTCTTCTCTATGCATGTGACTCCACTTCAGAATCCAGATATCACCTTCTATTTATTGTTCCTTCTCTTCAGAGTTACTTCTTTTCTTACTCTTCGTAATGCTCCCACCTCTTGGTTACCTTTATTGGCTTGGTTGTGCAATGCCACTCCCTGTTATAGATTACCTCTAGCGGCTCTTCAAGGTTGGAAAACAACAGTATATGATTTATGGATGGAGCAAAATAGAAGATTTCATATTGACATAAGTAACCTCAGAGAAATTTTGTTCAAGATTATTAGGGTTGTGAGGAATAACGCTCAACCTCTCATTGACTTGGTTCAAAATAGGTTTTAGGAGCTTTGAAGGATGCTAATGAAGATTAAGGTTAAAGAATGAAGAAGATGGAGGATTATATGGAATCTTTGATGTTTTTGAAATTTCTGATATAGTTTCCATTACTCATTTGAAGCATTTATTTAAGAAGATATTTCATCTTCTCCCAATCAAAAGTCAAAACAATGAATTAACTGATCCGATTCCCAACACCAATGTCACGATCCTCTTCCCTAACCGGTTTATTCCCAAATCCCCACGGCATTCCTAACCGGTTTATTCCCAAATCCCCACGGCATTAGCTTATCGAACCTTTAAACTACACCTTAAAATCGGATTATTTATAATTATCTCTATCTAAAACTTTACTAGTAATGTATAATTATAGTGTGAAATTTAAGTAAATAACTAGTTTCCTGATTATACAATTAATGGAGAAATTATTTTCTATAACAAATCTTTGAATGATTTTATCCTTTTTGATAGATAGTATGTAATATATCTACAGCTATAACTATTTATTAGTGGATTTGACAAACAGTATTGTATAGAAATCAAGAAATCTAAAATTGGCATATACAGTATGTGAAATCACAGATTGAGAGTGTAGCTTTCTTTGATAGCATGAGAATCTAGTTTTCAACAGCCTTAAAACTTTGAAAAGGATATAATCTAAGTATAATAGCCTAATCAGAATCAAGTTTTATCTTTTCTTATAATTTCTGGATTTCATCATTGGCAAGAAATAATCCAATCCTGTCCATTCACAACCTTACTCTTACGTATAAAACTGTCCATGGATCGTTGTTACATTAAGAGAAAAAACTGAATTTTTTGAATAAACGATCTTATTTTGCCTGTTCTCACCATAGATCTAGCTGACTAAATCACCTCACGTTAAAGCCAATAAACCCTAAATCGGAAAAGGTTATTTCTTTAACTTACCAACGGGTTTTCAGAGTTTTACGGAAATTTCTACTCTCTTTTATCACCAATTTTAAGGTTTTTCGTATATTCAGTCATCATCTTCGATGAAAAAACACGGCGGCACAAAGACTAGAACCACGGCCTGTTTATTAGACGGAGTCATCTTCCTCGCCGGGGCTTTCATTTCTCTTATTCTCGTATGGTCTTACTTCTCAATATTTTCACCTTCCTTCAATTTCACACTCGCCGGTTTACGACGAGACGGTGGACCAATTAAATGTTCCGGTTTGGACATGCAATTCGACCCACCCGGTTCCAGTTTTTACGATGATCCGGATCTTAGTTACTCCATCGAGAAATCAGTCACAGGATGGGACGAGAAACGGAAGCGATGGCTTGAATTGCACCCGTCATTCAAAACCGATTCTGAAAACCGGATCGTGATGGTAACCGGTTCGCAATCCGCGCCGTGTAAAAACCCAATCGGAGACCATTTATTGCTCCGGTGCTTCAAAAACAAAGTCGATTACTGTCGAATCCACGGCCACGACATCTTCTACAGCAATTCGCTGCTTCATCCAAAGATGAATTCGTATTGGGCGAAACTTCCGGTGGTTAAGGCGACGATGCTTGCTCACCCTGAGGCGGAGTGGATTTGGTGGGTTGATTCCGACGCGATTTTCACCGATATGGAATTCACGCCGCCGCTTCACCGTTACCGTCATCACAATCTCGTGGTTCACGGTTGGCCGGATATTATCTACGACAAACAGAGTTGGACGGCGTTAAATGCCGGCGTTTTCCTCATTAGAAACTGTCAATGGTCGATGGAGTTAATTGACACGTGGAAGAGCATGGGGCCTGTGAGCCCTGACTACGCCAAGTGGGGTCCGATCCAACGGTCAATATTCAAAGATAAGCTGTTTGCCGAGTCAGATGATCAGACGGCCCTGATTTATTTGCTGTATAAACACAAAGAGTTGTATCACCCGAAAATATACCTCGAAGCAGAGTATTACTTCCAAGGGTATTGGATTGGTGTCGTTGGGGGTTTCGCTAACGTGACGGAGCGTTATCTCGAGATGGAACGAGAGGACGCCACGTTGCGCAGAAGGCACTCTGAGAAAGTGAGCGAGCGATACGGTGCGTTTAGAGAGGAGAGGTTTTTGAAAGGCGAGTTTGGAGGGAGAGGAAGTCGCCGAAGAGCGTTTGTAACGCATTTCACTGGATGCCAGCCTTGTAGTGGGGACCACAATCCGATTTACGATGGTGACACGTGTTGGAATGAGATGATCAGGGCCCTTAATTTTGCTGATAATCAGGTGATGCGCGCGTACGGATACGTGCACTCTGATCTGAGCAAGTCTTCTCCTCTCCAACCTGTGCCGTTCGATTATCCTGACGAGCCATGGTGATTTATTTTTATTTTTATATAACTTCTAGTATTTTTCGCTCAAGTACTGCGATATTAAAGGCTGAAAATCTTTTTATTTTATAATACTCGATAGCGGAATTAGGATTTAATAAATGGGCCGACCTCGATTTATATAGGGCTTTACATCCCATCTCTAACAATTAGCAATCTATTTGACACGGGAATAAAACTTAATTGTTTTATCAAAAGTAAGTTTTATTCTAATGTTTGGCATTTTTAAACGGGCTTGTCAAAAGTTACTCAATAATAGACGAAGAATCAAGAAAAAAAATATAAAAATAAAATGTTTATTAATATTAATAACAGAGGCCCAAATAAAATATGGGCTTCAGTATATTCAGCCTGTCTAACCTCAATTTTATTGAGTGGGCTTTGGGCTATGAAAATCACTATCTTCAAAAGCATTTCATATAGCTCTAGCGTTGTTGGTTCGGGAGTGTGAAACTATGAACTACCAAGGAAGATATCTGGAGCCATATGCTCTTTTAATTAAAGAGTATTAAATGAGCAAGTTTTATAAAAACTTAATTTTAAACGGTTGCAAATGTTTCCCCGATCTTTACTTTAAAGTTTAAACCACAGTACGTCTAGAAATCAAACAATACATTACTTGTTATAATAAGAAAAATCAAACCGTAGATCATAGACTTCGATTAAGATTCAAATCCGAAGGCTATTGATAAGTAAATAATCTTCTCATCATTACAAATAACAAATTCTCACGTGGACGTACGGTTCAAGTTGATTATAGAATATTCCTGTTTTCCACTCAGAACATAAAAAAAAAGGGAACTCAAACTTTCATAAAAATATATAGAACACAGATGTTGAAAACTTCCTTTTACTCACTTATGATTCACATAAACAAAACTAAAAGAAAAAACAATGTTCTCAGAAGTCAAACCCTAAGAAGAGTCAAAAACCAAAGGCTTGACCCACGTTGAAAATGTTGCACATGAATATATATATATATATATATATATATATATATATATATATACCCATCAATATCAAAACACTCAAATAACATTCAAAGAATTTCGTGTATAATCCGAAAAACCTTCTAAAGCTTTAATCTCAACGTCTCCATGGAAGCTACATCACAGCCGTTTATGTCTCAGAGTTACCTTACCGCTCAAGAAACCGCGACAAGGGCAACGAAAAATTACCTAACTTCGCTCCATTCGACCCGAAAGCAACCTTCAAAGCCCTTGAAAAGGCCTGCAACATCATCTCCTTTACAGCCAATGCATCCCCAAGTTTACCGTGTCGAGCCAGTAAACTTCAAAGAGTTGGTTCAGAGGCTCACCGGTGCACCTGAGCATGAGGCTGTGGCTAAACCGCTTGAGAGTTTGGATGATGCAGCAAAGGAAAGTTCTTCGTCGTTTGCGTTTGATCTATCATCGTCGCCATGGAGAGATTTATCACTTCAAAATCCTGCAAATCTCTCCAGATGGTAGTTTCTTTATATATGTAGGGTAGAACCTTTTACTTACTCTTATAAAATGCTTACTTAAATTATAATTCTTGACATGTTTGTACTCTTTTAGCTATGTAATAAAGCAACGAAAAAATTATGTTTTTGATTTATTTAACTTTTACGCAATTTTTTCTTAAACTATCCGCGAGTATTGTCATCTATAAAACGAATTAGATTTCACATACAATCTACCTATATAACATAAGGGAATAAAAAAATATCCTTATTAAAAACAATTGAATTAATTGATTCTGTATATATATACACACATATAAATGATTTGAAATGGACGAATGACGACAGTTGGATTATTAAATCTATGTATTATTATTCCTCTGTGTATAGATATAATCAAGATGAGCCGTCAATGTTCTTCTCGTCAAGCAATCTTCGTCGTCGTCTTTCTCGCAGCTCTCTCCGGCCACTTCATGAAGTTTTGATTCTATCATTTCCTGAAATGTAATAAAACATCAATTACAAATGAAAATATATAACTACGTTTAAAATCTATGTATATAAATAAAATAACTGGATACATATATATATATATGACTAACCAGACTAAGTATGTCGGCCGGAGAGATTGTGAAGGAGGCGAAATCGGCCGGTTCAGGGCGAGTGGTGCACGTTAGCGTGGCGGCGCAAAGGAGAAGAGCTATCATGAGCAAACTAGAGAGATTTTCCATTTTGTGATTGATATTTGGATATTGACACCAATGACCAAAACCATCTTTATATAGAGTCAATCTTGGTCAACTCTTTTCTTAATCTAGTCTTTGCTATAAGAATTAAAAATTAGACTGTTTTGTTCCTATCTTTTATTTTTGTCAAAGTTCTTATCTTTTCCGCGGGGAAAAAAGTAGTAGAGAAACATATATATCTCTTCACTCGTTTAATTTGGAAAGAGTATATAATTGGAATGTGTAGTTTTCAGTTTTTTTGTTTCTAGTTTTTTTTAATCTTATGTATACAGTCATACAGAAAAATTGGGTATGAATATTACGGTTATAACTTATAAAGAATATTTAACAATCAGACCAAAAACCTTAGCTGTATATATACATATTATATATATATATATTCCAATATTCAACAACATAATAAGAGAATATCACTGAAAATTTAAAATTTCTTTTTAAGTAAACTTCTATATATTAAAACATATAGGTGGAGAGAATCGAGAGACAGACGCATATTTTTGCCACCACTGGCTGGCTACTGGTAAGTGAGTGGAGTGGAGCAGATTGTAATTGAACCGAAACCAAATATGTACACACATGAAAAAAGAATATCAGAAATGTTGGCCTGTTACGTGAGATGAAAGTCAACGTTTGACTTTTATTCTGGGCCAAAAATTACCAACATAAAGGCCCTATGCAATTCAGGCAACATCCTACATAGATTCACAGGTGGTCCATTTCATAATCATGTCATTATTACAATAATCGCATCATATCACCACTATATGCATGATGTAAATACCACGAGAAACCGATCGACCTTTAAAGTTGTAAAGCCAAAGAAAATAAAATCGAGAACTATTTAACTAAAGCTAACCTTTTAGCAAAAGCAATAGAAACTATTTAACTAAAGCTACCACGTCATGTACCGTAACGATTTGATAAATAACATTTGACCAATGCATGGACATATACGAAATACACTATCCTGTCCATCTATATATAATCAATCATTAACGAGAACCCTAATGACGCACCAAATGACGCCACGCGATAAATCTCCACCACAAGCAAATAAAAAACAAAAAAAAGATCTCTAAAAAGCCATAATTAGTGGATTCGTAACGTTACTTTGCCTCATATATAAACACGCCACACACATATAAATATGTGTTATGGAGATGAAACTGACGTTTGAAGGCGACAAAAACTTCAAAAAAACATTGATTCATCATCATTCATTTGGGATGGATATATCGTTAAATCATAAATTAAATGCCAACAAACCTCCGTTATAAATTCGTAATATTTCCTAACTGAATAATAGCAGGTTAAGTAGCCGTTACAACTTACAACTTCTATGATTGGGTGATATCTTTCTTCGTCACCACTCGCCACTGGTGAATGGTGATATATATAGACTTATTGATATAATTGTGAGGTATAATCTAATAAGGGATTTGCTATGAATTTTCCTTTCGTTTTTGGTTTATGGACGATATATTGTTCAAATATGCGACGAAATGGAGATTAAACTAATTATCTTGAACCACAGTACATATATATATTGCTTATTACAGGTCCGTACGTAGCTTTTTTTTTCTTCTTATTATCAGTCAAGAAACATCAACTATTTGCATCTCATTTTCATAGAACGACAGATGTTATTAAAGACGATTTAAAGGGGATATTTTAGTGTTGCATGTTAACATCCATTGCCAAATAAGTATGGTTTAGCGACAGGTTTCGGTTTTTACCAATTTACGAAATTTGTCGTTACATGGCCTATTTTTGGTAGTGGGTTAATAACTTTGCTTGCTTAGTTTAAGTTACGATAGAATTATAGAATTATATATATATATATATATAAGAAAATATAAAAGATAGTATAAGATCGATTTCCCCAAACTTTTTATAAAAGAATCTCCCCTCGACTTTGAATTGAAGATTTAATCTTCTTTATGTAAAATATGACCTAACCATAGCCGTCCGCTAGCTAACAGCACATACAAGCGGTGAGATACGTAAGAACATGATGTTTATTTATATACAGAGCTAATTATTTCAATATAAATACATGCAGTTTTAATCAGTTATAATTATATACACCAAACTTGAAAAAAGTTTATGAGCAAAGTGTACATAATTAATAAAAAAAATTCTATAATTTTACAAAATATTTACTAACAATATCTAACATGATTCACTACGTACGGGTTATGATAGCTAGCTAGAATCAGTTGTGAAATATTTTAAAGGATCAATCCGTCACATTCCAATGATTCTCTTCGTGAATTCTATTAATAAATTAACTTCTTTAAAAAATTACTAAAATTTTAAAATAAACGTTTACTTGTACTCATCAAAATGACGTACGTAGTCAAATCTACGATATATAGTTGGAAGAATAAGAGCTGGTGATTTTTTCGTAGGTAATTAGTTGTATGTATAAATCAAGCATCAAATATGATGTACATAGATTTATATATTACATACGCATCAACACTGTATGTCCTTTTCTCAAGCAAAGGGAAGTTCGTTGATTAACATAAGGGTAAAGAATAATGTATTCTTCATGATTCGCATAGACATTATTTGAGTTAAACCCAAGAAACTATATACAAAGATTCTTATAAGTATGCAAATATGTAAAAGAGTACAACTAACGTAATTCTATAATTTTCTAACAATTTTAATGGAATGTTGATTGATATTGTGATATGTGAAATTTGGATACTTTTGAAAAAGTTAAAATATGGGTGAAGCTTTTTTATTGGACACCAAAGTTTTTGATTCACATGAGACCGAACCAAAGACTTAAGATGTGCAGATTCACATTATGATAAAATGAAATTGGGATTATTGAAAAAGCTAATATGTGAAGCTTTTTTATTGGATATTAAAGTTTGATTTCACATGATACCGAACCAGACATCGTCTGGCTAAATATAAAGGTTTCGTATACAAAAAAGGTATATAATGCATGTGGCCGTTGCTCCACATTTTTTTTTTTCCTAATCGTAAAACTAAAGGTATTCAATGTTCTGATATAATTAACAATAAATGGTAAGATCGGTCATAAAAATATTTTTAAAACTTTGAACTTGTCTTGTGTTATTTAAAGTATAAGGACATATTTGAATCTCTATATATTTTCTTTGATCTTCTCTGGAAATAGTTTATTTTGATTCAAGACTGAATAATACATTGTTGAATTTTCCAATTTCTACAGTATTTACATTGAACTTTTTTTTTTTTCAACCAGTATTTACATTGAACAAAATACAGTTTTTCAATATAAATCGAATCGGAATATTACTGGTTTATATTTCAATGTTTCCGTGTAGCAAGCAAGTATATATACTTTTGGGTCGTAGGTTATAGATTTCTTTACAAAAAGCATTGGTCTCATCTCTCATGCAAAGCACCAGTTTGGTTCAGTTAATTGGAAAGTGTTCCGTAGATTCTTTATTTCTTTTCGGTTTAATTAATTTTACTCCACTCTTTGTCTACTTTTATTTTTGGATTGAAATGATGATTCTAGCCTCTCTCCAGTGTACATGCCGTGTAAAAAGAAATTAAGAAAAAAATAAAGAAAGATTTTCTTTTTCTTTAAGAAAGATGATTAAACAGTGAACCAACAAAAGAACCAAAATTAATCTATTGGGGCTGTCAGTATCATAACAACGATATGTTCACATACAAATTTAGGGAGGGGGAGGATAATATAAAAAGTTACTGAATCCGAAGGAGAAAAAAAGATCGTTAATTGAGATCTTTTTTTCTTTTGTTCAAACAATCCATTAACATCAAGAGAACTCAAACTCCATCATTTTCTTCGTCTTTTTTTTTAAAGTAATTTATTCTGAAGTAATGGTAAATCCATGAATGCAATGAAAGATTGTTTATGCGAGAGAGATTATGTTCAATGAGCTCGTGGAATGTTTTTTTGAATGTGTATATTATTTTGAGATGAAGTATCTATCTGTTGATCAAAACTTTTTTGGTTGAACATTCTAGAAAAAAGGGGGGAAAAATTAAATAGACGAAGTTTCCAAATTTCAATTTGAAAGGTAATTTTTTCTAGGAATATACAAAAAAAAATAGTATGTCATTCTTGAGTTGGGTATTGTATAAATGTTAAAAAAAAAACGTGTGAAATGCGGACTGTTTTTCTTCTTCACTAAGCTATTACAGACATTTGGCTGTTTAAATTTCATAACAATTATTTTTATTTTCTCAAACTGAGCAATGGTGCCCCACAAAATATTTCCTGCTTTAACAAAAGGTGGCTCTACAAATTAAAATTTTCAAGTTTTAAACCCCACCATAATGCGCCATGACTCAAAAGCTGTTTATACAGTATAATATACGGTATACGACCGTATTTACAAGTATGACCAAAACACCCCTACTCGTTTGTCCATAAATATCAAGCTCCAACGATACAATTCTTCCCTTTTCCCCTTCTAATCTCTCTCATCTCTCTATTACAAACAAATAAGCAATTATGTTGTCCACTGTACCGACCTTTTCCTTCTCTGAACCGGGTTTGGTTAATCAATTTTCGGGTTTCCAAACCGGGTTCACTCCTTGGGAGTGGGACTGCTCTGATCTCTTCTCCGTGAACCAATTGTCTCTTGAACCGGCCGTCCCTAGCCCTTGTTATGGTGAATCCGGCACTGGTCTCGTCAGAACTAATTCTGGTTTTTATGACATCAAAACCGGTTCTGACGAATCTTGTGCCGGTTTCACTGAAATCAAATCCGGTTTTGACGACGCCGACAATTCACACGATCTACCTTGCTCTCAGAGAGACGAACCGGACTCGAACGTCCCAAAAAAATGGACAGACATTGCGAATTTCGATTCGGGAGAGCAGAATCATAACCGGAATAAATTAAGCAAACCGGAGATGACTGACGAGAGGAAGAGGAAGAGGATGGAATCGAACCGGGAATCAGCGAGACGGTCGAGAATGCGTAAACAGAGTCACATTGATAACTTACGGGACCAAGTAAACCGGCTTGATCTGGAAAACCGTGAGCTCGGGAACCGGCTCCGGTTAGTTATATTCCAGCTTCAACGAGTGAACACGGACAATAACCGGCTCGCGACGGAACAAGAGATTCTCCGGTTAAGACTGTCGGAGATGCGACGAATTCTGATTATCAGACAACTTCAACAACAGCAACAATGGGAACTTCATAATCGGAGAATGATTATGACTGACCAAAACCCATCTTCGATCATATGATATAAGAAATATTAAGAAAACCAAAAATTTAGAACACTACCCAACAGATCAAAGAGAAATCTCTTTCTATATCTCTCTGTCTCTCTATGTAAATGAAATGAAAGGTTAGGGAGAGAAAATGATAGTTTTCGAATTTTCCACTTTCTCTTTGTATTTGCACAAGAAGAAGAAGAAAAGGGTTTTTTTGGGGTCTTTTTTTTTTCCTCTCTCTCGCAGGAATGAATAATGATCGTTGTCGTGTTATGAACTTACGATGATAAATAACTAAAAGAGTAATTAAATTAATACAATGATTTATATCAGTAGCAAGTCTGAGTTAGTGGAAAGGCTTTTGTGCGCAGTGACATCATGCATGCCAATGAGGCTCGTGATGTTTACAGTACTCATTTTTTTTAATTAAATTCAAGCATTAAACCAAGTATAATAGTCGGTTCACACTATACCGAATAATTAAAAAAAACCATCACTTCATTAACCAACTCGGCCCAAAATGATTTTTGGATCTATAAGCCCAACGAGACGCTAAGTCTTCAAGTCCATATACGTTTGACGAGCATCTCAAATCCTGAACTCTCTGCCTGATCAAGAGGAACCGCTTGCGTCTAACTAGAGCGACCCATACAATGAAAGAGCAAGTAAACCCTACTAATCAATGGTTTTTTACTCTCTTCTATTTCATGATTAGAATCAAGATTGTGATTATATATTAGATCATTACGAAACAAATACAGATTCAAAACTCGGAAACGAAGAAAAGAATCGAGTTTTGATAGAACAACGATATATCTTTTTCCTCTCCTCTAATTTCCTCTTTAAGCTTAGAAAGAAACACAACAGAGAACAATGCATCAAGTTAAGGAACAATAAAACAAAACAAAAAAACAGAGCTTCTGCTTTTCCACCTCCTCAGGACTAGTCTAATCAGGTTGTGTAATGGAAGTAGTCGCCATTGTTTCTGTTGTTCTCTGCAACGGGGCTGCTTACAGAGCTGCTGTTAGAGAGTGAGCAAAACGTAGACTTTTGCAAAACCCCTGTAGGAGAAGATCCAAAAGTGGGGCTATTCGTTGTGCTGTTAAGTACTTCGCCTAGAGGACCTCCCAAGGAGTTTCCCCACGAGATCGGAATCCAAGAGTTCGCCTTTTTGACAGGCTCGCGTGTTTCCTCGGTCTGGATCGAAAGCTCAAGCTCGCGGGATAGCCTGAGAGGCGAGAGTGTGACTCTGTCTTCTTGGCCAGTGTTGGTCGCGGTGGAAGGAGATGATGCTATTGGGATTGACATCGAAAGCTGCGTCCAATCCGATTTCAGCTCTTCAGGCCATGAGCTGTGATGTTGGTTTCCTGGATGCTTATCTTGGTTGCTGCTAAACTCCAGGTACGATGATGATCCGAAGCTCTTTGCGGAGTTCGGGTTTAGTAATGAAACAGAGGATATGTGTCCAAACTCAAAAGGACTGTTGTAGTTGTTGTTCCTGTGTTTCTGATGAACAACTGGAGATTCCTTGGGTTGTATATCGACTGTGGATGGATACAACGAGCTTCCTACTGGACTCCGGACTCTGTTTTTGCAAGAACCAGTACGCAAGTTATATGAACATGATGAACCAACGAATACTGCAAAAAAGTTTCGAAATGCAACACCTATTACATGTTTTCACCTGTTGTTAGGTAGAGAATCTGTAGAAGGATTGATGTATTGAGCTCCATCGGCGAGGCTGCGGTTACGTGATGCACGGGCATTGTTGCTCTTGTTACTGCCACCAGCGACCAAAGGTCGTTGCGGCGTTGGAACCGCTTTGGACGCAGCAGCAGCGGTCTGGCCAGTTTGGGCTTCCACAGGCTTTCTTGAACGGTGACGGCCTCTGTTGATGTGTCTCTCACAGTATTTCTGATCAGGAACAGCGTCTTTTGAGCATCTCCATTTCTTCCCATCGGTTCTACGGCATCTCCCTGGCTCAGGATCCATGTTACCGCCGGCGAAACCAAGGTGGAAAGTTCCCCATCCGACTGCACAAAGCCATAGAGAAACAAACACTCATTATTACCATCGCTAACACAAAAACCCTGAAAAAGAACACATCTTGAAAAACCTTAAGAGCAATCAATGTTTTGAAACCAAAATGACATCAAAGAACACATCCATTTGGCAACAAATCTCCCTAAACGCAAAAATATTTAAAACACTAAGAGTTGTGTTAGAGACACAAGCATTGGCAATGAATGAGTCCCTAAAAGCGCAAATCTTGAAATTAGATTCTTGGACTGAAGTTCATTGAGTTAACTTCAGAAAAAGACTTGATCAAAATTCTAACACTTGCATAAGCAAACGATCATCGATCTGCAAACAAGAAACGGAGTGAAGAAACAATGGGAGCTTACAAGAACTGGGAGGCATAGATCCATAAGGATAAAAGGATTTCTTGATAGAGATGAGCAAGCTAGAAGGAACAGGGACATTGGCTGTGATATACTTATAGATCAACGCCTGTTGCTCTAGCTCAGCCCATTGAGTCAATGTAAAAGGTCCTTTCACACCACTAAAATTTCCTTGCATGCTCATGTTCATCATCATTCCACCAGAGCCATATCCTCCTGCATTCCACACAAAAATGTGTTTCAAGAAAAATCAAAATTTTAGATTTTTACATGAAACCCATTTCATCAAAATCCACTTTAAATGTTCCCATTTTTTTTTTAAAAGTGAAAGAATAAAACTTTTCAGACCTCCTGAGCTTCTACAATAAGGAGGCGGAATCTGGTGAAGAAACGGCGAGAGGTAGCTCTTGTTACTGTAATTGTTATCCAAGCCGACATATTTACTGAAATCCAGAGCTTCTGGTTTATCTGAGAAGCTGAGCATGTGTTCTTGCCGGCGAGAGTCAGAGGGGAGAAGAGAAGCAGATCTCGTAAGAGGAATGCCTTGGTGAAACGACATCGTTTTGCAACACGCAGCTGCGTAAGGAGAAGAAGAGAAGTTTTCTTCTGTTGTGGTTCTAGCTAGCTTCGAGCTTCGCCGCAAGCAATCCTCACCGTCGAATCCGGATCTGTCTTGTTTGGATCCTCCAAGCTCTTTTTGACCCGGTGAGCCGTTATCATTACTAGTTAACGACCCGAGAAAATGAGTCCCAATATCCATAAAAAAAGTGTAAAAGGTAAGTAATAAAAAAATGAAAGCTAGATAATGACTTGAGATAGAGTTGCCATGGGAGGAAGAAAGCTTGAGTAAAGCTCAGAAGAGAGAAGGAGAGAGAGAGACAGAGGGAGAAGAACGAGGCGGAAGAGTTTTATTTTTCTTCTTTTATGTGAAAGAGATATTCTTTTTAAATAAAATGATAAATTGATACTAATTGGTAGAGAGAGATGAAGCTTTGGGAGGAGACAAGAACGGTACCTAAAAAACACAATCCGGATCTCGGACATGTTACAACATATTTATCCATGCTTTTTAATCATTGATTTTGCTTTAAATTCTTCTTCTTCTTCTTTGTTTATACTTTAAAAGGTACATACTTTAGCTTACAATTTTTTTTCCTCGTTTTTCATTTGATATTATTAGTAAAAAGTAATTATATAATATGTATCGACGTTTTTTCTTTTTAATATCCGACTTGGAACCTAAAGTTTTGTAAAAAAATGGTCCCAAATCTCATCATTTAAGTATGGTCGTAGTTTCTCTATTAGAACATGAGATGTTTTAAATGTAGGCTATTTGAAGTATTGGGACATTTTTTTCCCAATTTGTATGCCATTTCTTTATCGAGTTTTTATTTTAGTTTTTTCTAATTTTCTTTTATTGTGATTTGTATGCATCTAGGGAAAGCTAGCTGTAACGTTGTTGAAAATGAAGGGGGAAACTAGCTGTAGCCTGTGTAAGTGTGGAATTATTATATCATTTTGGTAATATTCGTAAGAAAAATATTCATGATTTTATAAAATAAAGCAACACATTTACTTGTGAATCGTGACTATTACACTTAATTTATCAAGGCGGTGATATATATATAATATATATATATCGTTGTAATATGTAAATGTAATGCCTTTTTACCAGAATTTGCAGAAGGAAACAAAGGGTATACTTTAAGTGAGATTTACAATATATACAGTTACAATGTACATATATAACATGCACACTTTAACTGAGATTTTTAATCTAGGAAAACAAATAATAGAATTGTCCTATTCAACTAATAAATAATAGTATTGAGTGGAGTACCAAAAATTTATCAAGATTCACGTGGTTCCAATGATATTTTTGGACCATCTTGGTCTTCTCCTCGAGGATTTTGGTTAGTATATGGAATGGGCTATTTTTTTCTTGATCCAGTGTCTTGAGTGACTTAACATCAACGGTGAGTGATTACTACCATGTTCGGACACATCAAATAATTGTAATTAAGTGCCTTCATTTCAATTTTAATTATTCGAAACGAATTGCTTCTAACCATTTGGCTTTTGGTTTTGGCATAATAATTTTATTTGATAATAGTTTTGCAGAAAACTCTTGTCGAAAGATGTATTTATGTCAGCTGACTCTTTGAATCTCATCAAATCCATCACAAAAGGGTTCCAAATCAAGGAAATTTATGAAATAATAGAGGACATTAAAACTCTCTCTATATTTTTTTCATTTGCTTCTCTCATATCCCTAGATCAGAAAACTGCTTTGTCGACTCTTTGGCAAAAGTCTCTCTAATCGACTTTTTAATTTAATGAGATAGTTTTTAAAAAAAAGAAGAAGATGTAGTCATGTCATAAAATTTATCTGACGTTACAACATTTTGGACATACAAATGATAATTAAAAACATAGTTTGAATGTTCAAAACTCTGTTAGCTCAACTAATTAAAAAATGTATTGTTATAGTTAAAAAGGAAAGAATTAGTTGCAGGTTTAAGTATAGCGATATATGAATAAAACCAAAAACGTGAAATATATATATATATATATATATATATATATATATATATTATTTTTACAATCTGTGTCGGTTGATCATTGTGAAATTTTATGTCCAAACTTGCAAAAGAAAAAAAAACTAAAAAACAAATTCAACGGTATACCTCTTTTATATATATATCATGATATATATAGCAAATGCACAAGTAAGAAAAGCAAACTTTTGAAAGAAAAGGGCACAAGATTTTGACGATTTCGGTTATGATTTGTATAATCTACATCTCACCGACAATCATTTCACCGGTCACTATAACTTGACCACTCGAGATTACAGATAATAATCTTGAGAAAATACAAAAAGCTTTCCTAGACTTGCTTTATAAATATAAAAAGTAAACCTACGAAAATATTTGATCATAAATTTAACACGTACATATACATACGGCATACTCATGATAAAGCCATCAATCTATCATGCACATCCAAAGTTTACGATTGAAGTGTCTACCACGAATTCTATAGTTATTTTGAGATTAAAAGAAGTGAAAATTTATTTGAATATTGACGTAGCTTATTTATTGAGAAAAGTGAATTTAACAATCGAAAAAGATAGAGTGTTACTACCAATACCACAAGAAACGTATATGTTAGTTAAAGCTTTGCTTGAATGTCCTAAAAAGAAACTAACTCACAAAAAGTCACAAGTGGTGCGCATGCATCGATGATGTAAATAATTGGAGTATCTCTCAAATAAATTACCTAGTTCAAATAAGACGTTTAGCTATTATTTGGTTTTAAATCAACAACACAGATGGAGTAACAATTTATCGAGTTTTCAGTAGCATATTATTCAGTGTAATCATTATATTTGTGTTAGACTATTCTCATATTTTCAAAATCTAATGACTAAAAATTGTTTCTATGTTTTTAAAATTAAATTAAGGTTTCATTATTTTGTTTTTGTTCGGTTCAAACGTTTTGCATGCATTTCGTAGTTTCATACTGTAGATAGCTTTTTCGAAAAGAAAAAAAAGAATGCTGCAATTCTATATTTTGTATTCTCACAATATTACGATTCTGTAATGTTTTCAAATATCAACGAGTTTTTACTTGTACAACTTTATAAAGATTTTACTGCTTTGTAAAAAAAAAAAAACTCCTTAGTTTCCTCTTTCGCATATAGGTTTCGACCTATATGATCCACTGCTTACAAAACCAACAATAATAACGAAAAAATAAAGATGATAAAAACCAATTATTTATGCAACCAAGGCATTTTTGGGAAATGGATGTTTTGTCATAAAAAAAATATCCTATTTTACACATCTTGATAGCCTACAAACCAACAGACATTGTAATTTATACTATGTTTCATGGGCCGAAATAGATACTAATTTTAATATGTACAATATGTTTTGTACGAATTTACATTGTTCAAGTATGTACTTATGGCCTAACTTTTTGTCCTGACCAGTTATCCTAAACTGCTATACAACTGTTTTATATAACTATTATTTTTTTGTCTGCGATTTAACTAATCTTTTGATGGACTGACTATGTCATTCCGCATAATTGTATCGATCTTCAAATTGTATGAAAGTGTAGTTTATGATCATACTTGTATTACTACACTAATTAGTAATTACACCAATCATTCGAATGGATGACCACAACATTTGAACCGTATATGACGATATGGATGTGTTTCGTTTTCAGTGACAATAATAGCATTTTACCTTATTAACTAATTAATTAATAATGGAAATAATAATAAGCAGGAGGAGCGTGGTGTTGTCAGAACTATTTAAGTAATTGTGGAATAAAATCCCGTAGTCAAGGAAAAAAACTTGACTGTACAGCATATACAAATATAAATGCAAGCGAATACTGTATTATTATAAATTATATGTTAGAGATGTCCACCAAACAACAGCGATAAAACCATTAATCGAACAAGATTTTGGTTTTCATATGGTGTTTTCGGCCAGAGCTGAATTTGGTTTTGACATCTCACAATTATTGGATACAGACTGATAATATATTTAGATTTCCCCAAAAAGGAATGAGAAATAATAATTAGCCAAAAAGAAACAAAAACATTGGGAACATGGAAAAAATAAGTGGGTAAAAAGGTAAATTTGGGTAAGATGTGGTGAATAAATGAAGTAGAGAGCTTCGGGTGTCGTGTGGGGGGAAAGTGGGACCCTACAGAGAGTGTCGACATGATAGGTGAGAGATATGATAGGCTTCTTAGCTCAGCTTAGGGAGTTAGACTTTTAGATTAGCAGACACCTAAGTTAGTGGTTTTGTCGTCAAACCCGTTTTTAGGACTTTGGTAATTGGTTTTATTTAATTTTTTAGTCAAAGCCTAAAAGCTCATGCGCTACTCTACTACTACTGTTACATGTGGACTAATCTTATTTAATTTCGTCTCTTTTTAGTTTTGTGTGCATTTACACCTAGAGAAGATAACTAAGGCAGAGGCAATTACTGTTAGCTTAGTATCATGGAATTTCATAGTTTCATTAAAATTGTATTTATCTTTTTTTCTTGGTAAAATGTTAAATTTGATTGTATTTATATCTTGGAATTTCATAGTTTTATATATTCGTTTTATAAAATACTAATATTGTCCTTTCCACTCACCATGTGGAACTTTTAAAAACAGAAACTTTTGATAAATGAAGTTATTCGTGTATTATATTATAGAATTTTAACCCAAATTATTCTGAATATGAATATGAATAATATGATCTGCATCATGTACTTTTTACTAGCCTTCGACTTAGTGTTGGTTTCTTCTCCTTAACGGTCATGTAATTTTTTTCTTCAGACATATTTCATAGATAATACTATATTTTATAATTAACACGTGAAAGATGTTACTAAGTCACTAACAATTCGAATTATCGTGGATATTCTAATTCTTACCGTGGCAAAGGTAAATCAATGTCGTTTGTGTTTGCTGGTAGGAAGCATAGTCGCATAAACATGCATGGGTCCAAATTATATGTTCAAAACAAGCAATTTTTACTTAAAAACAAATTATAATAAAGATAGACCAAAATATACATAAACCTTTACATCAAAATGGAAGGTTCGTAGAGAAGAGACGTAGGGGGAGACATGGGACACAATAAGACACCAAAGCATGGGCTCCATTCCATAAGATTTCCATATTCTCCTTCTCTTTATTGTTATTGTTAATATTTATACGAAATAAAATAGTATTCATATGGGTCTCCATTTCAATTTCATCCATTGTGTCTAGATTACACACATACAACGTACATTTCGCTATTTCTCGTTCTACTCCTCTCTTTGTTTTTCCCCGATTCTCTTGATGATATTTTTTTTGTTCATGCACATACTCGACAAGTAGCCTTTATCCACGACAAGATAAAAATGTTAAAGATATACTGTATATATATTACATATAGTGTTCTAGTGTGCCATGCAATCAAATAGAATCTACAAACTAAAACAAA